TATTTATAATTACACACAGAAGTCTATATGTCTCATACAGGAGGTATATCATATAATAATGTGTACTTTGTGAGCTGCAACGTCACTGGGTGTTAAAACCCAGAAATAATAGGTTTGAAAGTAAAAGGGAAACTCTAGGCATCAGAACCACTACAGCTTAAAGTTGTTAAACTAAAATTAAGTTAAATTCAAGTTGTTATGGTGTCAGGAGGCCGCTGGCACACTCTTACCTCAAGTGTTAGGCCTTGAACGGTTTAACCGCAAAGCTGACCTCGATTTCCACCTAGACAGCATCTGGCTTCTGAAATTTCAGTTTCAGCAAGCTCAGTCAGTCAGTCAGTGACTCCCCATTCACAAAACTGACTTGGAAAGAAACATTCTTTTTTAAAGCCAGTTTTGTGAATGGAGAGTCACTGATTGGCTGACAGCATCTGAAGACTGCTTTGAGCCAACCAGCGGCACCCCTGCCTGGCGGCACTCCGCACTTCCTAAAACTGAAATTTCAGAAGCCAGATGCCATCTAGGGAAATTGAGATCATCGCTGGATGCAACTTTCGGGTAAACCATTTGAGAACAAATTAACTCCTTGAAGTAAGAGAGCACCTGGGGACCTCCTGGCACCATAACAACTTAACTTAGATTATGGTGCCTTTTGGTGCCTAAATTGTCCCTTTAATGTAGTGGTTCTGGGGCAAATAACCTATCCTTGCAGGCTGAGAAGTTTAACCCCCTTAGTGACCAGACCGCTTTTCAATTTTCTTACCGTTTGGACCAGGGCTGTTTTTATATTTCTGCAGTGTTTGTGTTTAGCTGTAATTCTTCTCTTACTCATTTACTGTACCCACACATATTATATACCGTTTTTCTCGCCATTCAATGCTCTTTTTAATGATACTATTATTTTCATCAAATCATATAATTTACTATAAAAAAAATATAAAATATGATGAAAAAATTTAAAAAAACACACTTTTTCAAACTTTGACCCCCAAAATCAGTTACGCACCTACAACTACCAAAAAACACCAATGCTAAATAGTTTCTAAATTTTAAGTTTAGAAATACCCAGTGTTAAAATGTTCTTAGCTTTTTTGGAAAGTTATAGGGCTATATGTACAAGTAGTACATTGCTGTTTCAAAATATATATTTTTAAAATGTATCAATAGTGACATTGTAACACTGTTATCTGTCATAAATCTCCGAATCACATATTTTTTTAAAGTAGACAGCCCGGGCTATTCAGTATGGGGTATGTCCGGTCTTTTTTAGTAGCCACTTAGTCACAAACACTGGCCAAAGATGGCATTTATATTTGTTTGTGTGTTAAAAATGCAAAAAACAATTATGAACGCTAACTTTGGCCAGTGTTTGTGACTAAGTGGCTACTAAAAAAGACTGAACATATCCCATTTGCAATACCTTGGGTTGTCTTCTTTTGCAAATAGTATGCCGTCATGGGGGCAATTCTCATTGCTGGGCTACCATGCGCTCTCAAAGGCAACATAACCAATCTGGCAAATTTCAATGTGAAAAAATGAAAAATAAAGCCTTATATTTGACCCTGTAACTTTCAAAAACACTATAAAACCTGTACATGGTGGGGTACTGTTATACTCAGGAAACTTCGCTGAACACAAATATTAGTGTTTCAAAACAGTAAAACGTATCACAACGATATCATCAGTGAAAGTGTTGTTTATGTGTGACAAATGCAAAAAAACATCACTATCACTGACAATATCATCGCTGTGATATGTTTTACTGTTTAATATTTGTGTTCAGTGAAGTCTACCAAGTAAAACAATACCCCCCATGTACAGGTTTTAGGGTGTCTTGGAAAGTTATAGGGCTAAATATATGCTAGTAAATGAAATTCTCTGGACTTTCAGCCTGGGTTGTCAGGCAGGTCCCCCAAATTGCAATCAATAAAATTACTTAATTACGTAAAAATATTACATAAATATGCATGTAGAATTTAAATATATATACATATTTATTAATTTTTTATGTAAATATGTATTTGGACATATGTATATTTGGTATTATTTTTATTTTTAAATATATATATATCTATAGGTATATATATATATATATATATATAATTTCATGCTAAGGGTATTTTGATATAAATATATATATATATTAATATCAAAATACAGTTAGAACTAGAAAAGTTTCTGGGGAAATTGTGTGAAGTGTGAAGTGTTCTTGCCTCCACCAGTAGTCTACAACTGGAGTGGGCGGAGTAACTGTTATCATTTATATAGTACATTTAATTGCAACGTTGTTGCACAGTTACATTAAACCATACATTTATAAAAACATTAGCAGGTGTTCAAAAGGCCCTGTCTATGACATCACTTGCTGCTGCAGCCTGGCACAAGTCAGAGTATTTTGGCGGTTGCCATCTTCAAACGGTCATATTTTAAAAACTATAAATCCTACAGCTAAGAGCTTTATATTGTGAGAATCACAAGACCCAGACCTACATTTTGATGCATAGTATGTCTCTGAAGTATTAAAAATGAAGGCACAGTCGCAGTTTAGAAATTGTACTTCAAATTTGAGCTTTGTAGAGTGAAGTTTCAATGAATGTCAATGGACGGCATTAGTTGCAAACAAATGATTATATTGTGAAAACTATCAGGACTATGGCTTAGCCGTTGACATGTTTAGTGGCAGGAGGGATAGCTGAACGTTTTGATATATGATTTGTGTAGGTGGGCCTGAAAATAAGGGAGTGGTGGCAGTTTAGAAATCATGTCCTGATTTTTCAGCTTTTGCCAGCTCCCACTCTAGCTTTGCCATTCATTCCTATGGGACAAATTGCGCCACAAGAACGACGATATTCCGTTAACCATTCGGCGAAATGTTCCACAAAGTAATAGCAATCCGATCGGGAACAATCTGCACGTTTTGGCAATGTAGTGTAAAAACTGTGGGAGGAGTTAGGGTGGCAAATTTGGCTATAATAAGAATAAGAATAAGAATATATATGTGAGATAACAATAAGTGGTCTTGCTATGCAAGAACACTTAATAAAATTACATATATATAATGTTTTAATTTTAATTTTATTATTTTTATATTTTTTTGATTTATTTTTAATTAATTATTAATTTTTTATAATAATATATATATACAATAAATATAGTTATTATATATATTCTATATATACATGTGTAATTTTACTATAGGTGTATTTTTATATTAATATATGTATATGTATATAAAAAATACACTTAGTATGACGTTATATATAAGATTTATATATACATATTAGATATAATATATGTATATATATCTCATATATACATATATATATATTTTTATTTTTTTTCTTATTAACTTTCATTTTTTTATTTTAAAACTTATTTTTTTTTTACTTCTTTTCACCAGCAGAGGAACTGCCTGTCAGGCAACATTATGGACGCCTATTGCTCTTTCAGAGTGATCACATGGCCCATGGGGTCCTATTTAGCTGAGGGGGGACTGTTTGGGCTGTGGAGAAGAAGACTGATCACCGGCGAAGGAATGGCAGCAATCAGGTAAGTAGATTAGGAATACCTTGGACGTACTAGGTACATCCGAGTTCCTGGGGGGGGGGTTTATTTATGTATTATTTAAAAAAATATATATTTTGACCCCTCAAGGCACTCAGCACACAGGCAGAGCATCGTAAACCTGCCTGATGTCTACTGATGCTCTGCCTCATAGCCGGGTACCACATGGAGCAACCCGGAAATGAGTCCAGGGGAGTGATCACCCGGCGACCTACCAGTGAGGTGGGTATTGCTGGATGCCTCGACATCGAGGCATCGTTGCAATACCCTTAGAGCGGCAGAAGCGATCACAACCGCTTCCAGCTCTCATATTTGCCACAGACGTACAGGGTACGTCAGCAGTCGTTAACCTTTTCTGAGAATAGTCACTCAGGACAGTCAGTAAAAGGGCTTCCTGGGTTCGGTCCTGCAAAGATTGCAGGACTAATGTTCAGCATCTTCACGCTTTGCATGAATGTGCTAATCGCTTCCCATAGAGATATATTGACACAATGCCTTTCTATAAAGAGATGCTGATTGGTGCAGGAATGGATATCACCTATTTCAATAAATCATCAAAAACATTTGTTTAGTTTCCTTTACCAAATACCTATAGCACATGTTTTATGTTTTATATTTATAAAAGCAATTTATTAAACACAGTGATTTCCTTTATTTAAATAAATTAAGTTATTAAATGCATAAATTTTTAGAAAGCTAAACAATATAGATATACTTTATCTAAAATAATTCTATGACAACTTTTGCTATGGTTAGTGCTTCTTTAAATCACATGGTTATATTTGGGATGGTAATAATGATATGCATTCACTAAACTGGGAATTGTGGAGAATCGATAAATGAACTGCAAATATTAGAAAAAAATAGAGCAAAATTCCTTAAATTAACACTCTGGCACAAAAACATGTCACTGAAGTGGTCATGGTGCCTAGAACCACCGGCGCCTTTTTACCTGAAGTGTTACATAGGTTTTTAATGGTTCAACTCATAAGTGGCGTTAACCAAGTATTTGCTTGAGCAGGAATGATAGGCTGTAATCGTCAGCTGACACTTTCAGCCTATCACTGGCTAGCTTTAGCAAGTAATGCTTCATAAATATACATACACTCTCAGCCAATCAGTGCTGCTCAAGCAGCAGAAAAGAGGTTAGAGGCAAGAAGGTGATGTGGACTTTAGAAATACTACAGGCACCAAAACCACTTAATTTCAATTAAGTGGCTATGGTGCCTGTAGTATTTCTAAAACTTAATCTGTTTACCTAAAATTTGGAGTTCCCCTATCAATTCTCCATAATTTCTCACCAAGTGAATAGTCTGAAATTGATCAACATTATAATTGACAGCATATACAATGCAAATTAACTGTCTTTGTAGTACTAGTTTCAACAAATTCAAGCATTTACACTGTGCTAAAGTAACAATCTCGACTTGTTTAAATTAGTATGAAATTTTTCTTACAAGTAGCTCGCAGTTATTCTTGAAGGCAAGTCTCGGAGTTTCCTTAGCATAGTGCTGCTGGGAGAAATTTTCACCATGTCCATCTTCATCTCTAGCCTGAAGGAACATAAAATGGCCTATTTAGGGACTTCAAATAAAACAGGAATGAAACAGCTACATTCGTTCAACAACTTTAAAATAAAACATAGCGTCATACATATAAAAAGTTAAATAAATAATTTAAAGAAAACCACACCATAACTATATTTGTATTATCATAGATTCATAAACTATTATTCTATATAAAAATATATATTGAGTAGAATAAGCCAGGTAGAATAACACAAAAACATAAGCAGAACATATGTTATCATACAATTATATGTGGCTATTGGGGTGCAGGTTCTGTATGATTCTAAGTACCAAGGATTGCATTCTAGGTATTAAATACATTGATCAGAATTGGTAAATCAGCACAAACGCTGCACAATTTAATAATAAAAAACTTTTTTTTTCTGTTGCATTACACGTGTTCTTTGAAGTACTTTCTAAGGTGCCACGGGTAAGTTAGAACCACTTCAGTTTTTATAAATTACTTGCATTTGATATTAAACTTTCATTTTATAATAGAGTACTTGTTGAATAAAATGGATGATATTGAGGGACTAGGAAAAATAATAATTTTTTTTTTTTGCCAGTGATGTTTTCGTTTACCTAAAAAAAAAAAAAAAATGACTGCTGACGCCTCTGGTACACAATGGATTAAAGGACTTAGAGAGAGAACCACCACTAACGGGGTTCATTCACAGAGTCTAGAACTGATGAGAACTAATAAGAGAATTGCACATTTTGGGCAAAATTGCAGATCTAATAAAAGCTGTGTTTGGAGAATATCCCAAGTTTTGGTCTAAATTGTGAAATTATGTTCACACTTCTCAACAATCCTCAGTTCAGTGACGACACACTAATGTTTCTCGGTCCTCCTGTGCTTTCAAATGTATTTGCCATTACTTGCTAAGTTATTTAACAAATGCAGTTTTTCCCTTGTTTGTAGCAACCATCTGAAAGCCCTGCCAGGAGAATGTGATGCTGCAATCCAAAATGATTTGTTGGGATGCACTCAAGTCCTGTATTATCAGGAAGCGCACACCATCAATGTCAACGGTGCTTCATTACCAAATCAGAGGTAAAACATTTTTTTCCGGATGATGCATTCTTTATTGCATGTTATTTTGATCTACGTTGTTAATTAAGAAAGCTACAATTTAAATGAGAATATTAAGTGGACCCTTTAGGCTGTCTGGATGGAATGTTTAATTTCCTACAAACACTACATCGCGGCTCCCACTGATGGAGTCAGTAGATATAGTGAGAGGAGGGGTGTCAGTGACACACTCATTAAAACGTTCATTTCTCGGTGACATTTGCTCTCTGCTCTCAACTCGTCTCATACAACTGTTCTGTCTCTCTGTCTAGTTTTCTCCTCGCCTCCTAAAATTCACAGCTGAGCTGTCTCCATCCCATATGGCTCGCATATAATTATGTATATTCCATTTTTACACTGCATTAAAATGATGGTACTCTGGCACGGGGCCAACTCATTAAAAAAAAATGGAACGAAACATCCGTGAACTAGAAGGGAAAATAAATTGAAAGTATGAAATACACAGGAGACTGGCATTCAGCAAGCGGCAGGTAGTGATGTGTGCTTCCCTTTTATAAAATGTTCTGCATTTCCTAACTATGTAGACAATGGCAAATAGAAACCTATTGCTATGTGTATATTATGAAGACGCACATTATGCATTTTTCCCTTTAAAGTAGCTAAACTCCTGTGTTAAGCATGAAATGGGAAATGTACCGGTCCGTGTTTTATCACGCTTGAAATGTGCTGAATCGATATGCTATTGGTAAGCTAATATAAATCAACGCATCAAGTCCCAATGTCAGGAGTCATCAGGCACTCCTCTTCTTGATCAGAATCTGAACATGCTCTGTCATTGTCTGTAGCAAATGTTTGTACAGGTGAAGCAAGATTCAGTTGCAGCTAATTACCAAAACAACTTTATCCTAATGAAGCAGTTTTGGTGCCATTTAGGAGTTAAATCACTTTGTTTATCCAGCCCTAGTTACACCCCCCCTGCATGTGCCTTACACAGCCTTCCTAAACACTCCCTGTAAAGAGTTATCTAATGTTTACACTTCCTTTATTGCAAATTCAGTTTAATTTAGAATATTTTTTTGTTTTCATGCAGGCTGTGTCAGTCACAGATAGGGGAGGTAAACAGAAACAAATGTGATTGAACTCCTAAATGGCAGTGAATTGAGCAGTGAAACTGCAAGGGCATGATCTATATACAAAAACTGCTTCATTACGCTAAAGTTGTTTTGGTGACTATAGTGCCCCTTTAATTCATACTGGCTCACTTGCACAGTACAACATAAATGTGGCTGTGCCAAGTTGGTTAACAGCAATACAGTACGGCTAAATTAGCCTTACCCAAGTACAGTTATTTACAATGATTAACAAGGAAGTGAATTTCCTCATTATGACATCCCAAAGCATAGGAGGTGGACTTAAGGTGATGGAAAATCCTTAAATTGTTTTCAATCTGCTTGAAAACAGTCTCATAAAAAATTAGGGGAATACATTTATTTTTAGTTTGGCTATTGATCACAAACTCTGATATGCTCTTAACCACAACTTTCATTTTTTTCTAATAGTCCACATGCAAGATTCCATGACTTGGATTCCAGTATATATCAGTACAGATTGTATGCATACCACATCTGCTGGTCACAGGGAAGTCTTTATGTTAAAATGCACAATGCTGAATTTGTCCTTGTTCCCTGCCTCCTTAGGTAGAATAGCACTTTAAATTAGCGACTCCATATTTCTTCTTCATGGGTACAATAAATAATCCTTCAGCTTCCTAACTCAAGGGATTCAATAGTGTAAGGAATACAAATCAGTATTCTTTACATTATAGTTCACTGTGGTCCACCAATTAGTGCCTCTATTGACAGGACCTCGAGGTAGTCATTGCAGTTTCTCGAAAATTGCAATTGTTTACATTGCAGGAGTAAGTGGGACTGGGACACTGCACCTAGACTACGTCAATGAGATGAAGTGATCTGGGTGCCTACAGCGTCCCTTTAACTCTTCTTTTTGTTATAGAGAAACAGACATGCAGAGTAGGCTTAAAAGCTACTTAGGGTAATCATAACTAAATATGCATTGATGCTAAGGAGTAAGTCATCAATGTTCATTCTCTAGATTGAAAGCTAGAAGCTAGTAACATTGACAAAAATATATATAAACTAGAAAAGCTACAATTTCTGGTGAAATTGTGTGAGGTGTTCTTGCCTCCACCAGTAGTCTACAACTGGAGTGGTTGGAGTAACTGTTATTATTTATCTATATAGCACATTTAATTGCAACGTTGTTGCCCAAAGTGCTTCAGTTACATTAAAACATACATTTATCTAAAATACAAACTGACTACCTCACCCTGAGGTAGTCAGTTTGTAATTTGTAGCTCCCATAAAGACAGTTGGCTTTTCAAAAGTATGGGGTTCCATATGCTAACTATACTTCTTTAAAGAAATTCAATGAAATTGCTTATATTTAATTGGATGTGTAAATAAATATAAATAAACATGCTGTTCTTTGTCAAACACATGCTATTGTTCAATATAATGCTTCTAGTGTTTAAAAAAAACATAGTTTAAATGGAACTGAGCAAAAAATCACCTCCAATGTATCACACTCGAGCAAAGTCAGCACAGTTACTCCTGGGAAAATAATGCACAAAAAGACATACAAATAATGTGTGCTGAAATGGCCATGAAAGTGGAGAAATAAAGAAGGTGAAGAGTAATAGTAGACTCATTTTGCATCCTTGCTCCCTCACAATCAAGCTAAGGGACTCTTGTGCCGTGAATTCAATGTTGAGGCATGATGATGATGAATCCATATATTGGATGCATTGTGTGAGTAGGACCATTTACACAGAATGTTCTCACTGTGCAAAATAAGGGTCATTCATTAGTACTTGTCCCCCAGATAACAAGTTGCCAGAAATACTCTGATATTATATCATTTATTCCAGGCCAGAATGTTAGCCTTTGCTGAATAAGCCATCTTTATACCCATATGTTCTTAAAGTTAAAGGTCATTCTACAGCAAATAATTCCAGTTTGTGGACAGTGTTCGCTAACTGAACTTTAATTATCAGGAGTGTAGTTTGTTTGTTTTTTGATAATTCATATGATAGCATGTATGATATTATTTATCTCGTTCTTATCTGCTCACATTTACTTATGCCCCCTGTACCTCCATCAATGCAGCTTGTGTTGAACCATTTGCAAGCAGTTTAACACAAACTAAGGCTCTGCCAGCATCTATGAATAGATTAGGGTGTAATTAAAAATAAATAAATAAATGAAGGAGGAGGCATCTGTTGTTGCTTCCCTAATTGGAAGTGGACTCCTACATTAGTCCATCAAACTTTGAACTGCACTGATAGGCTGAGACCAATGTAGGTGGGATCGTCTCGCGTTCCAAAACTATTATTGCCACCCAAAGTTGAACAAGCTAATGTGAAAGTCCACTTCTGCATTTCCTCAGCATTCCACAAAAAAAAGGCTGGGCTGGACTCTAAGTGCCCGGGAAGGCCCACTTTTAAAAACAGTATGTTCTTGCTCAAACAACAGAATTAGCATTTGTTGTAACTGGTTGTAAGCCTTGTTTGTAAGTCGTGTTGCGATGTTTGTGTAAGAGTTGCAGCCTGTGTGACTGGTATGGCATTTTAAGATGCAGATTGTAGACAGCACTTTAGCGTATATGCATAATTCTCATAATCGCTTCAACGTTACCTGAGCTGCAGAAAAAGAATTAGATGTTAAGCATCAGCAAAGATTCCTTGTTTTTGTCAAATTGTTTTAAGATTGTGGAGACAGCACTCACAGACTCATTGCACAATAACAAGTACAATAGGCTGTTGCAATTTTGTTGCTTAAAGCGCCCCTTTAAACAATATATTTCTGCTGGCTCACTGTTTACTAGCAATGTTGTGAGATATTTAAAATTCCAATAATGCTTTATTCTTCCCTTAAAAGTTGACATTTTCATATGATTATCACATTTTGGGGCCATGGAGGGAATATGATGAATTAGAAAGCAGGAACGAAGTGAAGGTGTGGGAAGTGAGCAGAGATGATGAAAGTAGAGGGGAAGCATAATGGATCATTTTCATTGCTGGAGATAAATTATATCCCACATTTCTCACAATTACTCTGTAGGCTACTCAAGGATCTCACACTCGTTACCTAGAGATTGCCTCTTTGGCTTTGTAATGCATTTCTCAACCAGCTAGTGAACAGTCACTGAGTGTGAAAGTGTTAATCCCACAAAATGACAACTCACTTTTTTCCAAAATGTTTCCTCAGTTAAAATGTTCGCATCCAGTAGCCTACACATATAACGCACTAAGTTATTTAACCCTTACAGCCCTAGCACCTGACTTAATATTATTTTTATGTTCAGTGACAGCCACTGATTAGAGTAATGCCTGATATATTTATTTTTTGTGAAATTGTCACAACATTGATTTAAACCTGTACAATTAATTTGTGATATAAGCCTGAAATGTCCAAATGAGTTCCTGTCACCGCTGAATGAAACACTGGACTGAGGTTCACACATTACAACAATTATAATAAAATCTAGAATCATAGTTGGGACCAGTATTCAATCTAAGTCACAGTACAAGTTCAATGTTGCTGCATCTTCGATCAGTTAAAGGGACACTAACACACTTCGGGTTGTTACAACAATTGCAGGTTTCAATAGAAACTGGCATTCTTATAAACCTTGTTACACCTCCTGGCTGTCATTTAGACAGCCAATCCTGTTACTTCCTGATTGTTTGGCTCAGTGGAGGGGAAACTCAAGAGGCAGCTCAAAGCACCTTCCTGAAGCATCTGCCTTGCAAAGACTTCTCAATGATCTGCATTGGAAAGTTTGTGATTAGACCGCAACAAAAAGTCTGGACGGAGTTGCTTAGATCCCATATTACAACCATACCTAAACCTGTAAAGACACCCACCCAGTCTTCCAATTTCAGACCCATCTCTCTGGTAAATAGCAACACTAAATTGTATGTTAAGTTGTTTGCCAACAGACTATCTGAATTCTGAATTTTATAATAAACAACGACCAATCAGGGTTCATTCGCACCAATGCTTGGAAAACTCAGTGGAAACTGCTTATCATTCTGTCTCACCTCAAGAGAGCTAACAGGGAAGGTTTTAGTAGCCTGGACATATATGACCCATGCTTTGGACAAATTTGGCTTCCCACAATAGCTAATGTCAGGGTAATGGCTTGGTATAAATATCCAACTGCCAATGTCCTCAATGCTGTTTTTTTTATCAGTGTCATTAAACATATCGAATAGTACCCATCAAGGCTGCCCTTTATCCCCTCTCCTTTTCATACTGTCATATGAACCAGTAGCACAGTCACTCAGACATCACACAGATATCTCAGGCATTGACATTGATAATAAAGACTACGTTGTTTGCAAACATGCAAACAACATGATACTTATATTCAGTGACCTGTCCAAATCTCACCGGTGGTCTTGTCGAACCTGTCTCAGTCTGGTCAGTTGTCATATTGTAAGCTTACTCAGACAAAGCATCAAGCCATGTTGATGAATTCCTGTCAGTCATTGGTGATAGACCTCAAAAGTAGGCATAACTGAATGGAGAGCCTCATATATCACATACCTAGGAATTAACCTAACGAGATTAGTGCATACTATATTCAAACATAACCACATACCACTTCTGCAGTAGTATAAGACGGAACTATCCTGATTGAACCATATTTCCATATCTTGGGCTGGCAGAATAAACACAATTACAATGTATGCTACCCATATCCCTGACTCCAGCATACTGCAAAAACATACAATTTGTTTATTAACACATTTTATTTGTGAACACTGGAAGGCCAGATTTCACCCAATGTTAATTCAAAAATCTTTCTCAAAGGATGGGTTGGAGGGAGCTACCAAATATCCTTCTGTACTATATAGCGGTGGTATTACAGGCGGTATTAGTTCTACTTGCCCATAAGGCAGCCCTTCAATTAGTTAATATGGAACTGGCTGAACTACCCCTGGCTATCTGTACAGAGGCGGATAGATGAAGGTATCACTAATGTGGCCCAATTGTTATCGCAGAGTAAACTGCAACCATTCCCGCACCTACAGGAGGCCTTCAAGTTATTTCCCAGTCATATTTTCCCCTATTTGACACTTAAAAATTTCCTCAAGTCCCACATTATAATGTGGAAATTCATCCTTTTAAATGTTCCTTGACAGATGCTGGAGGTCCCCATTGAAAGCCAACGCACTGTCAGTATGTTCTACAGTTCTAGAGCAGACTTTGTCCACTCGTAAATATGCATTTCAAAAGAAATAGGAGGAGGAGTGTGGATTACAACTCTCGGACAGGAAGTGGGAGCAGTTACTAAATGCTCTCAAAGGGGTAACAACATGTTAGTACCGCATAGAGACCCACCTTAAGCTAGTATATCAGTGATACACAGCTACCTCTTGACTTCATAAAATATATTCTTCTGCTTCCACCTGTGTTTGAGATGTGGCGATCAGGAAGGACCCATCTTACACATTTGGTAGTTCTGCCAAAAAGATACAGCTGTTTTGGAGTGAGGCAGCCTCACTACTAAGGGGTTTGTCAGTCCTGGACTTACCCTTTGAACCCTGCAGTTATAGGTTGCTATTGACCACAAATGATGCTCTCTGACCCAGTAGAATTTTGTCTACTCATGTTCCACTTGCAGCATGCCACCTCATAGCTTTACGATGGAAGGCAAATACACCCCCTTCTTTCCAGAGTTTGTTGGAAATGATTAAATGTAACTATTTGTACAAACACAAGTGCAATGAAAATGTTTCCCAGGGGAAAAAAAAATTGACAGTATGTGGCAATCTTGGCTAAAATATGTATCAGACACGACACATAACGCAGCAAAATAATGATCTACTGGACATCTGATGCAGTGTGTCGAGTTGGATTATTCATGATGTAGGAAGCCTCCCCTTGGGGCTGATGTAGTATAATCCTTTTTTAAATGCTAATCTTATTGTGTTATAGTTTTGCTTCTGTTTCCTTTTCTCTGTTATATTTATATTTGTGCTTTTTAACAATGCATTCTACGTTCTGTATAATTTGCAATCAACACGTCGTAATATATGTATATTCTGTAAAACGCTAATACACTAAATATGACAAGAATTATTTTTTTAAATTCTTGGCTGGGAAAAAAGAGGAGGGCTTACAAAGGCTTCAGTCAAGAACTGCTGCTTTTAATAGCTATACCCCAATGATAAAAATAATAATGAAATGCATTTATGTTTTTGTTGGGGTATATCAACTAAACGGTGATTTAAAAAAAAACATTTGGAAGGTCCTCCTGTGCACAATGAGAAAGCATCATTTACAAAATGAAATAATATTTTTGAATATGTTATAGTTACATCAGTTGTTAAAGAAAATAATCTGATCACAAATCATAATGTACAATAATATATTATACCCTAGCAGTGATTTAAGAAATGAAGTTCATGCCCAAGGTTTCTATTGTTTATTGATATCCTTTAGCATCAGCTGATGCAATTGCTCTGGAACTCCAGCCATTGCAAGCTGAGCTATGGTTCATACTAGTTTGGATGTTAAATGTAACTTATCACATCCATCAGTGACCACTTTAACTCTACCTAGCATCAGTGTCTATATTTAGAAAACAAAAACCTAATGAATAGAACAATGCATCCCCCTAAGACTTATTTATGAAATGGTTGACGGCTCAAAATCCCAAGCTTCTATTTATCAAGAAAAAAAAATCTTTTGGTTTGTATCTGCTGCCAAGCCTTATCGCATTTACCTTGAAACAATCAATATCCAATTAAAAAGCACACATGTAATTGATGGAAGGGATAACTAGATGGTGCATATGATGAACTTTATTAATAGGTACCCGTGCTGAGCATGCACACATCTAATCTATGATCAGGAATGACTGCAGTCTGTTGAAGAAAGGCCCACCGTAGACTTTAAATCGGAAATCACTGTTAGTGCTGGCAGGGGCACTTGATAGGGAATTATATTACCAACGCAAGATGCAAGATTCAAAGCCACAAAAAGAAAGGCTTTCACTCAAAGTTCATAAAGCCCTAAAATTATTCTGTAATACTATTGGATGCAAATAGATACAGCTAAAAACAGGTTCAAACTATTCACAGGTACAGGTACATCTATATTGTACTTACAATGTTGTAAAAATATAAACTTTAAATTTAGCTCACAGATGCCCATCATGTGTATGGTACTCTTGTTCATATTCTGGAAGTCTTCTTTTATGCTGAATTTATAATTTCCTGTGATGTGAAATCGAGTAACTGTAAATCCACTAAAAATTGATTATTTTGTTACTGTTATGTTTAATTTCTTTTTCATATTTTGTCATTAACGCTCTTTTATTAATAAAAACTAGTGATGACGCGAACCGTTCGCTAACTTGCCGCGAACGGTTCGCCACGAACCGTTCGCGGTGAACTCCGGTCAGAAGACACATCCCTGACAATCTCCGGCAGACCCTCCCTCCCAGACCCTCCCACCTCCTGGACAGCATCCATGTTGAAGCTGCCTTCAACATGGATGCTGTCCAGGAAGTAGGAGGGTCTGGGAGGGAGGGTCTGCCGGAGATTGGCAGGGATGTGTCAGCTGACCGGAGTTCGCCGCGAACCGCGGTGAACCGTTTGCGGCAAGTTCGCGAACGGTTCGCGACATCACTAATAAAAACAAAACACTTTTTAAAACTAGGATACAAAAAATATAAAACTTTTTGTACGCAAAAACATGTGTCCTTTGGAATTGTAATATTTACTGCTTAAATGCATGAACTGGGTTAAACCACTACATTCACTGAGGCACTATTAAAGTGCTACTGTTACCTGAATATGGTGTCCCATTGATTAATTTAAAATAGATCAATATTGTTTTCATATACGAAAGCTAGATAAACTTTAGCTGCAATTACAACTTGAAGTTCTGCCATTTATTCTGGTGGAGGTGGCCATCTTGGAATTGCATCTTAGAGACTGATTAGAAAAAAATCAAGGCTGTAGATAATATGTGATGTCAGCAGCCAATCAAAACCTGTAATTTTGCAGAGCAGCACACAGCTTTATAATGTACAAGAAACAGACAATTGTTTTTGGAATACTCTTTTGATGAACCGTTCTCCAACTGACCACGGTTTGCTTACAATCTTTTGTTTGATTTTTTAAAAAAATGTTTAATGAAAACTGCTGAATAGATTTTCAAAATATTCTGCACCAAGGCATATATACACACATAGTATATAACAGAGCCCTTTTAAAGTTTTTGAATTCTCGGTCAAACCCAACATTCTGGAACTGTTGTTCAGCATGCTCCCAGCACATAATTTATTACCCTGCCCTTGGCATTTATGGCAACGTAGCCGCTCAATAAATTGCAGAATGATCTCAGTATGTGGGGAAAGGCTCTGCATTACTTGGCTGTACATACAATCACTGTGTTATCGCTGGGCACAGCTGTACGCTGAATACATTTGGACTGAAAAACATACTTAGCTGCCACACATCAAATTAAAACGGTACCATTCAATGGTGTGGATGCATGTTAGCAAATAATGATTATATGGTTTGCGGTACGTATTTCCATTAAATAAGTAGGCTTTCATTCCAAGCATGCTTTAAGAAACAAAAAGCTTTTAAATAGGGTTTTAGTATATCACTTTTTAATGTTTTGCATCAATATTACTGCCACTGCTTTCTATTTTACTAGTTGGTGTGAAGCATGGCAGGAACATTCATTTACTGGGGTATCAATAGATGTCACTGTCAATGTGCTAAACCAATCAACAAAGAAAGACTCCAATATCTCTCAGTTTGTCTGTCTGCCTGCCTGTTAATTTTCTATCTGTACAAAAATGATCAGTATTTTTGATTTTTTTTCTTTAAATTGCCATCTTTATTGGTTTATTTTAAGACATTCACATTAGCCCTTTGTATGAGAGGAAACCAGAGTTGGTCTCTCATTAGGTTACATCTCGCTTAAAAAATACTTTGACAGAGAATCAAGCAGCAGCCAAACATGTTAAGACTTAACATTCTAAGACCTTCTACGTTTAAAACAACTGAAACCGGCATTGGAACTGGAAGTGTCATCAGCTCAGTCTTAGGAAGCCATCTTGGATTTTCATAGAATTACTTGCATGCAGGATATCTAGCAATTTATTTTCTACATGTAATTTTTGGTGGGGCATAAAGGATAACGTAGGTGAAATGATCAGTATTTTTACTGTCAAAATCTACCATTGCATCCATTAAAGGTTGGATATTATTTCTGCAAAAACTGGTAAATAATAGAACATTGAATCTAAGAACCAATAAACCATGTATGAAGACTATTACTTTGACTATTTAGGTCAGGTATTTAGAGTTAACCAAGTGCAGCTGATGTGTGTTTCTGATTATTTAAAGATTTTCTGAATATTGTCACTACACTCTAAAATTATTTAGTGAATATAATTCTGGGTCCTTATTACTGGCTATGTTGTCCAATGCATGCGCATTCGGCGGATGATGTCGGAAGAGGGAGGAAAGTCCCCAGCGCCGAGGGAGCCCAGCTCTGGAGAAAAGTAAGAATTTAACCTCTTACTCCCCATAGAGCCCAGCGGGAGGGGGATCCAACGACCCTATAGAGCCAGGAAAACGAGTTTGTTTTCCTAGCACTATAGTGGTCCTTTAATTTTCTCTCCATTATCCATTATTCCCATCTCATCCTTGGATGTTTTTTCCTATAGTTGTTGGTTGTTAAACAATTTATTCTTAACCAAGTGCAGCTGATGTGTGTTTCTGATTATTTAAAGATTTTCTGAATATTGTCACTACACTCTAAAATTATTTAGTGAATATAATTCTGGGTCCTTATTACTGGCTATGTTGTCCAATGCATGCGCATTCGGCGGATGATGTCGGAAGAGGGAGGAAAGTCCCCAGCGCCGAGGGAGCCCAGCTCTGGAGAAAAGTAAGAATTTAACCTCTTACTCCCCATAGAGCCCAGCGGGAGGGGGATCCAACGACCCTATAGAGCCAGGAAAACGAGTTTGTTTTCCTAGCACTATAGTGGTCCTTTAATTTTCTCTCCATTATCCATTATTCCCATCTCATCCTTGGATGTTTTTTCCTATAGTTGTTGGTTGTTAAACAATTTATTCTTGTGTATCACTTTCAATATTAAACAAGAGAACTTAATAAAATTCACAGTAGAAAAATAATGCTTTTACAACCCTAAATATTAATTGTGTCTGAAAGAAAATGTTAGTTTTAAATACAGAATTTTGGAATAAGAATACTATTTAGTTTGAGATAATAAGAAACATCCTCTCATACATATCTAAACACATCAAATGCCTTAAAGACAGAGGCAATTATCAAGGTTACGAACCAAAACAAAACCTTGAATTTGAGCTATAGGTTTGTTCCACTATAATTTAATTGTTTCTCTTAAGGTGCCCCATACATATTTATATATCATTTTTAAAGGACAGAAAGGGTTTTCATTTAACATGTTATATGCATACCTAACACATAATGTGTGAATAAAATATATATTTTTTTATATTTTAAATGTATAATTTTTACACATCTAGTGCAACTATTTAAAAATAACACAAAATTGATTCATATATCAGTCCTTATTTTTAAATGCCTATTATATTTAGGATTTAAATTAATTTTTGATAGTCAAAAGTAACCCTATACCAACCCCCACACTAATGCTATACCAGCCATACCCTTTACCCAATGCTTACATTAATTCCAACTGCATGCCTACCCTAATCTTACCCTTAACCTCAACCCTACACTACCTTTAACCCTAAAATGGCCTTAATACAAACTCAGCCTTATCCCTAACCCAACTCTAACCCTCAAGCTAATACTAACCCTACCCAACCCTTACTCCTATATCTAACCCTAACCCTATTGCTACCACTAGTCCCAACCTTAACCCTAAGGTAATCCACTGCCTATATCAATTCTGATATTGGAAGTGGGGTTTTACAGTATTTAACACAGTAAGTGGTGGTATGTTGACACCATCGACTGGCCGAGATCAGAATTACACATACTATAATTCTGAATAGAGCCCTGGTCCCAGCCCCAAAAGCTAGGTCTCCCTAAAGCTGCCTGCACTCACAACAACCTCGGCTGAGTGTGATCATTTAGTGACTTCCAGCATTGCACAGTACTTATCGGTCAGTCTGTGGCAACTAAAAATGGCCCCAGCTGAATTACAAGAGCACCGGGTATCCATTGATATATGGGGTTAGTGGTGTGAGCTGAACCCTGCTCACACCACAATGTTTTGATAGGCATTTAAATGCCTATTTAAAGAGATTTTTTTTAAACGGCCCCAGCAGACAAAGGGGAGCCCCAAGTGTCTATTGATACCACTCGTCCTTCTCAGTCGAAGCAAGGAAGCATACTGCAAGCACTGGAACATACTTTCATATACCCCTATGTGTAATCTAGTGTATTGCCAGGAGGGAAGAGAAAATATAAATTAAAACATGGCTGTGCCCAGGTATGGGTATTTATGGTTACGTCAATATAATAATATATTCATGCTAAGGTAACACTATACTTAAGGTCATAACAGGCTTACAACACGCACCGAAACAGATTGCCCTCAGCAGAGCACCAGGACCCTATACATTACCTGGATAAAAGAATGGGAAGTGCTGGGCAGGCTTCTGTTTTTGCTGCGCTGTCCTGGTATCTCCTGGTCAACAGATGCGGCTAGGCATGGCATTTATAATAACAAAGAACTACCCACATGTAAATAAGTTGTACTAGGTTAGTACATGAAGTTGTGAAGTTGTACCTTTCTACAAACTTCTCTTTATCCTTCTTTCTTAGTTGCATGTGTTTTAAAGCAATAACAACATAATAGTATCAAAGGACAAGTGTACAAAACACCCACTTGACAACAGATACAGCCTCTAGGAATTCTAAATATGTCATGCTGATATATATGAAACAGAAGAAAAGGAACCGCACTCAAATCTACTGAAAACCGGGGGCACCGAAGCCAGACCAGCAAATCCAAAACACGTATAAAAAAACAGGCACTCACGAAATTAAAGCTACAGGCAGATTTATTGGTATTTATCAAACTGACCTATTAATACGTCGAAACATTACTTTGCCTTCTTGATCCAATAAATCTGCCTGTGCCTTTAATTCCTTTAGTGCCCGAAGATTTTCTTCTGTTTTATTATGCTGATATATATGGGTATCAGGAGATATTCAGATTTCATGGTGTTTACATGGTATGAACTTTGTCGCACTCATGCTTACTATATGCTTACTGCATGTATACATGATATTAATGCGTTCTTACATTTGTCCCTATGTATTAATATTAATGTCAACTGTGCAATGATCAACTCATTGTTGCAAGAATTGTTTAAATACTTGTGAAAATAAATAAAAAATGTCAAATTGAAAAAAAAAAAAAAACACGGCTATGCAACTTTACCATTTGACCATCAGACAAGAGGGATTTGCAGGGCAAGGGTGCCTCGGACTCAGGAGTCCAGTTGATTCCCACACTCAACACTTCCAAAATGGCACCTCTATTTGATGCAATTATTCCAAAAGGCATTTTACTGAACATCAGTCGTTTGCACATGCACAACCACATTATATTTATAGATTTGTTAACGTGAGCTGGTATGAGTAATCCTTTTTAATTCATAAACGACAGTGCCAAATTTCATACACAATGCAAAATACACACATCTGTGTAGCTAATGGATTTTGCAGCAATTTCGAGAGAAGTATGGCAGTTTATCAGTTTATGTTTGCCTCTAGCATGCAATGTATTTTGTTTTGAGAACAGATTTCTGCTCTTATTGAAGCATCTGTGATTCTGTGTTGCCAGGTGTGTGTCTACATTTTGATGGCAAACCGGTCCCAGTAAAGCCTTGCGGGTGATGATCTGCATGTTACTTTAGCAATACGAACCAGAACAAGGAGGTTTATAGTGTACAATACTTTATGTTATAGGGAAACAGTTCTATGGTGCTATAGAATGAAGGTCAATATGTCGCATTTCTGTTGGACTATTCAAGACTCCATTCATAAGATCCTCAATTTAAAAAATATTACATAATGTAGCCCACATAACTCCTCTGAATATTTCTTTATTACACCATCCCGAAAAGGCCTTTATTACAAGGAACGTATCAATCGCATGGATTACTGTCAGCAGGACTAGTTGTAGTACACCAATATTTCCATTGAAGCCTGCACATGGTAATAGCTCTAAAATAACGCCACAGGTAAGTAATGAATACGTGCACAATTTATTAAAAAATAGATAGAGCAAATAACAACTAGTAGCCCACCTAATAAGATGTTACCTCCACTATTTGTACCAAACGCCAGTGTGCAACTTATATGCACGTTCAAATAGGTGGAAATCCAGGGAAAGGCAAAAGGCATCCAAAAGGCAAAAGGCAGCTGTAGATAGCAAAATCTACTGGGGGCGCGGGGAAGAGTCACTGGAGAGCATCCCAGAAAACCTTCAAAGGGGTCCTAAACGCGTTTCGTCCCTGTCTTGGCACTTTCTCAGCAGCAGGACTAGGTGTCTGTTGTTTGCCCTTTTCAAACTGCATATTAAAGAAAAAAGCCTTGCACCCCCAGTGCTGCAGAGCTGCTGTATCCAATCACTTAACAACCAATCACATTCATTATAACCTGGTTCTTAAGGACCTTATTGCAGAGTAGAATGCACTGCTCATATACGGACATATATTGCCATCGGTCCTTAATGGGTTAATATGGAAACTCTAATCTGAGACTTAAAAAATAATAAAAATTTAAAAAAAAAGATTATTTATATTTTAGTTTTCCTGGAAATGCTAATAATGTAAAAAAAGAAAGAGACTACATAATTCTATTTAGGGCACAGTTAGAGATGCTACTAATCTTATCAGTCTCCAATCACACCTGGTGTGTGACATATTGGAACGACTACAGGAGCTGCAGGGAAGCAGGCTGAGTTGCTAAGTAGAGAGAACTGCAAGTGTCCAATAGAGGAGAGACTGTTTTCCCTGCTTGTCTCCCACTGGCCATACATTATGTTCTTATTTAAGGCTAGTACTGGGATGCAGATTTTGATACATTCCAATAGAACGACATTACTGAAATATACTAACATATTATTAACAGCTTACAGCCTTTACGCATGGCACAATACCAAAAATTCAATTTATACTTAGAATCGAGGTATGGTATAGAAAGCATTCGATTGAGCTTCTTGAAACTGGTTTCAGGAAATGGGGAGATATATCGTGAAAACCAGACAATAGATAAGCTACTATATCAAATATATCATTCATGTTTTAAATTAATGCACATCACCATAATTGGTAGAACGCCCAATTTTATCCTTTGCAAAATACTGCGGGTAGCATATCGCTTGCCATGATGGTGACAATCACGACATTGACAAACTTGTTGAGTAAACAAACAGTCAGTATCTTAATATATTGCTACCAATAATGTCAATAAAGAAGCAATTTTTTTTTACAACAAATGGAGTCAACTTACATTCTCCAATGTAACATAATCATGTAGTCAATCCAACATATATTGCGGCATGAACAATTTAACTCGAAATTAATTTCAAGTTACAGGATTATCTGGAAAAACTTTCCAAGCCAGCTATATTTCAGTTTAAATTGTAAAGAAACACTATAGCATAAGGAATTAGTCACCGTTTAGGCGACCGAGCCATCGCTGAGAAGATTAAAAATGGTCATTTACTTACCTTTTAGCCCTTGCCACATCGGTTTCCTCCATGTAGCTCCGCTTCTTTGACTGAGATAATCGGTCTTGATGATCCCAGCCAATCCAATGCTTGGGAGGCCAGTGTGCATATGTGCAAAATGCCACACTATGCCAATCAGATGGCCTTTTGCTATTTTATGGAAACACTTCTAGTGGCTGTCATATTGACAGCCACTTAAAGGACCACTATAGTGCCAGGAAAACATACTCGTTTTCCTGGCACTATAGTACCCTGAGGGTGCCCCCACCCTCAGGGTCCCCCTCCCGCCCGGCTCTGGAAGGGGGAAAGGGGTAAAAACTTACCTTTTTCCAGCGCTGGGCGGGGAGCTCTCTCCCTCCTCCTCTCCGCCTCCGTTACGCTCCGCCGCTGAATGCGCACGCGCGGCAAGAGCGCGCGCGCATTCAGCCGGTCACATAGGAAAGCATTTACAATGCTTTCCTATGGACGCTGGCGTGCTCTCACTGTGAAAATCACAGTGAGAAGCACGCAAGCGCCTCTAGTGGCTGTCAATGAGACAGCCACTAGAGGATTAGGGGGAAGGCTTAACCCATTCATAATTATAGCAGTTTCTCTGAAACTGCTATAATTATGAAAAAATGGGTTAACCCTAGAAGGACCTGGCACCCAGACCACTTCATTAAGCTGAAGTGGTCTGGGTGCCTAGAGTGGTCCTTTAAGGGAAGGTAATCCCTGTAATGTAAACATTTGTGTTCCTACAAAAGGGCAGTGTTTTCAACTGCAGGGTTAAAAAACTGAGCACATTGTGATAAAGTGTTCTTGGTGCCTCTAGTGTTCCTTTAAATATGACTTTAAGTGGGTTGATAGATGCCAATGTCTATGTGTTTCATTTTGTCACTTTATCTTATTTTATTTATATTATTTGTTGTAGAGTGTGTCTTTAATTAAACAGTTGTGTTTTTGGGACTTGCGACCAAAGTAAATTTATTTACATGCTGTGCTGGCTTTCTGGAACTCATTTGCTGAATGTCACACTAATGCGATGGCACAACGTTTAACTGGCATAGAGAAAAGTGCCACCCGCAAGATATTACCTGCTGAGCAGTCTAAATCTTAATTTGATGAAGACTACCTTATACACTTCTTGTACAGCTAGATCTTGTCTCAAACATAGTGAAATCAAATGAAGTTACTACGTCAAGGTTTTGTTTTTTTAACTCTTGTAGAAAGATACAAAAATAGAATAATGCACTTTACAATTAAATAAAATGTGAGATACAGTCTAATAATATAGAACATGCAGTCTCATCACATTTCCTGCAGTGAAACTGAAAGAGGGGTACCTCATCTTGATTCCTTCTACCAATCCCCCCTAAATCAGTGGTGGGCCTAAAGGTTGATCCCCATCTGTCATACAATTCCAACGATGCTATGCCAGCTGGGGATCTACCATTTGTCCAACCTTGCAGGGTTGTATATGTGAGCAATGTTTATGCGTTTGAATATAAGCATGTTTTTGTATAGAGTGTGTGTGTGCATGAAGGGTATGTATTTGTATGTACTGTTGACATTGGAATGATTGTTGTATGTTGAATGTGTTTGCATGGAATGTCTGTGTTTGATTGCAGGGATGTGTTTGGATGTAATGTTGGCTTTTATATGCGGATGTACACTTGTGTAGTATCGGTGTTTGAGTGAAGAGTGTGTTTTTTATATAATCTTGGAGTTTGAATGCAGAAGTGTGTTTGGATGTAATATGTGTGTTATATTGCAGGAGTGTGTTTGCATGTTGTGTTGGTATTTGATTGCTTGGATGTATGCACGTAGACACATAAACTGCCACATGCATACTTACACACTTGGATACCTATTGTGTCCAAGAGGGTGGTTTGCTTGGGGTTCTGCTACTGGTGGGAGCGAGTGTGGAGTCTGGAGCAGCAATATCGTCTTCCACCTTCTCCCCCATGCTGCCTATGCCTGTGGTGGTGCCGCCACCACCTCCTCCCTCCCGTGCTCCCCATTGGAGCTGATTAATGGCCGGGGCACCCTCTTCATCCATAATACTCATAGTGTGTTTCTAAGTGCATGTTCCACCTGATGGACCCCCAAAGCATGCAGTAGTTCTGCCTCTGCCCTAAATATCAGTAGCAGAAGCACTTTAAATCACAAATCGCTACTATTTAATTCCTTCTATACTATATCTATCCGACAGAACACACCACATGCTATATCAAGGTTTTTAGCACAAAATTGTAGTTTTAAAATTAGCTAAGGAATCCTCTGCCCTTAGCTAACTAGGATGGCACCCTACAAGAATGCACCGGGGTGCATGCCATTTTAAGACCAGAGAATGATCTCTTTGAATAAACTTTGCTATGGCATGGTGCTAGCTATAACTATTCTGCTCTTCATTATTTTGTCCTAATTTTATATATGATCCAGCCAGTATACTGCGGTATAGGTGTCATCTAACCCATGCCACACAGTCTTGTAATTTTTACTAGTATCGACAGCAAAGGGTAAGGTGAGCCAGTTGTCCACACAGGAAATAAAACATAAAACAAATGGAATGATTTTGTCAGATCTCCCAACTGTGCCAATTTCAGTGTCCAGTCCATTATCCCAATTTTGTCCCCTGCATGCACAGCACAAATGGATCATTAGACATGCTCACTATGCTGAGGACAACGGGACCATGCAGTGCTCTCTGCATGGTCTGCCCGGAGTGGGACTGGTCATAATGCTGTCAATCAGCCTGACACTCCCCTTATGTGTGCAGGTGTACCCCTATTTCAAGGGCATACCTCCCAAAGTTGGGATGTATGTTTATTTAAGTGTACAAATTATATCTTTCACAGAGTGGGAACATTCCAGCATTTCATATCTGGACTGCCTTAATAGGTGGGATCAGTCTGATATGTAAATGGTATAGGTCAGTGGTTCCCAACCCAGTCCTCAAGTACCCTCTACCAACCCAGGATTTAGGGATTACCCAATTGTGTCTAAGGTGTTTTCAGAAGAAAAAGAAACACTTTAGACACAACAGGGTAATCCCTAAATTCTAGACTGGTAGGGGGTACATGAGGTCTGGGTTGGGAACCCTTGGTATGGGTTATCGCTGTAATGGCACAAGTGAGCAAAAACCTTTCTTAGACCTGAGTGAGGACTAACTCGATGCATATAGTTATGGTCTCCCTAAGTCAAAAGGGTAAAATCCAGACGTGGACCCCGTGCTCACTGTGCCTAAAAATGTATCAGCCACAAGAAGGCTGACATGATCGTCCGAGGGTGACCCATTACTTGGAATAAAGGTGCCTGACAATTTATTTTCAAGTTCTGTGAGTGCGATATTTTTTTATATATTTATGTTATTTAGTAGGAGTTTGCACAAAGGCATTTCTGACCTGAATTGCTAAGTATGAGGTATCTCCCTATACTGCAACCAAAGTACTAGAAAAATCCCAAACCATATTCTGCTGAGCTTTGTAAGAAGTATATTATCACCACAAATCGATACACGACTGAATATTTTAGAATTACGATGAATAATGGTTTATGTTTTTAGTTTTGCTATTCACAGACAGAGTTTTTATGCACATGGAATGGCAAGATAGTCAATCTGAAATTTTCAAGTCTTACTCAAAGCCTTCTGAATTTGCTGGATATATGCTAACATTTTTTTTAATAAAGTATAATCATTTCTAAAAATATATATATATATTATTATTTTTTGGGGCAGTCAACACAGTTAATCAACACAGTTTAGTATGTATGTATAAGCCACTTTTGCCCTTACTAAAAATACAAGATTTACTAAATAATCAACAGCTGTTTTTAATTATTGTATATTAGTCTTGACATGTATAGCCTTTAGCTTGGCAAATATGGCATCAAAAAGAATGCAACCACTAGGACACTTGTACTCCATAACCCTACCAAATTAGGGGGGAAAAACAATTACTTATAATATTACATTGTTATCAACATTTATTTCAGATTTATTATTTTTTCCATAATACTCTTTAATACTTTAATATGTTTATTTTCCATTTTATTTCTGATAGTAAATCAGTCAATCATGCCAAGCTTTTGTTTTTTAAGAACATATTATAATGCTTTAATTTATTGTCTCTCCAAGGATGCTTATATTAATATTACTGAGGAAGAAGACGTAAAACAAAAATCAACATACCTAGCAGTACTCTGTAAAGGAAAATCCATACCCAACAACTTGTTCAGGCCTTGTTTTCCAAAAGGCAGACACGTGGGGTAGGCATTCTATGGATTAGTGTAGGACACACATGGAGAATGAGACGTCATTTGGATTTTGGACTTATGGCCAGCATTTCGAGGTGTATGTTAGCCCATGTGCAGTTAAACAGTTATACATTAGGACTCCTGAGAGAGTCCTAAAACTTTGTTTCAATGTTTCCACATCAACAAGTTAAATCCTTCACAATCTGTTTGACCCATTCGAGCTACATCAACATGAAGAAACATGGCAGATGCCATGGGTTCTTTTAATTAATTTAACCATGTGACTAATTGGTCTCTGTTGGGTTTCTGTGATAACTACTTCCTCAAAGCTGTCAGGCAATCGTGTTCAATATAGCCTGGAAGCTGTGCGTAATATGTGCAGCCCTTTCCATGAAGCAAAAGGAAAATGTGCAGCTGTGTCTGCTATAGTGTCCCCGCTGAGAGCCTTTGATTGCTTGGAAGAAGAAAAAAAAGAAGAAGCATACAGCTGTGTAGTGTAATGTAAACGCCAGCTCCGGCCTGCTAACCTTACTACATAATTTTTTTTTCTTTTTACCGCCATTCTGTTTTAAAACATTTCACAATTTGTGATTTTCTTCAGAAATTATATGATTTAACTGCCCTAAGTTAAAAAATGGTGTTTACGTATGTTTCTGCTAAATTAAAAAAAATATGATTCTAATCCTGAAGAATTTTCTAGAATCATAATTTATTAATGTTGCCATCTAATTTGACAGTAAATAAATACAAATAAAACTCTAAAAATATTGCTGTCATCTAATATATGCTTGTTCATCCTTATCTTTTCATTGGATATTTCTTTATATATTATCTGCTCTTTTGGTCTCAAGTGGGGGCCTAACTCCCCTTTATAAGGGAATATTCTCAATCTAATTTTCTCTATATTTTTATTCTTACCTATGTTGGTCTTTGTTGCCTTACTGTTGTGTCCATGACTTCTTTTACCTAATCTGCAGAACAACTATTTGTTTTTCTTGCCAATTCAGGAACCCCTTCTGATTTCACATTGCTCTGCCTCTCCGGGCGGTCTTATAGTACCCTTTGGTTTCCTATGTCGGCTTCATTCTGCTGTTAATCTATAAACTTTCTTCTCAATCCTTCAATCTTGGATTGTGCCTGTATCAGAACGTGTGGTCCCTTTTTCAAACTTAACCCCTCTAAAACAAAATTTGTCTTTCCTGCTTAGAACATTGTCCTTCTTTCACCACTTCCTTTCAGGTCAATAAAGCAAGCATCAAACCTGCTGCAAAATCTCTTTGTCTTGCTAACACCAATTCTATATTTTCTTCCCTAATCATTTTCAATTTAATTTACAAATCTCTTCTTTCACACAAATACATATACTGCTGATATTGGTTTGGGACAACTTATCACAAGCCCCAAACTAATTTCAGATGATGATATCAGTGCTGGCAATTTTATTTATTATTTGAATTTGAATAAATCTTTTGTATTTATTTTTTTAGAATTAATAAAAAAACGTAACTTGAGACTAACAATAATCATATCAAAGCATTAACGTCTTTATTATTCACAAAGGATAAAAGATGAAGAATCAATGCCTTTTGATGTTCCACGTATAGGTTAGCCGGCTGGTGATACAGCAAGATAAACTGCTAGCAGTGAATGGTTTAAAAACCCACTAAATCATTATGTTGAATAATGAAATTAACATTAGGTAGGCCAGGAAGCAATGCTAACTTTTATTTTGGATGTTACAATAAATGCATTCAACAGTGCAGCAGTTATTGTAAAATAGCACGTTAGTACCTAAAATTTTTGCAACGGTAACCATAGTTAATAAGAACACATACCTAAAGAATGCACAAATAATCAATTTCAATTACAAAACACCATTGTATGAATTTATGCATAGTAACAAGTTATTAAAAAATATATATTAAAAAATTAAAACAACGAACACGCTTCCACTGTGAAAATAGCGGATGTTTTACCACTTTAAAACGAACACATGAAATTAGCAATTACAGGAACAGGAGAATGCACAATGTACACAACAAGCTATGATTGTGTATGAACGTTCTGTGCTGTGCATTCCAAATAACACTACTAAAAGAATTCCCTTTAACGCCTGCCAGGGTTCTCATATAATAGTGTTGCCGTCTCATTTAGTTATTGTCAGTGTGTGGGTGCGTGGGCGATTAAGTGGGTGGTCAGCCAGTTTTAGAGAGCAGTCTACTGCAAACAGATGGAACGAGGAATTAGTCCAAATCCCTCATGCTAAAGTATATCTGCTAGTGTTTAATGCAAGTCACTTTAGCACCTGTGCAAGGAAAGAGATTCCAGATTCACTCAACAGGGAGAGAGAAAAATAAAAACAGCTACCGGATAAAATATTTGGCTGGTTGAGGTGCTTATACAAAGATAAATGCATGTTTACAGCACTGAGACAATTCTAAAGAAACATGCCCAGATCTACAGCCCAGAGACAGATCATGACTACCCATTATTGTTAAAATTACTAGTGCGTGTGTTTAATTTCTAGTGACTCGTTGAAGAACAATAAATAATTAGTAAATATACTCTAATTATACTGAACGTACGTGCGGATTATAATTTTGTTCCATCAAATCATTCCTTTTTGGATCAGAAAATGCATTAACCGTTGGAGGGTAGAGTAGGTGTGGGTGTAATTTATCATTGTAATTCTACTGGAGGACGATACATTTTAGGAACGATACACAGGGAGACTTCTACTTTGGTCAAAGGTATCAATACAGTGGTTTCTTGTTTTACAAAAATCTGCAACCCCATTTGCAACCAGAACTAAGGTTTTCATGATAGTTTGCCAGTCATTAGGTTGGGGGGGTCTGCCCTTTGGCCACCCATGCAATAGAGACTACGTATAAAGGACTGTAGATAATGGAGAGCTGTCAGTATTGTAATGTATTCCTACACTCCCCACTGATAGAGAGCGTCTTTTTTTTATTTTGTTAGAGGGTGTTTGTTTTGATGTTGCCTTTGTTGCCGCTGGAAATCTCATATCCGGCACCTTTTACACTGTGTGAAGTCCTAGGGCAAATCATCTGAGTGCAATCTAAATGTGGCAAGTCCTGTGAGTGTAAGCTCAGTTTTGGGTTAAGTCCTGGGTGCTGGGTACAGGTCCTGTGAATGCAATCTAAGTGCTGGGGTAAGTCCTGTGAGTGCATTCTCGGTGCTGGGGCAAGTCCTGGGTGCTTAGGCAGCTCCTGTGAATGCAATGTAATTGTTGGGGTAAGTCCTGGATGCTGGGGCCAGTTCCGTGAGTGCAATCTCAGTGCTAGGGTAAGTCATGTTAGTGCAAGCTTCATGCTGGGGCAGGTCTTGTGAGTGCAATCTCTGTGCTGGGGTAAGTCCTGGGTGCTGGGGCAACTCCTGTGAATGCAATCTAATTGTTGGGGTAAGTCTTGGGTGCTGGGGCAGCTATTGTGGGTGCAATCTCAGTGGTGGGGTAGGTAAGTCGTGAGTTTGTGACAATTGAGTCACTGGACAATCGCTTTAAAGGTGTGTTTTGCTTTACAACATTATTGGTCTTGCTGCCTAAATTGGACAATCTGTGAAAGGTGTAGGTTGCCTAAATGCCCCTATGCTCTGAACCCATGTAATACGGCCCTGTCCCAATGAGACTGGCTGTGCTACATTGCAGAATGGAGAACCGAACAAATAAACATATCATCTGTCATCTGAGTGCAATCTCCATGCTAGGGAAAGTCCTGTGAGTGCAATCTCCATGCTGGGGAAAGTCCTGTGAGTGCAATCTCCATGCTGGGGAAAGTCCTGTGAGTGCAATCTCCATGCTGGGGAAAGTCCTGTGAGTGCAATCACCATGCTGGGGAGAGTCCTCTGAGTGCAATCTTCATGCTGGGGGGTAAGTCCTGGGTGATCGAGCAAGTCTTGTGAGTGCAATCTGCATGCTGGAGTAAGTCAGTATATGCCCCCAGTATATACACATGGCTATGTCTCACACACTGCCCTGATATATACCCCTGCACAGGGCAATTCATATAATCTGTGTACATACTGGGGCCTGTAAGGTGTACTGTTATGCTTGTGATAAGGTGTGATGTGCCTGTACTATGCTTGCAATATGACCAGCATTCATCTGGCATATCACCATCATCACACAAGTGTAAATATGTGTGTGTAAATATATATATTTATGAATCTGAGGCTGATAACACATTATCATTGGCATTATTAGGAAAGCATTGTATATGGAGCTTGCCATTTCATGCGCACTAGCAGATGGGAGGGTTTGTAAACGTTCTCCTTGCAGTGGTTTCATAAAGTGTGAAAGGCTTTAGGTGGTTGGCAGAAAAAAACCTCAGGAACTTTCAATTCCTTTTTATTCATTTTTATGGGACAGGGAGGATTAGGAGACAAAATATAATTCTAGATATGTTTCTTTAGTTTCCCTTTACATGGTGGAGCACTTTCTTTAAAATTTTGACTTTTTCATGATTAGGGTGATGCCACATGTCATTCTGCTATCAATTATGATGCAAGCTGCTCCACATTGGTTGTGTCTTATACACCCTAGGACTTGTGTCATTTTTCGACACCAAGAGACTCTGAGTTTCTGTGTCGCAGGTGTGACGCTGGCTAAAAGCTCACTATACGGTATAAAACTCTTCCCAGGAGTGCGTTCCTTTTACGATTGATTTATTTGGTTATGACTCCGGCTTATTTGAGTATTTTTTTACTTTTGTAATCCTGACCTCAGATAGTTCCTTGTCATTGGGTCTTTCTAAACTCATTTTGACCTCTGCTTGACTTGTGGTTACTCTCTGTCTGCTTGCAAATGAATTTGAAATATGAAAGTGGAAGATTGTAATAGGATGATGCAGAAAACTCAAAAGGTTAAGAGGTTTATAGGCTGGATAGAGCATTAATAACGCCACTGCCTAAGAATCGGGTCAGACCACATCATCAGCAATTGTCACTGGTCAACACACCTAACAATATATGTCCGCTACCTCCAAACCTCATATATTGTAAGCTTGTTTGAGCTATATAAATTCTCATAATAACAAGAGTATAATCTAATTTCACTATGAACAAAAAGTAAGTTCATGAAGAAAACAGCAAGCATGAAGCAATTTATCGCCTATTTCATTCTTGCAATCAAAAGCCTAGAACCCAAAATATAAACTCTTTTAAGATAAAACCCGCATCTTTCTTTTTTCTTTTGCACAAAGGAAAATATGTTACCTAACAGCCATCCATTAACGTGACAGCACGTGACCTTAAGTGCATATTCCAGCCGTTAAAGTGTTTCATGGAGTGCTTTCTATAGGCAGTCTCCTAGAAAGTTCTCTGGAACCCAAATTCTTACTAAATGCTTTTTACATACAGATAATGCATTTATCGAGAAGACGTTATACGTTGAGGACATCATGATTGTGGTGAGTTTGTGGCATAAGACTCACTGTGCAATCGCTTTGCTTTACAACATTATTGGTCTTGCTGCCTAAATTGGACAATCTGTGAAAGGTATAGGTTGCTTAAATGCACCTATGCTCTGAACCCATGTAATCCGGCCCTGTCCCAATGAGACTGGCTGTGCTACATTGCGGAATGGAGAACCGAACAAATAAACATATAAAAGAAATCAAATGTAACCAAATAACATTGTAAATAGCAGGTGCATAATTTGACCAGATACTATAAGTGCTAAGGCTGAAACATTGGTATACTTCATGACCAAGGGGAAGGTCAGCCTGATGGCCCCACTATTCTTCAATCTGGTGGCAACTTCCTTGGGGAGGTATGTTGTGGCGATAGTGACCGTGATACAAAGGACCGCCATAATTTCCACTCTCACAGAACTTTCATTCCCTCTTCCGATATTATCAACTCAACAAGAGCTTGGGAGATAATTCACATCTATACGGGATTTCACAGCACTGCAATTGTTTATAAACTCCCACCTTTCAGCTATAGTGTGGTCTGATAGATCAGCATATAATGTGAGCCCCGAGTACGGCGCAGGCAGCTTTCTGATCGTGGACATGACGGCTTCTTAAATGTGGTAGTAGTGTAACCAAACAATGATGTCTTGTAGGGTCTAACACACCCATTTCTTGGGCTTGGGTAACCAATGTGTACGTCTAGTGGTGTTTTTAGGATTTGTGCTGCCCTAGGCAGGACGGTGCTCGTGCTCCCCCCCTAATTTAAATTTTCCCCACCCCTTCCAGTCAAAGCCGCACTTTGACACATAGACGCTCACTCACTGACAGATGCACACTCACTGACAGACGCATACACTCATTGACAGACACACACTCTCATATACACTGACAAACAATGATGTACACACACTATTACTTGGACACACACTGACAGACGCACACACACTGACAAACGCACGCACTCACTGACCAACACACAGTGGTGTATTTAGGATTTGTGCTGCCCTGGGCAGGACGGTGCTCGGGCACCCCCCCAACCCAAATTAAAATTTTCCCCACCCCTTCCTGTCAAGGCCGCACTTTGACCGACAGATGCACACTCACTGACAGACGCATACACTCATTGACAGACACACACTCTCAAATACACTGACAAACAATGACATACACACACTATTACTTGGATACACACTGACAGACGCACACACTGACAGAAGCACACACTCACTGACCGACACACACACACATTCACTCACAGACACACACACTTACAGACACACACACATTCACTTACAGACACACACACTTACAGACACATACACACATACACATACAGACACATACACACATACACATTTCTCCCAAATTATTATTTTTTAAATTTTATTTTAAATCCACCCAGCCTTCCTGGGAGAGCTGGAGTGGATTACTTACCTGTCCAGTAGGGCTGCTGAGCGGACAGGCTGAGTAGGCGGCGAGGGAGCTTTAATCTTCCCGCTCAGCTCCCTCATGCGCCGCTTAGCGATGCTGGAAGCCGGTCTGACGTCATATGCCTGCTCCTGGCTTCATTAGGGAGCTGAGCAGGAAGAGCTCAGGAGAGCATGCTCCCTCGCTGCCCACCGCCCACCTCGGGGAGGCTCAAAAGTGGCCAGCTGACCAGCTCTTGAGCCCCCCAGGACACGAGGCAAACAAGGGATCTGCCTGGGTGTTTAGGGGCAGCTTTTTTTGCCACCCCCTTCAAAGTGCCACCCCAGGCAGATGCCTTGTTTGCCTCGCGATAGACACGTCCCTGTGCACGGCCCAGTACTAGATCAGTAAGAGACATTGCTGGTGTAAGTTTGGCAAATACACATTAAATATAGCTAGACAGGGCCTCTAGGGTGACCAACTCTGGAATCTCCATGATATGTATGTTTTTGCATCTTAAGCGATCTCTTATGTCAGCCACCCTGGACCATATGGCCCTCATCTCCTCCTCCAATTCCTGCACATTGTGCCTGGCTGAGCTCAACTGCGCTTTCCCAGTTTACTAATTTCATGGCCCAGGTCAATCACGGAAGTCTTAAAATCCACTTGCAGCATAAATCTGAGGGACTGTAGCATATTGTAAATCTTTTTCTCTGAAGCTGATACATCATTAGAGAGTAGTATTGCTTGCTTCTATGCTTCCTCCGACGTGGGAGACAAAGCTGCTGTATTTCCACCATCTTTATCCCCCACTATGGCAATATCTCTTTTCTCAAGGAGTCAAAGTAGAGGCTGTGGATGATCTGTTTAAACAATAGTAGTCATCCAAGGCTACTGCTTTAGACTTTTTTGGTGGTGGTAGCTTAATAAGGAGAAGATGGAGGTAATGAGGCCATTCAGCAGCATGAATTTTTTTATGGTACACCTGTTAGTTTTAAATTCCTACATCGGGCTATATTCTTGGTCTGCACATCTTTGAGAAAACTCTGTTTGAGTTTGTAGTAATTATGCTTGTGTAATATGCATTAAGGCCTGCTGAGCTTTCAGATCACCTTTGTCTTCTTCCACAGCCTGCACCCGACCTGTAAGGATGTGTATTTCTTTCCTAATAACAAAAAGGAAAGCATGGAAGAGTGAGTGAATAACTTTAAATAAAGATTTTATGCCCAGTATGGTAGCCGGAATATCGGCTTCATTGTCTGAGGACATTTGCTGTAAGGAGGGTTATCTAACTTGTCCAATGAAGGTTTCTGCGAGGAGAAAGACACTCAGTCTTCAGTAGCCATCTTTGATATATCTCATGGCGCATCGCTAAACAGGAGATCCCCAATATTGCAAGATCCCAGTTTTACAACTGTTGTGCATTTCTTGGATAAATTCCTCAGGTCAGAAGGGGTGAGAAGAGATAGTTGACGCTAGTTGTGCTAGTCGAATAAGCCAGGAAAAGGTAAATATAATGCAGTCTCATACGGAGCTCGCTCAGTATACGTCTTGTTGGACTGCTTGTAGCTCCGCCCCTTCTCCCCTATTTAATTTTACTGTTCTGGTATGGAGCCACAATGCACTATGCCTGAAAATAAATCTATATGTCATGGATTTCATGTGGGCAGGGGCGGACTGACTGGTCGGGTACTTCGGACATGATCCAAGGGCCCGGCCGGGAGGGGGGCCCACCGCCAGGGCCGCCATCAGGGGGCCGGCGGCAGAGCCGGATTGGCCCACCGGGGTCGCAGCATCTGGTAACTGCGCAAGTAGGTGCCACCGGGTGGCCGGTCCGGGGGCACACTTTGAGGGTGCCGGCCGTGTTCCACGCTTGAGCCGCTGGGCCGGGTGGCAACCTAGCCGGTCCGGCAGCACTCCTGTCACTAATGCTGAGGATGGAAGGAGGGAGGAGCATGTCTCTCTCTCACGCTCCCTTGCGGTTCCCACAATTCCCAGCACAGCATACTGTGCATCCTATGCTGGAAATTGCGGTAAATGGGAGGGGGGAAAATAAAACAGAGAGGGGGAATAGATAGAGGCATGGGAAGAGGGAAGAAACAGACAGTGGGAGAATAGAGAGAGACACAGGGGGGGAGGAAAGAGACAGAGGGGGAGAGAGAGTGACACAGGGAAAGGACGGAGAAGGAGACAGAGGGGGAAGAGTGATACACAGGGGGAGAAAGAGTGGGAATAGAGAGATGGTGGAGAGGGGAGAAAGAGACAGAGGAGAAGAGAGATGTGGGGTAGAGAGAGACACAAGGAAAGGGGGGAGAAAGAGACAGTGGAAGAGAGACACAGGGAGAAAGGAGAGAGACACACAAGGGGAGGGGGAGAAAGAGGCAGAGGGGGAAGAGAGACAGGGAAGGAGAGGGGAGACATGGACACAGAGGAGCAGTGAGGGGGAGAAAGAAACATACAGAGGGACTGGGGGGGAGACAAAAAGGCACACAGAGGGGCTGTATACATCACTGATGGATCCCCCCCGGCCGATCTCTCTCCCCGGTCTGCAGGTACCGTGTGGGCAGCTGGCAGGGGAGGGAGGAAGAGAGGACCCGGGAGCTCAGCCTGCAGCTCCTCTTGGTCCTTCTCGCGCGAGCACAGAGCGTTGCCGCGGTTACCATGCAACGCTCCGGCTCTCGCGAGAGTGAACTCTAGCTCTGGAGCTACGGGCTAGAGTTCACTCTCAACACTGCGACCACCAGGGATTCCTGGTGGTCGCAGTAGTGAGAGTGAACTCTAGCCCCATACACACACTGCCCCCACACACACACCCTACACATTCACACACTGCCCCAACACACACACACTGCCCTCATACACACACACTGCCCCCACACACACCATCCACATTTACACACATTGCCTCACACATACACAACCCCCCATACACACACAGACCCCCATAAACAGCTTCCATACTAACATTGCCACACACATACACAGCCCCCCATACACACATTGCCCCAGACACCCTACACATTCACACACTACACCCCCCCACACACACACTGAACATTTCACACACACTGCACCCCTCACACATTGCACCACTGCTCCTATACCCTACTACAGCCCCATATCCCAGCAGACCCCAGGTAAGTTTTTAAACTGTTCTTAAACGGTTTGACTACTTACTCTGGGAGGGGGTCCTGGCCCTCCTGGCACCATAACCACTATACAGAGCAGCAGTGGTTTTTGTGCATGGATTATTTCTTTAAATAATCTACAAGTGCCCCAGTAGCCAGTCAGCCCACAGGCCAGCAAGCCAGTCAGCCCACAGGCCAGCAAGCCAGCCAGCCAGCCCACAGGCTGGCCAGCCAGTCAGCCTGCCCTCAGGCCAGCCAGCCAGCCCACAGGCCAACCAGGCCACCAGCCAGCCCACAGGCCAGTAGCCAGTCAGCCCACAGGCCACCAGCTAGCCAGCCTACAGGCCAGCAGCCAACCACAGGCCAGTAGCCAGCCCACAGACCTACAGCAAGCCACAGGCTTACAGCCAGCAAGCCCACAGCCTGCCGCCAGTAGCCAACAAGCCCACAGCCTGCCAGGAAGCCACAGCCTGCCAGCCGCAGCCAGCAAGCCCACAGCCTTCCAGCAAGCCCACAGACTGACAGCCAGCAACAGTAATTAAGGTAAGAGGAGCCAACTTGGCCTAGGTATCAGCGAGCTACGTTGTGTTGCTATATTGTGAATAGGAACCAGAGTGTTAGAGACCCCCCTCCAGGCCCCATTAGACTCCATTGTAGTCTCTAATGGAGGAGATTCTAACACACTCTCTAAAGGACACTGAGATAGCCCCTGCTAGAAAGATCTCCCCTCCATGGCCCATTAGCCCTCAATTGTAGTCTCTACTGGGGCCTGGAGGTGACTGTTTCCAGCAGAGGCTATCTAATGGACGCTGAGATGGCCTCTGTTAGAAAAACCCCCTTCCAAGCCTATTAGACTCCATTGTAGTCTCTAATGGGACCTGGAGGAGATTCTTTCTAACACACTCTCTAAAGGACACTGAGATAGCCTCTGCTAGAAAGGCCCCCCTCCATGGCCCATTAGCCCTCAATTGTAGTCTCTACTGGGGCCTGGAGGCGACTGTTTCTAACAGAGGCTCTCTAATGGATGCTGAGATGGCCTCTGCTAGAAAGACCGAGCCTATTAGACTCCATTGTAGTCTCTAATGGGGCCTCTACCACACTCTCTTAAGGACACTGAGATAGCCTCTGCTAGAAAGACCCCCCTCCATGGCCCATTAGCCCTCAATTGTAGTCTCTACTGGGGCCTCGAGGGGATTATTGCACTTTTGTTCCTTGTGTCTAAAGATTGTGTAGGGTGTGGCTGGAGGCGGGACAAGGGTGGGGCTTGCTGCGGTGTGTTAAACTGCTCCAAAACAATATGACAAAAAGATACAGGGTCAGGCGGGATGAATACCACCAACTGCAATGAACTTTAGTAGTTTTTGTACTAAGAGTGTCCCTTTAATGACAATAATGGTTATATATGCATGTCTCATTCCAAGTTCACTTGCATTCTCCGGATTTTGCTTTATAACTAGTGACCCGTGTTGCCAGGCTGGATGATGTAGTCAGAAATTTTACTCTTGGCCATTACAGTAGGATTAAAAGAGCAGATATACTGCCCACCGAAGCCAGATAATTCTTTTGCAAAGCAGGATTTTAAAAAATATTTTTTCACATTAATAATTCTATATATATGTAATTCTTTACTGCAGGATGGAACCAGATCTGATTCTAAGACCAGCTGTAAAACATTAGGAATAAATAAAAACTTACCTTGCTGGACTTCTTCTCCCCTTTAATTGTTTTTTTGTAAAATCATATTTCATTGAATTTATTGTTATTCTCCTTATCAGCTTCAGCTCTTCATATAATCTACCTTACTCTAGTTTTATCTAGCTACAAATGGTTTCACCTTCCCAGTGCAGATGCTTAGCTAGCAGCAGGGCAATTATGATGTCACTCAATGACTGTGACTTGTGTTTGATCTCATCATCTGAGCTCTGTGCATGATATGCATATCTACATAAAAGTCCCAATGAACCATGGGTAATGTATTAGTCTAGCCTCGGTATGAATTTAATGAATTTGTGTGATTAAACCACACATCTGTGCTAAATCATTATATAGATCATCTAGGACTGAAACTTCTTTCAACGCCAAACTTGAGATGGACTCTTCAAATATTGAACATGAGTTTTGTAGCTTAACATAGGTTTTGTGTTCAGAGAGGAATAAATGGCGCATTATGCCCACAATGGTAGTAAGTTTAAATGATAGATAAATCCATCCATTCTCACTCTCTACATAAATCACTCGATATGAGGGGGCACTGTTAAGGATCTGTCAGTCAACATGAAAATTGCTATAAGAGCATAAATCCCACTGACAGCATTGAGCAATGGGGGTTTCCAAGATTCCCTATTAACTAAAACATGGACGGGGGGACAACCAAACCCCTCTTTATTTGAGTGACAGACCCATGTTCAGCCACTCTGCTACTGTTAGTACAAATCTCCACAATTGCGACCATGAAGATGCCCAGTTCTTCAGTAATAATTAACAATAGAAAATTATTATCACATGCATATGATTATGGTCCTATTCTAGCAATCAAATAATAAAAATATAAAATTAGCATTATTATATTTAATATAGTAAATACGAGACAGTGGGGAAATTATAGAAACATTTAAATACATAAAAGAAATGAACACAGTAAGGGAGGAGACTATATTTAAAAGAAGAAAAACTATCACAACAAGAGGACATAGTCTTAAATTAGAGGGACAAAGGTTTAAAAATAATATCAGGAAGTATTACTTTACTGAGAGGGTAGTGGATGCATGGAATAGCCTTATAGCTGAAGTGGTAGAGGTTAACACAGTAAAGGAGTTTAAGCATGCGTGGGATAGGCATAAGGCTATCCTAACTATAAGATAAGGCCAGGGACTAATGAAAGTATTTAGAAAATTGGGCAGCCTAGATGGGCCGAATGGTTCTTATCTGCCGTCACATTCTATGTTTCTATACTAATTATTATAAGTAAAATAAAAGACCTGTGGGTATCAAACCTACAATTTTAGGCTTGAATATTTCAATAAATATTAGAGATATTACAGCAAGAGCGCTAAGCCCCAAGTTATGTCACTTTACATTTTCCACAGAATTATTTAGCATGTTACAAATCACACACTAAAAATCTCATACATCTCATACTGGTTACACAGCATGAACGTCATTTTAACTTATGTCACCGGCCTGTACATTCTTAAACTGTAAATCTAATTAGACACATTTTGGATAATGTGGAGCAGTGGGAATGAATGCCTGTAACAGAGTACCACCTAAGGAAGCAAACTGCATAAGCAAATTGTAGTCCTGGCCCCCCAGCTATGTGGATCAATACTGGTTACTGTGGTTACTGGTTACTATGCTTGGTGCTGGGATGTTTATATCTTGTCATGTAAGGGGGCTTGGTATCACTGGAAAGCCCTCTGGATGTTAATGTGAAGAGTAAAATAATCGGTAACCATCTATTTTACAATGTACATGCCCAGTGAGAGCATGTTTTTGAAGAATCATTAGTGCTTCTCCTTTTGATATTGTATATGCACAGTTACAAACATTTCTCTCTAAGCACTGTAACAATTTAACATCATTGCGAAGGTCATGGCACAGCTAGGGTACATTGTATCCATGCCTATAGTGATTTACAACTGCAACAGTTTGCCCAGGCGAGTATTGCTGCAACAAGTGCATAAAATGACATTAGTAAGGATTTAACAACTTTACCTAAGCCAGTCCCTCAGATAGTCTAATTCAATTTTAAATTAGAGTATACAGTGTGATTATAGAAAAGTACCAGAATATGAGAACAGATACAGCATATCCAGAGGGTTTTCTCCTTGAATTTCCTTAACAACCAGTGCGTATTAGCATGTCTTCAAAGGTCTCAAAGGACCATTGATGTCACAAATTTTCATTACATTGTACATGTACCCTTCATGTTCCAACTCAAACTGCTAACAGTAACTTACAAAGCCATCAATAGTCCCACTCCTCACTATATTTTATCTTTACTCTACAAACACATCCCTTCTCATTCTGTGTGTGGCCCTCTCCTGTGATCTGCTCGTTCCCGCATTGCTAACTCTCATCTGAGGGATTCTTCAAGGGCTGCAACATTCCTATATAATTCCCAACCCCATACCATCAGACTTTCTTCTAGCATTCAGACCTTAAAGAATTCATTGGACCACTAAAAGAGAAGGGAGATGAACACTAAGAGTGGGGTGAGAGAAACATTAATGGGAATGGGGGACACTAAGAGACAGGTAAGGGGGGAGGAACACTAGGGGACAGGCCAGGGAGGAGCAACACTAAGGGACAGGGAAGGAAGGGGAGAGGAACACTAAGGGACAGGGAAGGGAGGGGAAAGGAACACTAATAGACAGGAAGGGGAGAGGACCACTAATGGACAAGGAGAGGAAGAGAGAGGAACACTAAGGAACGGCAGAGAGAGTGGCACAGAGGGGGGCCTGAGTAGGGGGGAAGACACACAGAGGGACATGATGGGGGAGAAAGACACACAGATGGACCTGGGACTGAGAAAGTTCAAAAAGGGGTTGGGGATGAAAGCAACACACAGAAGGGTCTGGGGTGTAAATACAAAGGGACTGGGGGTAAAAGAGACTAAGAGGGGCTGGAGAAGAGGAAAACGACACAAATGGGCTGGGGGGAGATAGATGGGCTGGTGGTGAAAGAGAAAAATACAAAGGAGCTGGTAAGAGTAAAAGACAAAGGGGCAGGGAGAGAAAGAGACACACAAAGGGGGGTTGAAAGAAATACACAAGGGAGGTGTAAGACACACAATGGTGAAAAATATGGGATAAGATGTACTAAAGGGGGTAAGACATTTTAAAAAAGAGGATAAGAAACAAAAGACAGATTAAGAGGCACACAGGTGAAAATGTAGGGGGGTGAGAGGGCGCCCAAAAATCCTTGTACTGGCCCTGAGCTCATTCTATGTCTTTCTACTGTTCGATTCTTCCATATGTCACTTCTACAAGATTATTTTGACACAGCCATCTTATCCATCAATACCTCCTCCACTTTGACATGCTGTTCTTCGTTTTGTGTTTCTTTACCCCTTCCTTATAGATGCTCGTTTAAGAATGGACACCTTCACCTATTGTCTTAATATTTTGTATGTCCATTACTTTTCAAATATCCCCATTCTATACTTGTAAAGCCCTGTGGTATATGATGGCATTATATAAATACTAATAATAATATACAATGCAAAGAATTTCTACTTTTTAGTAAAGAATATTACTGAAAATATATATTTTTCTAAATTGTCTAGGTCGGCCAGCTTATTCACATCAAAAAAGTGATCAACTCCATTTATCATTTCAAAGACCAGAAAAATAAAGCTTATTTGAAATTATTTATTTGCTGTTTCCCACAGAAGTATTAAATGAATGCACTTTAGAATTCTGTGATGGAATTCTGAGAGAATTACATCAAGTGGATATTTTTAACAAAATCAATTACATTGTACTGATAGATAAAGGGACGTGCCATCCAACAGAGTGCAACAATGTGTGCAAAATAAGTTAAATAGTTTCATACCTAATGCTAAGAAAAAAAAAGGACATTTTCAAAACATGTGTGATGCTCTAGAAATGTGAGAGTATAACACGGAGTTTATATGATCATGGTAAAAAGGTGCTCCGTCCTATGTGTCTTATCTATTCACTCTGAGGGCATGGTGCTTCTGTGTACAGTGATTTAGGAGACAGGTCACGCAAACAAATATGGTTGACAATTTTCACTTCATTGTCAACTCAGATTTAACTCAAAATGTACATTGCACCCTTTCATGAATAATGTAAGTAGTGATGTCCCGAACGGTTCGCCGAACGGTTCGCCGCGGACTCATCACTGAGTAAACTTTAACCCTGTACCTCACAGTCAGCAGACACATTCCAGCCAATCAGCAGCAGACCCTCCCTCCCAGACCCTCCCACCTCCTGGACAGCTCACTAAGAATGCAGCTTCAATGAATGTAAAATGGATGCTGTCCAGAGAGGTGGGAGGTCTGGGAGGGAGGGTCTGCTGCTGATTGGCTGGAATGTGTCTGCTGACTGTGAGGTACAGGGTCAAAGTTTACTCAATGATGAGTCCGCGGCAAACCGTTCGGCGAACCATTCGGGAAATCACTAAATGTAAGTTATTAATGAGCTGATTTCCGATTTTCAGTAAATTTGGCGAGTATCTTTCAGACAAGCTGGATACTTCAGTTCCAATGAAATTTAGTATTTATTGTTTTGAATTTAAACCAAACTTCATACTTATCAAAATGTGTTTCTATCCGAATTAATTCCCAATTGGTCCTGATATAGGACAAGACAAGACCAAGAAACAGTGTACATGACCTCATCTCTGCAAACCTGGTATGAACTGCAATTCATCACATCAATACATCTTCATACGTACATTTTTATGTTACACTTCTATATTATTTTATAAGGAAGAAAGTGGGAAACATTTTAATGCTTTAGCAATTTTAAATGTGTATATATCCATCAATTAAAATAAAGCTACTGATTGATTTTATCTCTTTTATTTCAATTATATTGTATTCCTGCAGGATATATTCACTTTTTAAAAACAAAATTAACTACTAACAAATCAGAACTACTCTCACACACCTAATTTCCATCTATGCCCCACAACAAAACAACAACAACAACAACAAAAGATGATTTTAAATATATGGCCACTAACATCATTACATTTGATTTGATTTTAAAAGGTTTTGGCCTCATGCTTGTGCTGTGCTTTTCTCCATTGTTAAATCTCTTTAGTTTTCCTTAAAAATACATTTTTTTTTTTTAAAGAATGTAAAATGTTTTCCAGCAAAACCACATCCTCATAGCCACACCCCCTTTCACAAACTGCCCTCCTGATTAGAAGGTATGCAAGTTCAGCCAATGAGATATCAATGAGAGATCAACTAAGTTGCCGACTTCACTACGCCCCCCACAACCAATTACTGTCCTCCTATTAAGTGTATAGTATTTCAATGCCGTGCTAAGGGGAAAGGGGACAAACAATAATAAATAATAATAATAAAAATCTTTTTCTCAAAATTTTAAATTGTGCATGCATACTGGTCTATCCCATTGTTATAAGTGATACAATTTGCGTGAGGATTGCCGTCGGGGTACCTCACACTTGTATGTTACTCTAGATATGCATTACAAGAATAAAGAAGTTCAGCCTCAAAAAAATAAAAAAAATAAAAAATAAAAAACCTTTTTTTTTCCTTAGCAAAACTGAGATGTGAATGTATACAAAAACACGAGTCCCACTAGCACAAAAAGTGTTAAAAGGGTTTCACTCACTGATGTCTCATGCGCCAATGGAGGACCTAATGCATATGAGCAGCAAGTGCCCCACGAGCATTAGACCTTCCCCATAGCAAAGTATTGCATCAATTCTTTCCTATGGGTATTCTGAAGATGCTGGGCATCTTCATGCAACGCGTCATTCCACTGAGTTAAACTCTGTAAGAATTGTCTCTAGTGGCTGTCTGTAAGACATGTTGTCCTAATCCGGCAATGTAAACACTGCAGTTTCTCTGAAGGGTTAGGGTGAAGGGGGCACTTCACCCAGACCACTTTCATGCAAGGAGATGGGTGCCTATAGTGTCCCTTTAATTTAATGATGTCTTGAGTATGACTGGAGTGTTCTCTTTAATATATAATTTTTTTAATATATTTTTATTGGGTGGTGATGTTTGGTATTTAGTTTTTTCCCTTGGCATAATAGCATTATATTTTCAATGTAAATGGAAATAATCATTTTATAATAAATACATTTGCTGCACCACGGTAAGAGAGAAACAATAAAATGGACCTGTGATGAAAGAGAAGGCAATGCTTGTCTCATTTTCTAATTTAGAGAAAATGATTACCAGTTCTAATAGTCATTCATCCCTTTATTGGCACATAGAAAATACTTCAGAATGGTGATTATTTTAAAAAATAATTTTACTTAATTAAGGATGATAAAGTGATAACGCTTTCAAGCATTAGTTGCCTAGGTTTATTTAAAACGGATATTTTCTTTTTCTTTTTAATATTGCTCACATTTACAAAATTCAAGAAAATTATTTAAAAGACAAATATCTGTAGGATATTATTTAGATCTTGCTATTTAGCAAGATGAATAGTGAGACCATACTGTGAAAAGTATATCTTGTTTGGAGTAGTTTATTAAAGTATGCAATGATACATGTTTTACTCATTCTACAGGTTTTAATCTATTAATATGTGGGATAATTAGACATCACTCCTCTGACTAAGTACCATGAATCGTGTAAAGTAGTGTTTTTTGCTTATGTGCTCTAAGAGAGGGTCTAGTAAAGATATCACAATAAATAATTGAGCTTCAGGTTTGTATATGCACTTTCTTATGCTTATTATTTCAATAAACCTAAGTACAAGCATGTGCATAATATGGAAGTTTTAATGTGAAGGATATTTATAAAGCATGAAGATCAGGATAAATTATATGAGTGTTCGTCAACCAACAGACACCCCACCACCAAAACTCTCACATGCATTGGAATAAGAATAAGGTCCTAACATCATCATAAATTTTTAATTATTTTTGACATTTTGCATGAAAACATTAGGTACCGTAGTTACTGGAATCTAACGCGCACCTTTTTCGGAAAATAAAGTTTCCAAAATTTGAATGCGCATTAGATTAAATAGGTGAAATCACACGGGCAAATTTAATTCCGGCGAAATCACGCAGGCAACTTTTGTTCCTGAAAGAGGGCTTAAGAAAGAATAGACTTAAAGGACCACTATAGGCACCCAGACCACTTCAGCTTAATGAAGTGGTCTGGGTGCCAGGTCCAGCTAGGGTTAACCCTTTTTTTTATAAAGAGAAACTGCTATGTTTATAAATGGGTTAATCCAGCCTCCAGTGGCTGTCTCTTGACAGCCGCTAGAGGCGCTTGCGTGCTTCTCTCTGTGAAAATCACAGTGAGAAGACGCCAGCAACCATAGGAAAGCATTGTGAATGCTTTCCTATGGACTGGCTGAATGCACGCCCGGCTCCTGCCGTGCATGCGCATTCAGCCGAAGAGGAGGAGAAGAGGGAGGAGAGGAGGAGGAGAGCTCCCCGCCTGGCGTTGGAGAAAGAGGTAAGTTTAACCCCTTCCTCTCCCCACCCTCAGGGCACTATAGTGCCAGGAAAACGAGTATGTTTTCCTGGCACTATAGTGGTCCTTTAACATGTAACACTGGAATTGAAATACCATCAGTGTTACTATAGTGTATGGCAATAAACATTTTCATTGCAGCACAATGTTGTATAGTAGTATCTTCTTGTATAAATGGGCATTACATTCATCAGCAAAAACATTTTTCAGCTTCCAGGTTTCAGAAATTGAGGTGCGCATTGTATTAGATGGCGCATTAGATTCAAGTAAATACCGTATATTATGAGTCATGAGTTTGGTGGTAAGGTTCAGAAGAGATGGGTTAGTTATTGTCACTTTTCATTCAGTCCCTGCATCGTACCTTATTTCTCTTGAAGTATGCTCTCCGACAGGCCGCAAAACACTTTTCACTGCAGAAGCTTTTCACTTCGCTTCCCATACTCAACGAATAGCGTTTGATTCCAACTTTCTGGCACCAAGCACACATGATTTGTACATTTGACACATCGTCCTCTGCAATAGAATGAAAGAAAAACTGTTTACTATGGCAGCAAAACAGCTTGTACTCTGAAACCAATCCTTAACTAACTATTAGTTTCGAATTCACACTGGCATCACAATAGTAGAAATATAAATTATTCAAAAATGCTTTAACGTTCTAACACAATCAAAGCAAATAGTGCCTGTATAATTGTAATAATTACTAAAACAATGCATGTGTTTCACAGGGTATGTCAAAAATTTTCATTTTCTGGACATTATAGATCTGCTTTTGTGTAGCTCATCATTTATTCAAAATAATAAAAACATGTAGTAGCAAAACACACCAGTTTTTTTTTCCTTTCCTTTTATTTTTCATTTCCATGTTACAGGCAGGGCTCACAATTTCTACTTACCACTAACCATTGGTGAGTGTACATTTAGTCCTGGCTAGTAGAAATTCAGCCCTGAAGGGTACTTTATTGCTTGCAGCGGTAAGTACATTAAGGTCTGGTTAGTAGCATAATAATGCATATTTTAAGCTCTGTATATATATATATCTCATACATGTGACACATATGGTAATTAAACATGAACTGCAGGTATCAGATTATACATTATTATACACACTACACATTATACATTATACATTATTATATAAACTCTAATCAATTGCATAAATCAACGATGGGAACCAATGAACTAGTGAACAGATTTTATCCCACGGGACACCTAAGGTAAGTATGGAAGTCTGCAGGACCCTATAATAACCAGTACAGAAGTCTTCAAACTCCCTTCTGGTTAGCAATGTCATTTGCCAGTTTGCTGGTGGAAGTTTGACAGAACCTACAGACATGTAATGCCATATTACTTGGGCCTGTGAAACAAAAGCCATCTTTATAAAGAGGAGATAATTTCTGCCTACAAATAGGTTTTTGGGTAGAATGGACAATACCTTCCACTCCAGTGGGTAGAGGGAAAGCCCTTACCCTGAAGAATCATTGTGGAAGTCCAAGGCAGGTTCCTGGTGGCAGAAGTGAAAGGACATATGAAGTAGACGGACAGGCCTGCATCCCATGCCAGGGAGCAGTCACCCCTATTCCCTTTACACATTGTAATACTTTACTTGCTTTCAGATATTTCTATTTATTGAAAGCTGTTTGTAATGGAAATTGAGAGTGTTTTTTAATCTTGTTCCATTATATGAGAAAAAATACTGATATTCCTAAATGGAATATTCAGAAGAGAGGGAGTCTGACTAGCACAGAGCTGCTCACACTGGAAATTATAGTGCTTCACAAAAGCCTATACATAAAACAGCAAATATTACACCTAGGGGTATGGTGCATAGAATCCAGGAGCTAGCTCTTGAAAATGGCTCAGATAAATTAAAACATAAAAATAGTAAAGGTATAATTAGATACTGTATCTTTTAGAGATGAATACAATAAAGTGCATATGCAGTAAAATAATATGTATGGTTCCAATATCCTTATCCCTTATAAGGAACAGGGTAAATGATACTGGCACCAAATAATATACTTTCAAAGAATGACGATAAAAATCATGATTTCTATAGCAAACCAGTGATATGGAACTGGTTGCTATGAGGCAATACTGGCAATGTATCGCTGAAACCACTAAAAAACAGTGTAAAACTGGAAGTGTAATAAAAACCAGTTTATTAGAACAAAATTAAAAAATAAAATTCAGGAACAGTACATACAAGCTTTACCAGTCTAATGAAGATCAATGGGTAGAAGAAACCTTTGCACTGGGCTAGGATGGCTGTGGATGCTTTACGCAAGCCTGCTTTCTTCTGCCAAAATGTGAATATTGTTGGATAATATATGCGTGCTGTTGTGGCACATCACACATGATAGTAATTTTCTTGCACAGAAAAAATAAAGAATTAAAAAAAAAAAATAACCTAGTTGGAAAAAAATAGTTGAATTTTGCAATTTATTTTTCTAGCTCAGTGCTCACCTTACCTTACACCATAAAAAGGAAACCCTCCTTAAATAATTCATATACCATATCACAAACTCACCAGTCCCTGCTATCTAGTTTTGACCTGTGCTTGTTTAAATGAAATGTGTTTGTCTGTGATTAAAATGTGAGTTTGCACATATACCGGTAAATGATTTCTTTAAGGAAGAAAACGATCTGACTTTGTGAAAGAGTGGCAGAGCGAATAGATTTTGGAAGAAAAAACTAAGCAAGAGAAAGGGGAGGCACCAGTGACACATAGAAGGTCATGAGAAAGAAGAACAAAGATAGAATGACACAGTGAGAGAGATCCTAGTCACTATAAGGAGTCTGCTGATCTCACAGTGTAAAAGAAAACCATTTTTAAATTCTGGCAAAGAGCCTGAGAATAGAGGAAACGCACAAACTGATAGCATTCAATGAATATCTTATCACTTTCTAAGGCTACACCAGATTAACTATGCAGTGTGCTTTATTTAAGAGACAAGTTTGTCCTTGAGATAAAATATGGTCTTATTTTTAACCACTTACTTACATTTTAACCAAAATGTAATTAACTTTTGTGGTACGGATAGTAGCAAAACCTCAAAATCACGTCACTGCGAAATGATGTAAAGCTGGCTTGTGTATGTGTAAACACACACTATGTGACGTTAAATACTTCTTACCGGGACTTACGACTTCCTGCCAGCTGATACAATTAAATTTCTTCATTATGATATTCAATCATGATATTAGTAGGATTATAAGAAAAGACAGAAGCCCTGCTGGGCCGAAACGTTGCTGTGCATATGCTCTAAATAAAGCTGGTATTTTGGCTTTCATCCTTGAGTGCCTGGACCATTGTTTATTTTCTATATTCGTAGGATTATGTGACAACATTGTGGCTTGGGGAGCACATGCAAACTAATTTTCCTGTTTGCACACCAGTCTCACAGATCTCTAAATGGGTGGTCCTACTCACATTGTGTAAAGGGTCTGACAGATGGAGGCTGCTAGATTAGTGAAGTGTGACATCATATATTCTTGCACCCTCCATCAGTATAGCCTGCGTAACGTTAGGGAGGTTTAAAAGAAACCTGTGCTTGCCCAGACACTGTTTCCCATGACTCAATTGACACCAGTGTCCAGTTACACATCATACATACTCATCATAATCTGGCAGACAGTCAGCCCCAGGTAATGCTGTTTCCCAGTAAAATTTTCCTCTAATATTGGCCATCAGGCGAAGCAATGCTGGGTTAGCAATAGCCTTACACAATTCTTGCCTGCAGCCTCACTCTATTAGTATACTGACAACAGGCATCCCATCACACCTCCAGTTGGTATTAATCAGTTGAGAAATAGTTATTTGAGGCTCACGAGCTCTGTATCATAGTGGGATATATTGCCTCTTTGCCATCCCTACACTGCATGTGAGTGAGTGACTTTCAACTGCTCCACATTGAAGAATGGAGGCCCAATGCTTTGGATACATTGCACATGTATTATGGCTTCAGTCTATAACTTTGTTAACCATTGTACTAAATAAGAGATTTTAAAAAAATCTGCACTGCTTTACAGTTCTTAGGTAAATGATGCACATGACCCGGCCATTCACCTGATCTAAAACAAAACATGTTTCATCAGACCAGCAACCTTTTTTTATTGCTTCATGGTCCAGTTCTGCTGCTGATGTCTCCACTGAAGGCACTTTTGGCAGTGGACAGAGGTCATCATGGGCATTCTCACTGGTCTGCGTCAACGCAGCCCTATTTCCAGAAAACTGTGATGCACTGTGTGTTCTGACACCTTTCTAGCATGGGCAGCATAAACCTTTCAGTAATTTGAGCTACGGCTCTTCTGTGATCAGATGGGCTAGCCTCCTTCGCTCCTTACGTGCCTCAATGAGCCTTGGGCACCCATGACCTGAACGCCGGTTCACCAGTTGTCCGCCTTTGCACCACTCACCACTGCATACCGGAAAAAAAAAAACACCACAATTTTACCCATGTCGTTTCTCTTGCCCATTTTTCTTGCTTCCAACACATGAAATTCAAGAACTGACTGTTCACTTGCTGCCTAATATTTACCACACCTTGACAGGTGCCATTGTAACAATATTATCAATGTTATTCACTTCATTTGTCAGTGGTTCTAATGTTGTGGATGATAAGTGTTTAGCTCTCTTGTTAACCCCTCTCAGACCTTAAATACCTCTTAACTATAACCACTTCTAACTTTATCTTAAACCCTACACACATTTACACTGCTGCATACACTCACTATAATCACAGATTAAAACACAACACATTTCAAGTAGAAGTGGGGGAGCAGAGGACGCCTTAGTATTCTGTGCCTACAGGCACCTGACATTTAAATCCAGCACTGGTCTTAAATAACTGTCAAGGTAACACGGCAAAATGATGGTATAACAACTTAAAGAGAGCCTGCTTGCATTGATAGAATGTTTCAAAACATAAAGAAAATTTATTACATCTGCAAAATACAGATTTAAACCCTTTCGGGAGAATTAAACTCCTATGGCCTATATTTTATTTTTTTAATAATATTGTGAATTTGTTTGTCGTTAACCCAAATAAAGAAACCGGAAATGGGATGGGCAGATTTAATTAATTTTGGTGTATGTGTCTGCCATTAACTGGCTGCTTTGCTGGCCCTTCTCACAGGTAATGGTTTCAGTCCTTTGAGCTTAACTCTGCGCTAAAAGTATTAGCTTTCAAAAATCAATGAAGAACACATCCACCTGATACTCTAACTATCCTGACCTGTGTTATCCATTAAACGCTTCTCTAGGAAATTGCCCATAAAATGATGTTAGACTCACAGGAAGGGACAGAAACCATTTCAGCAGATGTTCCCTCGAAGCGAGAGAGAAAATATGATGTTAGGTACGTATGTGATATAGGTTTCAGGAAGGCAACACATTTATATTGGTTTCACACCAGTACATGTTGTGCTAAAACCCTTTTCTTGTGTATATGTTTATTGATTCCTGTTAGCGTCTCCTATGTATTTGCTTTTGATATGCTATAGAATAATGGCATGGTAGGCCAGAAACAGCACCATATATCCCTTAACCCCTTAAGGACACAACTTCTGAAATAAAATGGAATCATGATGGAATATTTCCGTCATGTGTCCTTAAGGGGTTAAAGCTGCATTAGTCGAAGATAAATGATAATGTAATGAATCAAACAGAATCAGCTAAGACTAACCTTGATATCTCGCATGACTATGAACATAATTTCCCATGATGCTCTGCCATCCTACTTGCTTATGTGGAGTTGGGGTTTTTTTGTGCAACGCAAATGGATATAATGGGGAAATTAGTTAGGGCATTTTGCAACACAAGATATTATACACTTCTGGAATTACCTGGTGAAAATGATGAAGTTACCAAATTTTTATATATTTATTATTGCCATTTATATAGTGCCAACAGATTCCGTAGCGCTTTACAATATTATGAAAGGGGATTTAACTATAAATAGGACAATTACAAATAAACTTACAGGAACAATAGGTTGAAGAGGACCCTGCTCAATCGAGCTTACATTCTATAGGAGGTGGGGTGTAAGACACATTAGGACAGGAATGTACAATCAAATAAGGTGGGCTGCCCTTTAGGAGAGGGCAAGAGACGGGTATGTGAGGTAGGGGTTAGTCTTGGAGGCCATAAGCTTTCCTAAAGAGATGGGTTTTAAGGCACTTCTTAAAAGATGCAAGACTAGGGGAGAGTCGGATGGCGGTAGGCAGGCTATTCCATAGGAAGGGAGCCGCCCGCGAGAAGTCCTGCAAGCGCGAGTTGGCCGTACGGGTGCGGACAACGGACAGGAGGTGGTCACGGGCAGAGCGGAGAGACCGAGAAGGGACATACCTGTGGATCTGTGAGGAGATATAAGAGGGGCTAGAGTTGTTCAGTGCTTTATAGGTGTGAGTTAGTGCCTTGAATTGACTCCTATAGCACACAGGAAGCCAATGTAAGGACTGGCAGAGGGGTGAGGTGTGAGAGAACCGACTAGAGAGGAAAATCAGTCTAGCAGCAGCATTCATTACAGACTGTAGGGGTGCAGTACGGCTTTTGGGAAGACCAAGCAGGAGAGGGTTACAATAATCCATGCGTGAAATTATTAGAGCATGGACAAGCTCCTTGGTAGTATCTGGTGCAAGAAAGGGGCGGATGCGGGCTATGTTTTTAAGATGGAATCTACAGGATTTGGCAACATGCTGGATGTGAGGCTCAAAGGTGAGACCAGAGTCAAGTATGACGCCAAGACAGCGCGCTTGCAAGGATGGGCTGATGTTGGTACCACATACTTGAAGGGAGAGCGAAAGAGGAGGATCAGTATTAGGAGGAGGAAAGACAAGGAGCTCAGTTTTTGAGAGATTGAGTTTCAGAAAGCGGGAGGACATCCAGTCAGAGATGGAAGAAAGGCAAGCAGTGACACGTTGCAGGACAGCAGGGGAGAGGTCCGGGGAGGAGAGATATAGCTGGGTGTCATCAGCGTACAGGTGGTAGTGGAAACCAAATGAGGTAATAAGTTTGCCAAGAGAGGCAGTATAAAGAGAAAATAGAAGGGGACCAAGGACGGAGCCTTGGGGGACTCCAACCGAGACAGGGCGAGGGGAGGAGGTATCATTAGAAAAAGAGACACTGAATGAGCGTTGGGAGAGATAAGAGGAAAACCACGAGAGGACAGAGTCACAGAGACCAAGCGATTGCAGAGTTTGAAGAAGGAGAGCATGATCAACGGTGTCAAAGGCCGCCGAGAGGTCAAGAAGAATTAGTATGGAGTAGTGGCCTTTGGATTTAGCTGCGATTAGGTCGTTAGTAACTTTGATAAGGGCAGTCTCTGTAGAGTGGAGAGGGCGGAAGCCAGATTGAAGGGGGTCAAGGAGAGAGTTGGAATTGAGGAAATGAGACACACGGGTAAAGACGAGTCTTTCCAGAAGCTTTGAGGAAAAAGGGAGCAGGGATATGGGACGGTAGTTAGAGGGGGTGGACGGGTCAAGGGATGGTTTTTTTAGTATAGGTACTACAGTGGCATGTTTAAGGTCAGCAGGGACGATGCCAGAAGAGAGCGAGCAGTTGAAGATGTGTGTTAGAGAAGGCACGAGACAAGTGGAGAGAGATCTGATAAGGTGAGACGGGACAGGATCGAGCGGGCATGTGGTGGGGCGAGAGGAGCAAAGAAGAGCAGCCACCTCTTGGTCAGTGGCTGGGGAGAATGTCTGAAGGGTAGGAAAGGCATGATCAATGTGTGGTTGAGAAACAGAAAGGCAAGGAGGGGAGAATTCTTTCCTTAGCTGTTCAATTTTGTCAGTGAAGTAACATGCAAAGTTATCAGCAGTAAGGTTGGTTTGGGGGGTGGCCACAGCGGGGCGAAGAAGAGAATTAAAGGTGTCAAAGAGACGCCTGGGGTTGCGGGAACATGAACTAATGAGAGAGGAAAAATAGGACTGTTTGGCAAGGGCAAGGGCTGCACTGTATGAACACAGTATGAATCTATAATGGAGAAAGTCTGACACTGAAATAAAATAAATGAGTTTTGTAGACTGTGGAGGCTACTGCACTCTACTACAACTCCTTACTTATTGTGACTGGAGGGAGAATCCACATGAAAAGAGACTATTCTTTTATAAGGACCGCCATCTTATCTTTCCGCAGTTAAGTAATTCACTGGCACATATTGGATAATCCAGTTACTGTATATGCTGTAATGTTGCTTGTAATTTAACAAACTGTGATCTAAACTGAATTCCCCTTTAAAAGAAATGCCTGCCTTATCAGAGGCTGCCCTAACTGGAGTATATGCTTCAAACACAGGGTGACAGGTCGTATTCTTGGCAGGTTTACCTCAGTGCTTCAACCCTAATTACTTGTGTAATAGTCATATATCTTTTATTTGGAACTGAGATAAAAATCTTTTCCCACTATGAGCTTGTTTCACCTACTGTTCCTGTATGTCATACATGTTTCGTTAGAATTAAATGTTTGTCTTGTTCACCTACTGTACACCATTGTGAAATGCGTTGGTGTTATATAAATACTATAAACTATTTTTATATCATGAGCCTAGATCCCGTACTTTTTTCCAGTAGTGAGATACAGTATTGGTGGGGTGGTGGTTAATAGATGAATTGATTTTCTTATAATCACTTTCAGGTTGTTTAAAAAAAAACTAATTGAAGAATTACCTGCTGATGGTTTCATGAATGGAGGAGGAATTAATGGCATGACAATTGGCATGTTTCCATGATCCTTTGACCCCGCTGGTAATCCTGCAATCCCATTTCCAGTAGCGTGTCCTGAATAATTTATATTTGTATTGTATGGTGACGTAACACTGTCCTCAGGTAATTTTGGTTTTGGCAAAGAATTTTCTGAAATAAAAACAAAATATAGTATAAAATTTTTTAAAATACAGCCATCACACCTTTACAAATCACCTACTAGGCATGTAAAAATAAAAAAAAGGAAATTAAGTGAATATTAATATTACCGATGCGGCACTTTGGCAACATTACAAACATAACCTAAAAGAAACATCATTATCTTTTATTTACTAATCTCACATTTATGCTGATTGGGAAAATAAAGTGGCACCTGGTTTAAATTTTGAATAAATAAAGCTTTTTCTCCCTTTTCCTTGAAATTAAATCATGCTTGCTATGCCCCATGCAAAATTGGATGTCTACCTAATTGGGCATGTCCTCAATGTCTACAATTAGCAAAGCATCGTATGATTTATTTTCATTTGTCTGTATTAATCAGATGGAATACGCATACATAAATCTTCTTCATCATACCTAAGAACATCCTGAGTGTAAACCCAGCATTTTATGATTTTTATAAAATATTCCATATTTAGACTGAAAATGGTGAATGCAAACTTCATTATATTCTACACTAATGTAATGTTCCTCAAATGTATCATGTTTGATAGGTGGCCAAGCAACAGGGTTGCAGGACAAACCGTTTTTGTTGTTTTTGCTTTTGTGTCTTTGTAGGTTCTTTTGTGTTATTTTTTTTAACGTATAGTTAGTAAATACTCCCATTTACCTTTTTTTGTCCTTTTACTTAAAATTTCTACTTGCATGTAAATGACATGACCAGGGAAATATTTCTGCACACAACCAATGTGTTTATTTTATATTTTAAATCAAGTTTAAAAGCTTCAGCTGCACAATATTTAAGATACTAGGATGGAAGTGTAGGCAGTATAAGAGCAAACCCTGTGATGATGCTTTATAATTGATCTCTAGTGAAGCTGCAAAAGAAATGATAAGGAGGTGTATTGGTTAAACACTAAGTTGCAGGTAATTGAAAACTGAACTGCAAAATTTAGGCTAAAATAGCCAGTTGTGGGTAGAGTTGGAAGATGTTCCCAAATAATCAATTTGTTCGCCTTGATTTTTCAATTTGCCCTGGAACTTTTTTTGGAGGCGATTAGGAGTAATCCAGATGTTCACAGTTTCAGCCATACTGCGGACGAACACGCTGATGATGTACTATTTTACATTGAACAGCCAGTGTTTTTTCTTCCATATATCCTCCATTCCGTTTCTATGGTGAATTGAGCATAGACAAATCTGAGACCACAAATATATCTGTCTCCTCCTGAGAGTCTGAACACCTCTGCATCCACTTTCCATTCCAGTGGTGCAGAGAACAACTTGAGTATCTGGGTTTGTGGATCCCATGTGATTTGAAGAAAGTCTACCGACAACTTCCTGCCAATGTTGAATTATTTTCAGGCAGATATGAAAGGCTGGACTGTGCTAGATTTCTCGTGGTTTGGTTGTATAAACCCTGTTAAAATGAATCTGCCTCCTAGGCTGCTCAACTTAGTCCAGATTATATCAGTGCCTCTCAAATGTGCAATTTTTAGTACCCTGAATTCAGCTCTGGTGCAATAAGTATGTACGGGAAACAGGTCAAAGCTTAAGATAGACCAACTCATCCCCCTTAAGCCAGTAGGTGGTATGGACTTTCTAAAAGTAATATCTGACAGCACACTTAGTTTGAGTAGTTGAATGGCACAATACAGACAAACAAGACATCTGGCCAGCATTTGAGCGAGCGATAGAGAAAGGTTCGATCCCTTCACTAGTATACTTGGATAACGGGGCTGAAAAGGAGTTAATAAATACGCAAACCTTTCTTAGGAGCGACATTGAAAGTGTGGCACCAACTCTGAACTATTACTTAATACTCCATATAGCCCTATGTACCTGGTTATTGCTAACCTGTGTTTCCCTGCTACTTTAGATCGACAAGCCTTTGAGTACCTTAGGAAAAGTCCACACCTCCATGTCAAAACTTTGTGCAAGGCAGGCCACCACCGACCCTTGAGACATTTAAATATCATCAGTTCACAAACTTCATTACTTCCATTTCTCATCATCAAATCCTACATAGGTCAGCCACAAATCTGGAAGAGATATATTTTCGTGCTGGACCTGTACTGTTTAAATTCAAGTCGTATTGGGAGAATGCCTTGCAAATGACAGTCACCGGCCAGTCGAAGATGTTAATATTGACAGACCATCTAAGCTACCTATGCATGAAATTCCAAGAGATTCATTACAAAATGATGATTTGGTATGATACACTGCAAAAATTGCATAGGTTTTTTGCAGACATGTCCGATGGGTGTTGGCGGTCGGATCGCTACTGTATTCTGGGAATTAGCGATCTTATCCCCTTACTGGAGAAGGCGAATGATGTAGTGCTTACTATAGCAGATGAAGAGGTGGATTCAACCCTGTGGATATGTTCTTAAACCTAAATCTAAATTTAATCTAAATTACCTATATCCAAAAACAAGAAAACACTGTCCAAACATTTATTGACAGCAGCACGCTCTCTGAATTCCTGCCCTCTGGCTGTGAAAATACCTGCCAATGTTTCAGAACTGGCTCGGCAGAGTTGAAGAGATTCAGCAGATAAAGGAACACACCGCCACTGCCATGTTGAAGGATCAATCTGATAGATCCGAGGAGGTATGGAGAGCATGGCAATTTTATCTCAGTACCAGAAATCAGTGAGTCAGCTGATGGGGTGCCCTTATCCCCTACCTTCCCTCCTTACCTCCCCCCTTTTTTTGTTTTGCTCTCTCTGAACAGCTTTTTCAACCTCATCTATTGTTCACCTGGTGCATGGGTACCTTCTTTTCCGCTCGCAGACTATTATCCACTATTCATTGCTGCCCAATAGACTAATTTGTTTATTTATGACTAAGACTAAGATTAAGACTAATTAGTTATTAATTAGAATGGTCCCATTGTAATTATTGGTTTATTATGATAGAAGTACCTTTCAAACATTGTTATAAATGTATGGCAGCTGTAATTGTAGCAATGCTTTAATTTATGGTTCCTGTATCGATTAACACGCCGAAACTTTATAAACCTTCTGTAATATTTTGAATCATTTGTACAACTCCATAAACAAAGATTGTCCAAAAAATAAAAATCTATTTGGTTTTCAAATCACTACCATTCAGTATTTAGTGTATAATTTCAAAGTGTGCCAGGTAACAGAGAAATGGGAATAGACAAAAAATATGTGAAAAAAATTATACAAGTGAATAACAGTTCTCCTGCATTAGCATAATAATTCCTGAATTTAATACATGTTTTTACACCTGTGAGCACACTGACATATTATCCCCGTAGCCTGAACCACTGCTGGCCATATGGAATCAATGATAATAATAAAGAGAATTGGACGAAGATCCATTTAGCAAAAATATAAAATATAAAATAAAAAAATAAAGTGGTCACAAAAATCGAAAGCTTAAAGGACAGCATAATGTAGGACAGGCAAGCTGTTTAAAAACTTTTACATTGCACTTCGATTGGCAATTAACTTACTTTATGAACCAGCAAGGGAACTTCTGGATAAAGAACATTTGCTTTGGCTCCACAACCAAGGCCTTCCACTAATGATATGCAAAATAGCTTCTGCATGCTGGTGGCGTGTGAATTGTATGCCAGACTGTATTAATTAAGCAAATGAGGCAATACCATTTCTACATTTGAATGGCACTGGCCTTGCTTCATAACCCTAAGCCCTGTCATTAAAGCTCTGCCAACACTAAAGTACTTCTGAAATTTGGATGTTTTTATTTTGTTATAATTACCTTAATAAGTTAAAACGAAACTAACACATAACAGAAAACATATAGGTCTCCAAAGAGGGAAAAAGAACACTTGTCCTCCAAAAGGCTGCCATCAAAATATTCCTTAGCACCATTATATATCACTTTAAAAGCTAACAGAACCTTGCGTTTAACTGAGTTTACCACATTTTAATGAATTTGATTTGAATATGTTTAACTAACGTGGACTTCCAGTTACTCATCCTGAACAGGAAGTTCTAATGCTAAGGTGAATTCAAAGTGCATTTCAATTTTAAGGTCAAAAAAGCCAAACTAAAAAAAGGCAAATTGAAATTATATTCTACACTAATGCAATGATTTTCAAATTCAACAGTTTTGTTAGGAGGCCAAGCAACAAAAGTTGAAGCATAACACTGTTTTTGTTATTTGTTCATAGTGAATTTCAAATATAAGGTCAAAATAGGCAACTTAAGATTCCTCTAAGTCAACTATGCTTTTAAAAAGAAAGAGAATGTTACCTGCACTCTGGCCTTAATCCCCATGTACATTTAAACAAAATGGAGGCTCTTTAGTTTTATTCCAATGGCCATTTGAATATATAAGCTCACCTGCCACGTCAAAGCAAGCCTCAATAGGTGAGTTCCTACACTAGCCATTAGATATGCTTATATCAGCCAAGAATCTCCAATGAGACAGGAAGGGGTATTTTATAAACCCTTTCACATTTAACCCTTTATAAGGCTTCTACACATACAATAAACTTTGCTGGTATCAGACTAAGTTTATACATCTCTAATGAGACATGAAGGGGTATTTTATAAACCCCTACATACTTAAAGGACCACTCTAGGCACCCAGACCACTTCAGCTTAATGAAGTGGTCTGGGTGCCAGGTCCAGCTAGGGTTAACCCATTTTTTAATAAACATAGCAGTTTCAGAGAAACTGCTCTGTTTATTAATGGGTTAAGCCTTCCCCCTATTCCCTCTAGTGGCTGTCTCATTGACAGCCACTAGAGGCGCTTGCGTGCTTCTCACTGTGATTTTCACAGTGAGAGCACGCCAGCGTCCATAGGAAAGCATTGTAAATGCTTTCCTATGCGACGGCTGAATGCGCGCGCAGCTCTTGCCGCGCGTGCGCATTCAGCCGGCGGGGCGGATCGGAGGAGGAGAGGAGGAGGAGAGCTCTCCGCCCAGCGCTGGAAAAAGGTAAGTTTTTAACCCCTTTCCCCTTCCAGAGCCGGGCGGGAGGGGGTCCCTGAGGGTGGGGGCACCCTCAGGGCACTATAGTGCCAGGAAAACGAGTATGTTTTCCTGGCACTATAGTGGTCCTTTAACCCTGAATACTAGCAAAGTTTATTGTTCTCTTTGTTTTTACTATGTATTTTAAGCTGTTGGATGCTAAGCTACTGCTGCTGTAAGCACGGTGCTTTATCTTTGTGCAACTATGCTTTTAGTACGGCTACTCTGGCCTTAAAGCTGAAATTCACTTGGAATTCACACTTTGGTGAACAGCATTTAAAAAAATACAGTAATATGTTAAAACAGTAATTGCAGCTAATTTTTTTATAACTTTAATAAAACACTGGAAATCCCAACATGTTTTTTGATTTGATGCTCTGTTTTCATTTTACTTTACATTGAAAATTTAGCAAATAAGATCACAATCCAGGTAAGTTCAGGAACAGCTAGTGCACACAATGCAAATTAGGAGCAGAAACAGAAATGAGACTTCATTTCTCCTCTTCTCTGTATGTTTTTTCGATACTGGCTTACAAAAATGATTGGCATGACTGCTGACCCATGCAAACCTTCCCGCTGACGAATAATTACACAGACACCTGTATAGTGGGTAAAGAGCTCCTAGCGTTATGCTCCTTCCTTGGACGTGGTAGGTGTCCACTCCCCAGACTCCCTTATATCTGTCCCTACTTTCTGCAACATTGTTTCCCCCTTTTATACCACCCCTTGTCTTAGGCAGCAGTCATGCTTCCCTTCCTTGGCAGTCAAGGGAATATCTTGAAGTCATGATGGAACTCAAGCTGCAGGTTTAAAGAGGTGTTTAATTCTACTTTTAAAAGAACACTGCAGCTCACTGTAGTAGTTTTGGTTCCAGGAGTTTGCTACTACCCTTCCAATTCCACTTCTAACCTGGCCTCCACTGGGAGCCTCTCCCAACCACCACTACTATTCCCAGAGACATGGAAGATTCTAAGCAATATCCTTTGTTAGCTCTCCTGAGCTAAGCTCTGAAGCTGAAACTCTAAGCTAATGAGCTAAGGCTAGCCCTACTCAGGAAAGCTAACAGATGTTCTAGATTAGCAACATCCGTCTCTGCGGTGTTAGTTTTGGGAAGAACCAAGGCACCCCTGGCACCATACAGTAAACTACAGTGGTTATGGTGCTTGGAGTGTTCTCTAATTTTCACCTCACAAATAAATATGTATATTTGATATAGGAAATTAGTAAACACGATATTAAATATCCTGGAAAATGACAGTCCCCCCTCTATACGCCACTATAGCCTCATGTCTGAGTTACCCATTTTGAGTGTAAAAGATGATAAAATTCACATGTAAAAAATATATTCAATAAAATATCAATTAAATATTAACCTGTTCTACCTAAAAGAGACAATATACTGTTTAGGCATAATTAAAACTGAAAATGTGTGTTCTGTTTTGCAATTTTTATTTTCAAAGCTACATTCACTTTGATGTATGTTCTCAATTGCATTTCTTCGTTAACATTGTTTGTTTTCTTTTTTTAACTAATTTTGTTTTTATTGTGTTGTTCAAAAAATTTATACAACATGTCAGATAACAAAAAAAACATAAGGCGATAAGTAAACATGTCTAACTATGTGGAAAAAATGATTCCGTCAAACTGAAAGATAGAAAAAAAAAAAGATATAGCTTTTATCTTAGGGAAAAGTTTTTACGAATCTTATATGCACAAAAAGCTAAATAAAATAGCTATATGAGGGATGGCAAAATCAGAACATTTCCATGGAATAAGGAATAATGGTTTCTCATTTAGACTGCTACTGCTAGGTCTGTGTCTGCGACCTTTAATCACAGATATCAGTTCACCCTTGGAACACATTTTTTTACAATTTGTGTATCCTCTTCAGAAAAAATACATGTGGATGGATTGCCAATGTGAATATATTCATGATATTATAGCATTAGAAGGTGACATTTTTTATAAAACCTTTCAGATCTGCCTAGGAAAGATGTGCTGTAGACTGTGTGACATTCCTTGGATTTGATTATAAATCAAGCACTAGTTCACAAGTGTTGTTACATTTTAGTTACAATTGTTGTGCTGTTGATATATAGGTTCCATTATTATAATTTTTTTTATAAATGGTAAATATTTAAGGTTTAAGCAGAAAATCTAGTTAGGATAAGAGATGTGGGGAAATTCTGGTTTCTAAAGCACACTATAGTACTTGTGTTGGTGTTCTCGAATTAACATGGTGCATTTGTGCTTTATACAATTTTGAGGTTTGTAAATATGTGGAATTAGGCTGTGGTGATTACCATCTATACTAGTAAGTAAACTTGTTTTATTTATCCTGGAAGCTCTTTATACATAGCTTAGCCTTCATGACTATGCTTTTTTATGCTTCACAAAGTTTGTCATCAACATGCAGGTCACTGGAAAATTTCAATCTCCCTTATTTTAAAAAAATGATCTTTGCCAAGTATCAACTTTCAGATTCTGGCCAGTCTGACCAAACAAGACTACTCTTCCTGTAGCAACATTCTAGACATCCCATTTAAAACAAACATACTTTATTCATTTTGTGGCTAAATCAGAGCTTAAGGAAGTATTGTAGCTGCTAAACTGGTATAAAAGCTAGAAATGGAAGCCAATTGTAAAGTGATATAGATTTTATATATGTAAAGTAAAACAGGCTGGATTTACTATGTAATCATCTATTCAAGGAAATTAAATCAGTATATGCCAGCAATAGTGAGTTTATAAGGAATTCTAGGGCAAAGTTGAAAGAGTGATGCAATCACCATAGAAACCAAACGGAATGTCCCTGTCAATTTAGAGCTTCACCACAAAAAGCATTAATTACACAGTAACCTGCAAAACATATGGGATTTAAATTCAACCAATAGATAGCATAACATTTACATTTCTGTTGTAGTAGCCACAGAAATTGAATTAATTTTTTTAAATTCACATTTATTTGCCCCCATCCTTGCGCTTCTTTGCTGTCCCTGGCTTCAGAAAGATTATGCAGAAATTAATAGTTAGAATTATGCAAGTGGCTGCAGATTGGCCGGCCTTGGGTGGAAAACCGTAGTTTTTGTCAAAGTATTCTAAAACAATTTTGACAGAAAAAGGAGGGATTTCACCCAAATACTCATGGCAACATCATCATTACGTTTGAGTTTGCCATGATTATACAAATACACCCCTGCATTCAAACTTCAACACTACATACAAACACACTCCTGCATTGAAATGTTAACACTACATACAAACACACCTCTGTGTTAAACACTAAAATTAAATATAAACACACAAACACTGCTTAGTACTAATTACAAGCTTGCAAGCATGGGAATATGGTAAAATCCCAGCTGTCAAAACATTGTTGGAGTTGCATGACAAATGGGGATCTTCCTTTTGGCCACCCTTGCAATGGCGCGACCCAAAATAAATCTTGCACCTGTGTCAGGGAGTAGGGGGGAAGGGTCCAGGGGGCCCAAGTAAATGTTTGCCTAGGGTCCATCCATTATTAAAGACGGCCCTTTTTGTATGTAGTGTTGCCATTTGAATGCAGGCTTGAATTTGTGTGTAGTGTTAGTTTTTGATGCAGAGGTTTGTTTGTATATAATGTTGGTGTTTTAATACAGTTGTGTGTTTGTATGTAGTGGAAATGTTTGATTGCAGTGTTGGCAGTTTAATGCAGGGGTATATTTGTGTGTAGTTTTGGCGTTGTGATGTATGTACATGTACACATACACTGCCACACACACACACACATATAGACATGCAGATAAAAAGAAACACAGACACAAACACTAACATGCATGCAGATACACAGACATACATACAAAAACACTGACACACATACAGATACACAGACACACAGATTCAAACACTGACACACATGCATAAACACAAACATACAGATACACACACTGACACACGTAAAGAGACACCTACATATACACAGAAACACACACATACAAACACATTTGCTGGTCAAAATGTTAGTCTGAGACAGTAGAAAGCACCCTCCTTCATCTTTTGCGTGCAGGTAGGTCACTTCGACAGCTGAGACTGTTAGAGTAGTTAGGGCTTGTTCTCTTGGTCTGCACCCCCCTCTTCTTTGTCTCCTCCTCTCCCTTCCGCAGGCTCAAAGTTTGTTATCTAGGAGCAAGTGACCTGCTTTCACTCGCATTTTCTCCCAGCACTGCAATATTAAAGGACCACTATAGTGCCAGGAAAACATACTCGTTTTCCTGGCACTATAGTGCCCTGAGGGTGCCCCCACCCTCAGGGACCCCCTCCCGCCCGGCTCTGGAAAGGGGTTAAAACTTACCTTTTTCCAGCGATGGGCAGGGAGCTCTCCTCCTTCTCTCCTCCTCCTCCTCCGATCCTCTGAAACTGCTATGTTTATTAAAAAAATGGGTTAACCCTAGCTGGACCTGGCACCCAGACCATTTCATTAAGCTGAAGTGGTCTGGGTGCCTAGAGTGGTCCTTTAAAGAGGCTTGGTCATGCTGTGAAAATACTGCACCACATGACCGGGACCCTGATAACACATATACTTATCACGGTAGCCTAGGTGTACGGGCCGCTACTAAATATCCATCTCCATAAGTAGTGTTTCATTTTTGCTCCAAATGTCATGACTCTTTTAGGATGTTGTATCTCAGATGTTAGCATCAGAGACTACAGCTCCCAAAAACTATGCTGTGCTCATGATGAAGCACTTACAAGAAAAGCAGCACTGCTCAGTCACTTCTTGTTTTGATGAGACCCCATTGAAAATCCTGCCCTGCATGTAGCTTAGGATGTACTTTAGATATGAGTATGCTTGTTACTATTTTTAATTTATTTTCTTTGCATTTGTTTTAAAGGAATAGTCTAAGCACCATAACTACTAGAGTTGATAACTATTTGGCATTTCACTTTACACTGAGGAATGTAGAACTTCCATTCTAGCGATATCTTAAGAGGGGACCTGACCTTGGGTGCTTGTGGAATCCAGGTAAATATAAACCACTTTCACATTGTTTGACTCTAACTTAGGAAATGGTGCCAGGGGACCACAAACACTTCAGCTCCCTTTAGTGGGTATGGTGCTTAGACTGCCCCTTTAATGTACCCCTTATTTCACTGATTCTAAAACAATGGGTGCAAAACCAACTTTGGAGTGTCTCTATACACACTAGTTTATAGCAAATCTTGGTCAGGTACATTACACAAAAACTACTTTTGATGAAGAGAAGAAAAAAAGGTGATCATTTTATTCAATAAAAAAGGTACGGAAATCAAAGCAAATTAAATATAATCGGTCCCTACTTTTACTATTGCATTTTGAATTGCTATGTAGCAATGTTTGTCTGTGTGAAAAGTTTCCAGCAGCATTATCTAATTGCAAATGTGATTTAAAAAAAAAAAATCTATTCTTTATTTCTGTTGTGCAAATAGTAACATACACGCTTGATGCACCACAACAGCAGGACAAGTGAAAAAACACAGTATAAGATTATAACATGGCATTTAGAGCAATTGCACAAATTTTATAGTTATGGCGTTCTAGCAGGCAAGCTGAGTACTGTAAATTAAGTGTATATCAAGCCTAATAAACACGTCAGAGAATATGTCATTGGTATACAAACATGCTTATAAGATCAACTCAGCAAGAGTGAGTAGGAAAAAATAAAATAAAAAAAATAGGAAATAAAAGGTGTAAAACTAACATGACATGATGAAAATGCTGCATTTCTCCCTCCTTTTTTTTTAAATAACAGTACAGGCTACACAATCATGTCTAAGAAGTAGGATATGAATATGACATGCTAGAGTAAGGTAAAAGCTAATAGGTAGCCCACCTTCACTAAACAGTAAGGAAATGCAATATTTGATTGAAGGAATGGGCTTTGACTAGTACAAGGGAATATAAGTGGTAGCTTATTGGGTAAAACACGAGTTATAGGATTAAGCTGAGGAAAAACTTTAAATTAAACAACGTTAACGCCCCCATATATAACTGGGTTGCGCTGTTGGACCAGGTCAGTGAAGGGGAGACGGGGGGCAAATGTGATTTTATTAAAGTGCCAAGTGTATATCAAAGAAAAGCATCTTTGTCGCAAATGTATTTTTGTATTTATTATTGTTATTTTATATTCTTTTCTCCTATTGGAAGCCTGGGACACATATTCTAACACGTTCACAATGTCTATCTACATTAGCAAAACCTCATTTTAATAGTTCCATAAACCTAACATCTGATTTTACCTTTGAGAACAGAAATATGCTGTCTGCCTTCACCGTCTCCATGATAGTTCTTGAATTCAATGTCTTCTGCATCATTTAGTTCCACCTTGTCATACCCATACCAGCCTAGAAGTTCATTCATTGTATTTTCTGCAAAGTTCTGAAAAGAGTAGAATAATTTGATTAGTTACTCAAAGAACATAGGAAACCTGTGCACACATATTCATAAAACGGGCAAAGTTATTCATTAAATTAAGAATTGCCAGCAATTCAAAGTAAATTAAAAATAAATCTCAAAATTTAGGCCAAAATAGCAAATGTAGAAATTCACTTAAAATTCCTGGCGATTTTAACGTTAGTGAATTAGCCAGTTTGAATAGTACTTTATAGATCAATGTACATCTTTGTGTTCAGATTACAAATATTTCTAGTAAATATCTTTAATGAACATATACACACACATAATAGCAGATATCAGAGTGGAGTGCCCTAGGCAATGTAACATGGGTTACAGTTCTGTAGGAAACCCAAAGCATAATAGTGGGCATGCGTTTTCTGTGAATATCCAGTGACCCCTAAAGCAACTGTCACGTCTAAAGTATTATAAAAGATACAATATTTATGAAATGTTTAGATTGACTGCATTGACAATTCATTACATGGCTGAAATGGCTCACTGTCATTCATTGCTGTAAGATCTGTCCTGTGCACCTGACAGGCAGCATAGACAATGAATATAAATAAGAGTAGAAATTAAATATATTTCTGTTTCTCAAACATATTTGCAATGTGTGCCCTGGCTGTGCCGGGATTGAACTAAAATGGAGACTTGCACGAAAAAGTAATTTAAAGGGCCACTGTAGGTACTCTATCTGCTTCATCTCAGTGAAGTGGCTATAGTGTCTGGAGTCTCCTTGTACCATCTTTCCATTCAATGTTTAACTATTTCTACTATTTAAATGCTAAATGAGAATTCCCATCAGCCCATCCCCTCTGGGCTGCTTGAGCTAACGAGGAAGCATTACTGTGAGCAGCATTGGGCAGCTGTGATTGGCTGAGAGTGTCATCGCATCACTTTCAACCTGTCACAACTGCCAGTACTGGTATGAATTGGTATAGCAAAAGGAAGTGCGTAATCTCTGCCTTTGCCATAACTCCAGTGGGGGTTGGGCTGTGGGTGGCCAGGGAACATCATTTAGTGTTAAACTGCTTAAAAATAGTTTAACTTAGAATGGAGAAACAGCACCTGAGGATATCAAGCGCTATACCAATTCAATGGGATGACATGGTTATATTGCCTAGTGTGTCCCTTTAACACAAGATACACATGCTTTTCCATGTTGTATGCAATGGTGTATATTCCAGAAAAGTGACTGTGTTGCACATTAATTAAGCGATCTTGTATAGTATCTTTATCCATAATGTCCAATAGAAATCTATGTTATATAATTATTATCATATCAAGTATGTAGAAAATGTGGAATTTATATTCAAACACATTTTATACAGTGTAAGATGGCTGCCAAGGTTAGCCAGTATAAGTCTGCAAGGTCCTGTTCTCAGGACTTAGCTTCCTATTGGGCAATAAGACTAAGTTATCTTGGATGGCAGCCATACTGACGTCCAGAAAAAGTACAGAACACCAGGCTATAAAACTAGAAATATCTCAGGGAGGTTCCACGTGTATAATAATAGTTCAGTACTACAAACCTGACTTAAGGTCATTATGAAATGTTATGTATAGTTTTAGCAACTATGATAATAAACATATAGAATCTAAACAAAGATTGGTTATTGAGGCAACTCCATACCTCACAATAATGTTTAAAAAAACCTTTAAAAAAGTGTTGTTTTTTTTCCAAAAAAATCTGCTTAAATTAAGTAATGCAATCTTTAAACATACTGAGCACTCAAATTACGTGCAGTTTATTTCATAACCCTAGGAGAGCTGTAAACATTTATCCACATATGTATTTTATTTAATATGTAAATAATCCTTTAACAGTACTTGACTTAATCCCATATACCCTCACAGTTCAATTCACGTTTCCATCCATTAAAAAAATACTAGATGGCGTCTATATTATCAGAGTTAGAGAATACTGAAGAGTGTCTAGACACACAATAAACTTTTTCCCTCTGACCCTCTGAGAGTGAAGCGAACTACTCGACGTATTTTATTTCAAGGTCCACCTATATTGTCCGTCACAATTTTAGCTTCTAAGTTCAAGATGGAAATAATGACTGGTGGACAATCAGTAGCAAGAAGTTCCATTAACCTAACAGCCAAAGTGGAAGATATAAAGTCTAGAAAATGGTCAAAAATTCCTCTGCACATTTCAACTCCTGTGAAAGCTTAAACTCTTTGCATGTAAATTTATCTGGAAATTGTTAAAATAACTTTTTTGAAATTATATTCACTTATGCCAAATTCTTTACAAACATATCTTTGTGACGTCTAAAAGTAGTAGTCCATATGACTGCATGAGGCTACAAACTGAAACTCAGTGCCACCATCATGGCTGTCAGTCCCTTTTTGCCATCAGTATGCCCTTTTCTGTCATTAAAGTGGATCCATAACTTTTTTTATTTTTATTTTTTAACATTGGCATGTTTCACACCCACCTTTAGTTGTCCCATTTTCCCCCCTGAAGTTACATATTATGAAAACTAAGGCCTACTTTTCCTTATATAAAACCTGAAGGTTGACAAAAGTTGACAACAGGTGGAGCTTTAGTTAAGTTCCCCAGCCTTCTCAACGTTGTCATTGGCTGTACTTTTCTAGTGCCATTGTTGCGTCACTTCCGAGAACAGCGTGTCACTGGCACTCTATGTTGACGCTCGTGCAGACGAGGTCTGTTGGACGCCTTGGGCATGCACGTCATTTGATGTGCACACCCAAGGAAGGGGAAAACATGGAATTCCCTACGTGTGTGTAGTGGGTGTGTAGTGGATGCAGTGTGTTTGTGTGTTTGTGTGTGCTGGGGGCTTTCTAGAGTCTGAGAGCTTCTGGAGGTTGAAGATCGCGTGTGTGAAGAGGGCCCCCTCTTCACTATACAGGTTTCGCGAGGGCCTGCAGGGATAGTGGTGGAACTAACATAGAGAGGGCCCTAGTGGAAGAATTTTTTTTGGGCCCCTCTCTCACACAAGGGTGGCCAAAATGTAGATCCCCATCTGTTGTAAAAGTCCCAGAATACTTTACCAGCTGGGGATCTACAATTTGCCCATCCTTGCATTGTTGTATTTATAACTGAGCAGTGTTTGTGTGTTTGAAAGTAAGCATGTTTTTTTGTGTGTGTGTATATATATATAAATATATATATGTGTGAATGTTGGTGTTTAACCCCTTAAGGACACATGATGGAAATATTCCGTCATGATTCCCTTTTATTTCTGAAGTTGTGTCCTTAAGGGGTTAAATGCAGATGTGCATTTGTGTGTAGTGTATACACTCCCACGAACACTAATGCACACACTGATACACATACATGCACACAGGCTAACACACATACAGATACACAGAGACACACACTGACATACATGCAAATACACAGACACACAGGTACACACAGACCCAAAAATTTAGGATGGCTGTCCTGATAAAATTTCACACATTTCAGTTATTCCCCTACAGCAGTGCTCTTCAACCCTCTCCTCAAGGTACTCCTAACAGTCTAGGATTTAGAGATTACCTGGATGTGTCTAGGGTGTTTAGAAAAAAGAAAGAAAAAAAACCACATTTAAAAAAAACCACCTTAGACACAACTGGATAATCCATAAATTCTGGACTGTTAGGCATGCATTGAGGAGAGAGTTGAGGAGCACTTCCCTACAGGATACCTGAAATCTGTTGGTATGGACAGATTACTTGTTATCTAATTTGTTACTTACCAAATCCTAAGCACAAATATTACTGGTAACTGTAGGCACACAGTGCAAACATTAAAAAAAAATGACCTAGGCACAATGGTCCTACTTAGATGCACAAAACATAAAAACGTAGCAATGCAACATTTTATAAACAAAGGTATTTGGAGTGGTTCACCTGGAAATTAAGAAAACATTGCTTTTATAAAGTGTGTAATATATACAGTATCTGTAGAGTAAGAAATGTAATATGCTTAGTGCAGACATAGCAATTTATATGAGGCAGGGGTAAACGGGATCTGTCACTTCTAAGGATTTGTAATTTAATATTTATTTTTATCCTATATTTTAAAACATCTGCCTGTCTGAGATCTGAAAATTTAAATCTGTCCTAGAACTGGGCACCTCCATCCCACCACCCTGAATCTCAATCAATCAGTATAAATTGTCCCCTTTTCTGCCATTGACCATAGATAATGCATACCTCCCAACTCCAGCATCCAGTGAATCAGACGCCAGTGGGAGGAGAATAAAGGGGCTCCCCCCAAATGGGTGGGTCTGCCCGAATTAATGACACGCCAGGCTGACTGCCAATCAGCCAGGCTAGCCCACTGAGGAAGTGCGTCTAATGATATACTCACGCTATGCTTGTTGGGGACAGTTCCCTGGTGTCCCCAAAATTTGGGACGGTGGGACAGGTCTTGAAATCGGGACTGATGGGAGGCCTGAATAGTGGAAGAGGAGAAAAAGAAACAATTATATTGTTATCCTCTTCATTTGCACTGTGTGTCTTGGCCATGCCTGAACTGAACTGTACTGTGACGTAATTTGTTAACTCTTTAATATACATTTTAAAAGTAATTAGAGCATCACATGAGAAAAGGTTAACCCAAGTTGTAGGGGACTTTCAGTATTTTAATCAATGGTATAATTGACAGTGAAAGTTCCACTTTAATGAGTGGATATAACCCAACAATGCTGCAGTAAAGGTTCTACCAAAGAAAGACTAATATATCATAAATTATGAAGTTGCTCCCTAACGTGCTAGAGAAAGCAGTTAAAGATTTAGTCTAAGCAAACATTCTGCATACATATTTGAGCTTGTTTCGGTGTGCTATTTCATATAAAAGTAATTTATAATGTATTAAGGCATTACAGACGTTAATAAACAAACATAACGATGATTAAAGCAAAGAATGGAATCTATGGCTAATTAAGCACACATCATTTTTCCCTTTAGGATTGCAGGCTATTTACTTGTCATTTTGTGTACCTTAGTTTTACTAAAGGATCTTTTATTTTGACTCAAAAGGAAATAATCTCAAAAGAGGAAAGAGCTCCATATTGTGCTTAATCACGAACAAAACAGACTGTATATTTCGAATAAAAAGTCTTTCATAATGTATGTAGCAAAATGAGTTCATCATGTAATGAAAAATAGATAATACAATTTAATTTACAAGTGACACACATCTGTCAAGTGGCATTTATATCTCCTCAGTCAAGACCTTTTTAATATCTTGAAATGTGAAGATATCTGCCTAGCCTTCCCAAAGAAATATGTTGCTAATGTTAAATGTTAAAGTTCAGAGAAAGATTTCACTTTCTCTTTGAATTTCCATCAATCAAACTCCAAGCTGCAGTTCTTATTCTTTACACGCCAATAACCCCAACAGTTAAAGGGGAATTGATTTTTTTTGCTTATTTTTGAAACTTAAAATAAAATTGCAATTTTTATATTGTGCAGGGATGATCTCTTAAGACTCTGCTTTTAAAACCGCCTGTGACCGGTGAGATAAATTATATGTTTTCTGTACTAGAAACTGTAGTGCATCCATTTTGGGATTCAAAGTTCTAACAAGACACCAACCATTTTGTACATTTTTCCCCTGCCTGAAACAGCTAACCAATGGAAACAGGCACAGGTAACTACTCAATTTAATAAACTAGTGACCATCACCTATAGCCTCTTTCTCCTCCACTTTCTTTTCTCTCTATACATTGGCTGCCGGGCGAAAACATTTTTATTTAAATGACAGAAAAGGGCAAAGCATATAGCAATTATTTTATTGGATCGAAGTTGCAGGAGCCCAGCTCATAATTTCAGTAAATGCAGAGAAGATTACATAAAACTATATTTTTCAGACCACACAAATATATTTGTTAAAAATAAGGGATTTCTTAACATAACACAACTAAAATATGGTTGGTATGGGATGGTTCCCTTTTAAGATCATGGTGGCTTATAGTATATTAATTAAATATGTTAATTTCAAACAAAATGTATACGTGTATGTAACTAGCCATTGTCTGATAAACATATCCTTTATATCCATTAACTAAGCATTGACTACAGAATTATAAAGAATACATTAGATAAGCTAAGTACATAGTACCTCATAATGACAACACTGTTATCTCTGTGGCAGACCCTTTACGAGCTGTGTCACACATCATGCCAAATAACACATAGCTAAGGTATAAACATAGTGTATAAAAATGTCAATAAAAACAAATCAAACAATGTCAATGTAAAAAAACAAAACATTTAGAACAGATACACAGATTAGATATTGGCCATACATAACCCTGCTCTTTAAAAAGCATAATGCATTTCATGACAAATAAGCTCAACGCAGTGGCACATAAATTTTTAATTTTAAAGCCCAAAATCCCACGATCCCTATCGGGTGGGAGTTTTCCGTTCTCTGCACTTTACAGTTGCTCTATCTTTTTTCAGTCGGTCTCTCTAATTTGTATGACAAAGCCTGCCCATTTGGACTTGAATTCCCATCTTTCTTGTCCCATCAGAGAAAGGAATCTATAAACAAGGCAAACACGGATGTTCCTACATATGCTTTGTATATTTGTTTTAAAGTGTTTGCTTGCTGGTTTAAAAATAATGTCAAGTGATGCATGTTTATTTAACTAATAATTCCATGTTAATATTTTACACCAATTAAAAAACAAATAATCACTAACTAAAGCACAACTACTTACTAGTTATTAGCATCATTAAAAGGACACTATAGTCGACCACCTCAGCTCATGGAAATGGTCTGGGTGCAGTGTCCCAGGTCCCTTAACCCAGCAGTGGTAATTAGTAAACTGCAATAATTACTTGCCAGGATTAACTGCCTACAAGGCAGCCACTAGAGGAACTTCTGGATTGTTAGGTGACATTTAGTCGCCTAACTGCTGCTGGACATCCTCACACTATGCATGAGGACATCCAGTGTCACCCAAAACCCTACAGGAAAGCATTATATAATGGTTTCCAATGGGGGGGAAATCCATAGGAGAGGAATGGAGACGGAGCCTGAACCAGCGCTGAGGGACATCGGCGCTGCAGTCAGGTTTTTGACAGAAGGGCTTTTAACCCCTTCTGCACCACAATTTTATTTTCCTTGCACTATAGTTTCCCTTTAATGCTCTAGGCTGTCTGTCACCTTCAGCCTATGATGTAGTTAAAAAGCCCACCAAGACGTACATTTTTTCTTGTTTGTAATCTCGTGATATCAGCCTCCTGATCTTAACCTCATGGGTTTAACAAAAGAATCATTGTCTAAGTATGACTTAAAGACAGTAACATAGACAATAAGAATGGTTGCATGATTCAGGCCAAAAATCATTAAATATTCTTGATCAGTTACTGTACGTACAGTCAAAATATACCAAACAATAGGATACTGACTAGTGAGGGCTACATTTTTATCAGAAGTAGGAGTATGACAAAGAAAGAAAATAGTCCACACCCAATAAAAAGATAGAAGTATATTGGAAAAAAAGAAAAGGGTATAGGGGCAGGAAAGATTGTGAGAGTATATATACTAAACAGCAAACTGAAGCAATAGTGGAAAGAGAAAAGTGAGTGCCCTAAAAATTTACTTTTAATAGTAATAATAAAATAGGTATTAAGTATCCTAAATAGGAATGATATTCATAAATATAGATATATATATAGATGTGCACAATCCATTACACCTAGGTTATGATCAAACACATAATCTATCATTAATTAATGATCTATTTATGATCAAGGATATAAACATTAGACCACTCTGGATTTACTGGTCAAGTTGTCAAATCGAGATAAAACACATTAGACCTCTATGAAGATAATGGTTAGATTTCCAGGGGGGAATAGATCACATTGGACCACTATAAAAATAATGGTCAAATTACCAGATAGGAATAGATCATACTAAAAATTTACATTAATAAATCAACCAAGGTATATACAGAGAAAATAAAGCAAAAAAAACATAATAATTTGCTAAGAGAATATAATCATAATGAGGTTCTGTTCAGAAGTTTTCAGAAATCTTCATCCAATAGTGTTTGCAAAGCCAAGTTTTGCAATTCACATGCACTGTGTGTATTGGGAACAGTGTATTGTGGCAGGTTTTTCATCTGGATACAAAGTAACCAATCTGCTGCATAACCCAAATCTCCAAATTAGGCTAAATCAATGATGTGCCTTGTACCATTTAAGATTGTTAATATGTATTAACTATGTACTGTATAGTCACAGCATTAGTCCAAATATATTAATCAAACTACAGGATATCAAGGCTTGTAACAGATATATAGATTTGAAACAAATTGTAATGATTAGCGTGCCAGGAGGTGGGAGGGTCTGGGAGGGAGGGTCTGTTGCTGATTGGCTGGAATGTGTCTGCTGACTGTGAGGTACAGGGTCAACGTTTATGATGAACCGTTCGGGACATCACTACTAGATAGCACTATTCAAATACCAGGTCAGTGCAAACTACTATGTGCTAACCTGTTTTTTAGCAGGAATATACAACAGACAAGAGGTCACAGATTAAAAAGCTGTTAACAGTAAGAACAATAAAGATGTGGAATTCTCTACCTAAAGATGTCTTATCAGATTCTATAGATAACTTTTAAAAATGTTTAGTTTCAAACCTGAATATTGAAGGATATAATTGATATGTATGAAAACAGGTTGTTGGTCCAAAAAGAGATCTGATTGCCGTTACGGAGTCAATAAGGAATTTTTCCCTTTTTGAGGCATAATTGGAAATGGCTACATTACTTGCTACATAACTACATACTTTATTGCCTTCTTTTTGACAGCATAAAAGAACGTCTTTCAAGGTCGAACCAAATTACTATGTAACAATCTAACTATGAAACTTTCAAATTCAACAGCAACAAAAAGCAAGACTTTTACCATTTATGTTGAGATAAGGGATTTATTTTATACACTATAAAGTGCAGAGCAGTAGTAATTCGCTATCTGCATGGTAAAATAAACCTAGGACCAGACTACAAAGGTAGATATTTAAGTAGTTTTTAATTTAAATGTACTTTATATGAATATATGTAGTTCTCAATGCTGTATACAATTAGTATTTGCTGAAGAAAAAAATAAACAATAAAAAGAGGTTTATGCAAATAGGTCCAAAGCAAGAACTAAAGAGATAAAAGTAATAAGAAACAAAAGTATATAATAGTTATTACAGCTTTTTTTTTATTACAATTGATTACAATTGGGACTCACAATTGTGGTGCATAAAGTGGATTCTAAAATATCGTTTTTGCAATTCATTTTTTTATATTATAACACTAGTTTATTTTTTGTCATATCCATTTTTCCACATGACTTATTTGGATTCTAAAAAAAGCACTCAGCAACTATTAGCAGTTGCTATGTATGTATAGAAACATGAATATGTATGTTCTTATAAATATTAATTATTAATCACTCAGAGACCCTTACAAAATAAACATTATTCTATCAGCACTTCAGTGCCTTGGTTCAATCATCAGTTACAAATATAAATAGATATCATTTTTCCCGTATAATACGTGCCCCATGAAATCTAGGGTATTCTGTACTGAATATATGCAAATGAATACAAGTGACAATGTTATACTTTATAGAAATTGAATTAACCTTAAAGGCAAGGCTCAGTGGTTGCACAAAATAAATCATTTTAATGTATACGCATAAATTTAAGGTTTTGAAAGGGTGCCTACACGTGTTCAAGGTTGAACCCATCCATGATAGACATTTTACAGTAAAATGTGAATTCAAAGAATATTGAATTGTAAGCCAAGTTATGTTTTAAGTCCAAATATATTGGCCTAAAATTTGAAATTTATTTTGAATTCACTTTGTGATGGGAATAATACACTTCCTGAGAATTCAAGCAAATTGTATTGAATACCCATGTTCCTCTGGGATGCAAATTCAAGGAATAGGGTACCTAGGCCAGGGATGTGGAGCTAACCCTGGTTTGACACATAGCATCCATGTGCACATGTATCAAGCTTATGCGAGAATGTCTCTGACCCATTGTTAAGAAAGGAAATGACTTTGTATTCTACATTCCTGTTTATGATGCTGTAAGAGCCATAAGTTAGCTAGGCTCATGATCTTCTTAAGTATTATGTAAACCAAATGTGCTCTATTGACTGCCATATTAGAATATGTGATGTGACGCCTGTAACGGTTGTTGTGGCGATGCAAACGGATGTGTTCATGTGCGCACAAATAAAATAAAGAATTTAAAAAAATAAAAAATTGTATTGAATACTTCTTTGAATGTACCTCACAAATTGATTCACTGATTCCATATATACTTTGTTGTTGTTACTGTTGCTGCCTCTTACTTTGGTTTTTAATACAATACAATCGGCATTCGGGTAAAATATTGTTTTTTTTAGAAAGGTTGTGTTGAGTAATAACGAAAATCTGATAATCTAATTCCTATGGCTGCATGGTAAATGTTCTGCCACAGCATATCATCAATAAAGGAGATTTAGTCCAATGGTTAACACAGGGTTCTGAATTCCTTATACAAATATAAATTCACTTCTAGAATATTACCTTACACAAACAGGGTACTATAACTTTTTTTTTTTTACTTTTTAAACAACTTGGAAAAAAAACACCAGGAATACTAGGTAACATAAAATGTGACGGCAGATAAGAGCCATTTGTCCCTGACCTTATCTTATAGCTAGGATAGCATTATGCCAATAGCACGCATGCTTAAAGGATCACTATAGTGTCGGTAAACAAAGCGGTTTTCCTGACACTACAGTGCCTTGAGGGTGCCCACACCCTCAGGGTCCCCCTCCCGTGGCGCTGAAGAGGTTAAAACCCCTTCAGCAGCTTACCTTAATCTGGCGCTGGTGACCTCTCCTCCCCCGCCAACGCCAGCTCCCCCGTCCGACATCACTGGAGCCGAATGCGCATGCGCGGCACGCATTCAAAGTGTCCATAGGAAAGCATTTCTCAATGCTTTCCTATGGACGCTCTGCGCGATGGAGGCATAATATGCCTCCAGCGTCTTAGATGTGCCTCTAGTGGCTGTCCAGAAGACAGCCACTAGAGGCTGGCTTAACCCCAAATGTAAACAGCAGTTTCTCTGAAACTGCTATGTTTGCATCTGAAGGGTTAAAACCTGAGGGACCTGGTACCCAGACCACTTCATTGAGCTGAAGATGGGTGACTATAGTGTCCCTTTAAACTCCTTCACTGTGTTAACCTCTACCACTTCAGCTGGAACTCTCTCAATAAAGTAATACTTCCTGATATTATTTTGAAACCCTTGCCCCTCTAATTTAAGACTATGTCCTCTTGTTGTGGTAGTTTCTCTTCTTTTAAATATAGTCTCCTCCTTTACTGTGTTGATTCCCTTTATGTATTTAAATGTTTCTATCATATCCCCCCTGTCTCGTCTTTCCTCCAAGCTATACATGTTAAGATCCTTTAACCTTTCCTGGTAAGTTTTATCCCGCAATCCATGAACCAGTTTAGTAGCCCTTCTCTGAACCTCTCTAAGGTATCAATATCCTTCTGAAGATACGGTCTCCAGTACTGCGTACAATACTCCAAGTGAGGTCTCACCAGTGTTCTGTACAATGGCATGATCACTTCCCTCTTTCTACTGCTAATACCTCTCCCTATACAACCAAGCATTCTGCTAGCATTTCCTGCTGCTCTATTACACTGTCTGCCTACTTTTAAGTCATCTGAAATTATTACTCCTAAATCTCTTTCCTCAGATGTTGAGGTTTGGACTCTATCAAATATTCTATATTCTACCCTTAGGCTTTTACATCCAAGATGCGTTATCTTCCACTTATCCACATTAAGATGAATACCAAGAGCAATCCTGTTATTTTCCCTTTTCACTAATACATTAAGTACAGAATAACAAACGTTACAGACTTAAGCTTACTTTTCTTAATAAATAGTGAAAGCTGTCTTAATATTGATATTGACTGTTGAATAATATTCCTTGCTAGCCAATTTCTCAGTTGTCTAGGAACAGCCAATCAGGTGCTGACAAGGAAAAAAGTGAACAACTTTAAATTAAAAGAACTAAGGTACATTTATAAATTGCTTTCACATCCTCCACACCTCACCCATGAATTAACTGCATGTGAAAATAATGGAACAATGCGATTGGCTTGATCAGCCCAACCAATTGCAATGCTCTTCAGTTTTGATGTGGAACGGTCACTTCCCATCACCAGAAACTAAAACTACTAAACCACTTACTGGAGTAAATAGTACTGCAGAGATCAGTAAAAAAACAAAAACAAACAATGTTCACCACAATTCTATGTCATGGGGAGCATCATTGCCCCATGTCCAATTGCCTTTGGGGCTCTCATTTTTGCAAAAGCATCTGCAAACAATGCCATACACGCTTATCGGACCATGTGTAAGGACCCTGGGTAGTAAATTAATTTACATGCTATGCTCTCACTGTGCCAGCATAGGATGGCATACAGGGAAATTTTAAAAAAATGAATGGTTCAGATTCTTCTTTTAAAAAAGCACAATTCGTAGATAATATTTTGTTAATTAATGGATTATGCAAAAATCTCAAACATGACTGCTCCATTTTAAAGTTGGGGTTTATTTCTGTTGCAAATGCATTTTCCTTCTGAAGGATGATGAGTGCTCGCACCCATAATGCAACACTTCCAACACACTGCTAACTCTCTAGCCTCTATTCTAGAATGACTTCTCTCTTTGCCTCTTTAAGGAGGAAAGTGATTGGTTGAAGGTTTGACTGCGGCAATGCCTGAGACTCCTCTTTGGCGTGTGAAGCTGGAGTGCTGTAATGTGCACCTTTTCACCTATCCATGAATTTGCAGGTGTTATCTTACTTCTTCTGACACTTTAATCTATCAGCATGTTTTCTTAATATCATTGTTTTTCATGCAAGTCCCTTTTATTGCTACTTCATAAGGATCATTCCTGAGGACCAAATATTCGTTTTTGCCAAAGGGGGTTTCCTCCACTAATATTAAAAAGGATTATTGTTCTCTGATTTTGTCCTTAACCTGTGAATGAAAAGGGCAGATTGTTCCGTAATTTGGGTGTTGTTTGTGCTTTCAAATATTATGTTGAGGTCAATAGTCCCTTCAGGAAGTGTTCTTCCTTGTTTGCTCAGTTTGGTTGGACATTACTCTCACCAACTACTTCAAATCCATGCCGTAAGGTATATGGCCTGGATAATAAACAATGTCACCTTGCATTGTGCTAGTCAGTTATGAGGTCAGTGCAACTTGACCTTACGTGGACAGACCCTTAGGTCTCTAGAGGACCCTCTTTCTCAGTGGCAGTGAGATACTAGGTGGCTCAGCTGTTGATAACAGCAGATCTACTGTATGTATCCTTTTGGCAATATATGAATCAAATGTTAGCACTTCAAAAACTCTTTAAAAGAGAAGTATAGTCAATGGAAACTACCTGCAATGACTGTTAAGCACCAGAAGTAAAAAACGTTTACGTGCCATACGATCTCCCTTTGGATTGTCTAGTTTCAGCATTGCCCTTTTCACCTACTGTTCCCATATGCCGTACATGTTTCCTCTAGACTGTAAGTTCGTTTGAGCACGGCCCTCATCTACCTGTTGTTCCTGTGTCACTGTGTAACTGTCTCATTTATTGTAAATTCCCCTCCCCCCCTTTCATAATATTGTAAAGCGCTGCGGAATTAGTTGGCACTATATAAATACCAATAATAATAATGTTTTGTTACAATTATAGGTTTGTCTTGCTTCCTATTGTACAGCACACAAGAATATCTTGACGCAATATAAATAATTGTAAATGCATGCGTTTTTTTTTTCACTTGCAAGGACAATTTTGTGTAAGATCAGGGGTTAAAAACAGCTCTTTCCTTCTCCTGTTAATCAGTTCAGTGTGTAAAGATCCTGTGCCGATTGGCACAGAAAAAAAATGCATTGCTCTGCTTGTCTGTTATCAGGGAAACCCTAATACTCTGAATGTCTCTCCTGTTTGAATTCATCGTAAGAGAAAGCAAAGCCTTTAAGGTGATGTATAGAGAATGAGTAGACTCGGTGTAAGAGCAGCAGTATGGAAAAAGGAGTGAAACACACCGAATAATTTTAATAGTATTAAGGGAATAAACACTTAATTCTTTACCCTGAATCAACCAGATAGTTAGAAAACTGCAGATCTATATCTGTCATGACAGGGTCATTTTCCATTTTCCATATAGAAAGTTTAAAAATAGATATTCTAATATAAAAGAAGAGTGACTGATTGATAAAGAAAAAACATTAAAATATTTTCAATGGCAAGATGGAAAAATACAAAGAGAAGAAAGGTTAGGGAGAGAGGGTTCAAAAAGAGGTGAAATACTGCAGGGAAAGAAGTAGCAATTTAGGAAGGATGAGAAAAGAAGAGGAGATTAATGGCGAAACAAAAGTGTGGCAGGAAAAGGCCAAGGATGAGAGACAACTGCTGCACATAAAAAGATGTGGCAAACGTCCTGCCATCAATGGACTTTTTTAAACAGCATTTATTAGCATTTATTATGATGCCATGCACATAGTCAGGTCTTCATATTATCTGCTTCTAAAGATAGTTTATACTGTGTTTATACTGCATTCCTGAACATATCTACTGCACTGACCATGGAAGTGTTTCTGGGGAGTTTAAAAAGACTTACGATGTCTGCCACCACACTCATCTCCCTTTAAAAGATCCATTCTCTACACAGAGTATGTCAAAGCTTTAGCAAGGCTAACGTCTATACGTTTTCACTATTTAAACCTTAAACGGTTTTGTACAGGTTTAATTATTGTTTCCCTTTAATCACATAGATTATGTTACATTTTCCTTGCTCCATTGAACAGCATTTTTGCCTAATAAGGATCATGCAATCATTAATCTGTTACCAGAGCAATAGTTGCATGTATAATTACTTTGCAATGAAAGAGAAATTGCCATGCTATGCTTATAATAGTTACAAGGATATCCAGGTTGTACATGAAAAGATCTGTGTTTTCCTAATCTGTGGTAAACTGCGTGGTTATATCCTGCTTGTGTGGCCTTCGAACCCAAACCATTTATAAATATTGCCACATGAAGATACATACTTCAGCAAAGGAAGCAGAATACTGCTGTCTGCCGATTCCACGCTTTAACAAAGCAGTATAATCAGCTGGCTACAACGAAGAGGGGTTTTACATTCAGAAACTGACACAAACATGCAGGTAAGGATGTAAGTAATGAGGAAAAGGTACCATTTAATGAGGCACTAGTGTTTGCCTGGGCTAGTGTCTATGTCAACTATTATGACAAAAGATTACACCTCCCAACATTTCATACTGACACATGGAGTAGTTATAATATAGGGCAAGATTGGTGATGCCTTGGGCTGTCTAAAGTCATGGGAGTTGTAATTCTCTGGGGAGTTAATTTTTCAACACCCTTTTACATACCTCACAATATTCCGAATGGACAAAGTGGGAGGTTTTCATTTTAGGGGTGTGAAGGTGAGGTGGTGAGATATCCTAGGTTACTTACAAATGTAAGCAATTTATTAAACTAAAATGTAGTTTAGAACAAGAACGATGTATCTTATTTACAGAGACGGTGAATACACTTATTGTAGTTTAAAGACATATGACTGTATTATTGCTGTGAAAGCTCTGTTATACACTCAGAAACACCAACAAAATGGAGCTCATAGAATATAAGGACATTACCATAGAAAAGAGGGATGTGGGCTGAAAAAGAGGACTGTCCCTCCTAAATAGGGAGAGTTGGGAGGTATGCTTTTATAGGAGGTGTAACTAAAGGAGATGCAGTACTGCAAATTGCTATTTGACTTTATTAACAAAAGTCAAATGTACGATTAAAGGACCACTATAGTGCCAGGAAAACAAACTTGTTTTTCTGGCACTATAGTGCCCTGAGGGTGCCCCCACCCTGAAGGTCCCACTCCTGCCGGGCTGAAGGGGGAGGAAAGGGGTCAAACACTCACCTTTCTCCAGCGCTGGGCTCCCTCGGCGCTGGGGACTCTCCTCCTCCTTCGGTCGTCATCGGCTGAATGCGCATGCGCGTCTCACTATGAAAATCACAGTGAGAAGCGCGGAAGCGCCTCGAAAGGCTGTCAATGAGACAGCCACTAGAGGCTGGATTAACCCTAATGTAAACATAGCAGGCAGGGTTAATCCTAGAGGGACCTGGCACCCAGACCACTCCATTGAGCTGAAGTTGTCTGGGTGCCTATAGTGGTCCTTTAAAGGTACACTATAACAGTCCCCAGGTGGTGCCTGGTGAAAATCTGTGAAACTGTCTGTAAACGGTATGACACCTACATTTCCGTGTTGGTGCTCTTGGTCCTCCTATTCTTAGTTGATTAGATATAGTGTAAGTTTATACTTCTATATTATTATACCAGTAAGCTGACACGCTCACCCAATAGATACTGCCTAAACTTGGTATGACAGTGTGGGCACCAAAACACAGCAAGGTATGTATTAACCATATTATAGTGGTTATGGTACCTAGAGTGTCTCTTTAAAGCAAACACACATTTATTCCAGCTCAGAAACAAGTTACTATGAAGAGAGAATGGCATAGTTCAAATAACACCAGATACGCAAACAAGCTGTACATGTAAGCATCAGAAGCACAATGCTAAAAAATATTCAGAAAATTAACTTAGTGATATGCAGCTCTGCTATGAAAAGTAGTAAATGGCAGATAACATAAACAAGAGCATATATATATATATACATATATATATATACACATACAAGCGAAATTCGATCAAGATATTATTGGGAAAAATCCCTATGACTAGATGTGCAATGCTTTAAAGTTAATGTCTCATGATGCTCAGCAGTCAGAGCTCTTCTATCAATCACACTAAAACCAGTAGCAACTGATCCAACATGGCTGTTCGGCCAAATAAAAAGTGAAATTTTCTAGAAAATAAAATTTAAAAATGCATAAAATTTAAGAAAATTATTAAAGGGACACTATAGGCACCAAAACAACTTTAGATTAGTGAGGCAGTTTTTATGTATAGATCATGCCCCTGCGGTCTCATTGTTCTCTTCCATTTTGGAGTTAAATCACTTTTGTTTCTGTTTATACAGCCGTAGGCACACCTCCCCTGACTGTGACTGACACAGCCTATTTGAAAAAAAAGGTTTCATTTTTTGAGACATTAACTTTCTTTAGAAGTTTATATCTCCTGCTATGTAAATTGAACTTTAATCTCACACAGGAGATTCCCACAGGGTCTAAGAGGCAATTAACAGAGCAGATAATAAGCAAATCTAAATTAAACAAAGTATGCAACAAAATAAGTTTAAACATTAGATCTCTCTTTACAGGAAGTATTTAGGAAGGCTGTGTGAGTATTGAGCAGGGAGGCTTGACTAGGGCTGCATAAACAAAGTGATTTACCACCTAAATGGCAGAGAATTGAGAAATGAGGCTGCAGGGGCATGATTTATACACCAAAAGCTAGAGTTGGTTTGGTGTCTATAGTTTCCCTTTAAGTTTAATTAAAGTAAAAAACTTTTTTTTCTTAAAAAACCATGAAATGATAATGTGATGGCAGTTGTACTTTAAGTCTTTAAAGGATAAGCATCATGCAAAAAATACTTCAGAAACATCCAGCGTGCCAAAAGAGAAAGTAACGTTTCAAAGCTGGCTGACTCACTCTCTAACGAGGTATTCCTTAAGAATAAAATATAGGCATAATATATTGAACTTGTTTTTAGCTGTCTGTCTTTTTTCCATTTTTGCTGCTTATAATAGTAGATCATTTAAGTTATACACCAATATACGCCAGTGCTGTATTAATAGTGATAGTTCTAGTAATCAGCTAAAGTGATACATATCTGGTACCTAGGAGATAATAGCCCAGTCTAAGCATGATCCTGCTTTGTACCTATAAGCAGTGGATTCACGATAGCATTATTATTCTAGAAAGTGTTCTGTTTGAGGACCTATAGTATGTTACTCTGGCTCATTAGAGAATCGGTTAAACTGCTTTCCCTGACAAAATCTCCCAATTATAATGTCAAAATGACTAATACTCATCACACTACCTTTGTGTTTTTATATGTTCGTATTTTGCTAAGCTTTAAAAAATGAATGAACACCACACTAGTGAATTGTACTTTTTGTTTTTTATCGGGACTGACAGAAATTATTTTACAGGCAGGCCTTCGAGAGTGCTACATGACCTGAGGATGAGAGCATTGACTGTCTGTAAAATATAACCTGTCAGTCCCAATAAAAACATATCAGCAGCTATTGAAGTGCTCATTCATTTTGCACAATTTCAGCTGAATTGACAAAGCTCGAGATCTTATTTTCCAAGACTTCACAGACTGACTTTACAAAACGCAGGAAGTCATACCTAACCAGCTTTTAATGCCACGTAACTGACATTTTTTTTTCTCTTTTTATACAGTCCTGGTACTCTATCATTTGAGCTAGCAAGCACTATCCTGCATTGAAGTCTTAATATCAGGGATGATTTTAATGATCGAAGACAAACTATTTGTCTCTAGCTATATAAGGTGTGGGGATATAGCTTTTAAACTTTTTAAAACAGCTTTATTTTCAAAGTTCCAGTTGGGCTATTTAACAGAACATTCTAAGCACGCTAACCACTACCCATTTTCCATTGTAGTGTTAATGGTGCAAAAAGATTTTGGTTGATATAAACCAATTTTTTGTTTAACCAGTTTTGAATGGCTTGACAAATAAAGACCTTTCTCAGCATCTGTAGCCTGGCCACAGTACTGTAGCAGATAATACAGTAATGTCACATCCACGCTACCCATCAAAAGCTGCCCAACCTTTCATGCCAATGTGGTCACTGCATGTCATGCCCTGTCCAATGTCATTTCTTCCCTTTCCATGGTCCAATCAAATTCCAGAAGCATTTGATTGACTGTGCTCCCCAGCTCAGAGCTCATATGCGCGCTTCGATCCTGGGGCGAGTGGAGATTGGGCAAGGGAGGATGGGAGAGAATTAGAAAAATAGAAAATGGACGCACAATAAAGAATATGGGGAGGCGGGGATGGTGTGGAAGGCTGCCAGAAGGCAGGAGGGAGGGAAGACAGAAGCTTCCCTTTGCAGAAATCTTGGTATACCTACTACTATGACACCTTCTAAAAGCAGAAGTGGTCATGGTTGGAGCAACCCTTTAATGTATGGTGTAAAAATGGATTTTGTATTTCTGTGCAAATTTTCGAACCTGTAATTCTCACCCTCATAAAGATTTTTTTTTATTTTTGTAATTCTTTTTGAATGAATTAAAGCAAAAATAAAATTCTGCATAATTGTTTATTTTCGGTATCTCTGAGCAGCAATCGATACAAAACAAAGTGCAGTCTAGTACTAATGTCATGTGACTGCTACGCATTGTTGCATTCTGAATAAATGTCATAATTAGTTAGTAGTACTGGAGTTAAACAGTTAATTTCACTAACAATTATGCATTGCTGAATTTACTATATGGCTCATTGAAAAAGTGTGGTTTTCAAATGTATTTTAATGAATGATTTTAATATAAATGTAGCACTCAACCTTAAATCACTAGTACAGATTTAACACCCCCTCATCATCTCTCTCAAACCATCTCATGTCTGAAAGTGGACAGGCTAATGGAGAACTTTAACTGAGCTGCAAAAGAGGGACCAGGCTGTAGGCACCAGGTAAGCCCTGAATTTTGTCATAGCAATTGAAAACTGTCTGACATAAATAAGCGGGATGACTCCCACGGACATTTTACACCAATGATCCTACAATGATCTGTAGTGGTTAGGGTGCTTAGACACATCATCCATGAGACACATCATCCATACTCTATTTGAGCATCTCCCTTTAACTGTTCATATATTGTTTGACAAATGTTTGCACATTAGTAATTGTATTAATCAATTAAGCTGAGCAGGTGCTATGTCAAGAGAATACAGATGCATTTTATTTATGTATTTCCAGTTTGCCCTTTAATAAACAGAATCTGATAGTTCCATGAGGACTCACATTACATACGCCATAATTTCTGTTATTAATTGTGTTATTCCTGACTGTAATTCCTTAAATTATAAGAGAAGTGAGGCATAAATAAATAAAGGACAGAACATGCTTTGTACATTTGTACATCAGGCTGAAAGCTCACAGCAGTATCAAACCACAAAACTTGACATGCCTTTACCTTGAAGGGATTCTATAGTGTTAGGAATACATCTCTGTATTCACAACACTATAGAGCCCTCTGGTCTCGATTCCAGAGCTGATGTCTCTCGGCACTAGGTCGGCGCTCCGTCTTCTCCGATGGGGTGGGGCTAATGTGCGTGCGCAGCCAGCGCTGCAAGCGCATTAGACCCCCTGCCCTCCCCCCATAGGAAAGCATTCATTGTTTCAATACTTTCCTATGGGGATTTTACTCATGCTGGATGTCTTCATACAGAGCATCCAGAGGACATCCAACATCATTTGGACTATAGAGCCCTCTGGTCTCCATTTCAGAGCTGATGTCTCTTGGCACTAGGTCGGCGCTCCGTCTTCTCCGATGGGGTGGGGCTAATGTGCGTGCGCGGCCAGCGCAGCAAGCGCATTAAACCCCCTGCCCTCCCCCCATAGGAAAGCATTCATTGTTTCAATACTTTCCTATGGGGATTTTACTCATGCTGGATGTCTTCATACAGAGCATCCAGAGGACATCCAGCATCATTTGGACTACCTAGAGTCTGTTAGCAGTCAGAGAAAGTGGCTATCTGATTGGCAGCCACTAGCGGCAGTCTTAGTCCTGCAATGTAATTATTGCATATTTTAGAAAACTGCTATGATTTACATTACAGGACTAAGTGGGACAGGGACACCGCAACCAGAACACTTCAATGAGACTATAGTATCACTTTTAAGTTGCACCATCACTTCTCTTAAAGAGGACAGTACCTATCTCTTCACCCTATTGAAGCATTACTGAATCACTCACATGGGTAAGCAGTTCAATGGAGAAAAGTAAAAAGTATGTCAATGTAATGTCCTGCTTTTTTATGAGCAGGTCTAAAAATTTGCCTTCCTGTCCAAAACAATAGGTCTTTCCATAACACTGTAGGCTACCAACCCACAATGCAGAAAACACAATAAAAGGCCTGCAAATGACGAAGCTCGACTCCCTACCTTTCCACAGCTTGAGAAATGCACCATACAGTCTTAAAACAACTGCAAACAATTTCCAGAATGGCTCCAAAACTCGATGCAAAAGCCGCTCCAACACCTCCACACTCGACGCCACATGCTACCCACAGGCTCCAGCATGCAGGGGGCAGTGCTATAAACCTCCCAGGTGCAATGCATCCTGGGGAAACTTGCTTTGTATTGCGAAAAAAAATTGTAAACCGAGGCATTATTTTCAATGGATTTTCATTTGTAAACCGAAAATTATGTTAACCAAGGCGTTTGTAAACCCAGGTCCCACTGTATTTACATTATTTATTTATTTTCTTACTTAATGTTTATTGAGTTTTCCATATGGAAATACTTGAGGGAATGCACAAAGAAGAAGGCTATCTAAATAAAACCATGGGAGGGTTGGTTACGTTACAGTGGGTTATAATGTTTATTATTTTTTATTATTATTTCTTAGTAAACCGTGCAGGTTACTTATCAAAATAATTTTAAGAAATATAGATTTTGTTTAGAAGTTAAAAAAAAAAAAAAAGTTCAAAGTGCAAACATCACCAAGCTTCTACAAGCAAACTTCCAGTGCATCCTCTATTATTGCCATGTACTAAGGATAAAGGTCAGAATTTGATATTAAGGTTATATTATCTAGTACAGGGATAGGCAACCTTTTAGCAGTACTGTGCCAAAATAAGATTGTCAAGTGCTGTAGCACGCCGGTCCTAGTTTTTTACATTGAGGTGTGTATGTTGCCGTATTCTGCTTGGTTTATTTATACTGCAGTTGTTTGTATCGTATTTGTGTGTATATGAGCTGTTATAGTGTATATGTTCATGAGTAGCTTGTGGTATTGTGTATGATACCTATGAATGTCGGCTGTGTATGGGGGCTGCTTGTGGAATTGTGTTTGTGGATGATATATCACATTGTGTGTTTGGTGGGTTGTGTATGTGTAGGGATGCTTGGGGTATTGCATGTGAATGGCTGCTTGTGGGGTTGTGTGCGTGTATTTTGTTTGTTAGTGGTGTTTTATTTGTGTGGACTGTGTGTGTGTTTGTGTGTGAGCTGTTTGTATTATTAGTATGAGAGGATGTGGATGTCTTCCCTGGGGTCCAGTGGGGACCGTGCTGGCCAGGTACAGGTCAAGGACAGGAACTGTGATAGCTGCTGCAGGCTGCTCTACTCCAGTGCGGATTCCCATATACAAGTGCTGGGAGGAAGTGGTCTGAGATCACTTCCTTTACGTGCTGCAATGCATAAAATGAGGATTGTGATTCACCACCTTTTCACATTAGCAGATATCTGAAGTTCCACTGGGACTCCTGATAGGCCATAGAGGCCTGTTTAGCTCTAACAGCCTTGAGTGCCATGCAAAGATACCTCGAGTGCCATGCATGGCACACGCACCATAGGTTGCCTACCCCTGATCTAGTAAGTGTCCCAGAAATGGCCCCTGTCCGACTTTTCAGGGAAACCAAGGAAATCCCATAGAACCATGGTGCAAGTGTCTCCTTGAGCTCGTGTTGGGGCATAAAAGAATACTGTACATACAAGTTCTTCTGTCGTTTTCTATGCAAGCATGATTACTGGATTTAAGTGCAACTTGCATTTTAGTACTGCACGCATTTGCTTTGAGTGAACATGCTTTATTTGCCTGTAATGTCCCCCATATTTCAGTGAAATGTGACTGAAAGTCCCTTCATGACTTAATGCATCACTGTCATACTTCCTGCCATACCAGACTGTGGTCATAGTCCCTTCCATACTAGACTGCGGTGATAGTCCCTTTCATACCAGACTGTAGACAAGATCCCTGCCATACCAGACTGCGGTCATAGTCCCTTCCATACCAAACTGTGGTCGTACTCCTTTCCATACCAGACTGTGGTCATGCTTCCTGCCATACCAGACTGTGGTCATAGTCCCTTTTGTACCAGACTGCAGACAAGCTCCCTGCCATACCAGACTGCGGTCATAGTCCCTTCCATACCAGACTGTGGTCATGCTTCCTGCCATACCAGATTGCGGTCATACTTCCTGCCATACTAGACACCGGTCATACTCTCTGCCATACCAGACTGCAGCCATAGTTCCTTCCATACCAGACTGCGGACAACCTCGTTGCCATACCAGACTGAGGTCATACTCACTGCTATACCTGACTGCGGTAATTCTCCCTGCCATACCTGACTGCGGTCATAGTTCCTTCCATACCAGACTGCGGTCATAGTCCGGTCATACTCACTGCCATACCAGACTGTGGTCATATTCACTGCTGTACCAGACTGCGGTCATACTCCTTGCCATACCAGACTGCGGTCATACTCCCTGCCATGCCAGATTACTGTCATACTCCCTGTTGTACCAGAATGGATTTTTTAAATTTAATTTTTACTACTCTTCACATGTTCTTGTTTTGTGTAAACATAATTAAGCATGGGAACTTAGAAGGGATGTAGGGTAACAAAACTTGTGTTAACTGGCTGATTATAAATTAGCTACGGTAAAACTGACTTTGCACACTGTGCAAATGCTCTTGCTGCTCTAACAGTGTGGCATGTCCCCTTAATTCTACATTTACTATATCCACCTTTTCATTATCCCAGACTGCATGCCAGAAGCTTATGCCTGCTGGTAAGAAGGGAAGGAAAGGAGTTGACAGGTGACTGTCTGGGGACATCAGAGAACTGTCCTCAGAAAGTGTAGAGCAAGCGCATCATTAGACTAATTTGTACCAATCTAAAGGTGTATGGGTTCTCTTAGTCGCTTGCCATACCAGATTGCTGTCATACCCTGCCATACCAGATTGCTGTGGGCAGTCAGTTTCACATATCAAACCTAGTAATGAGCAAAAAAATAAAATAAAAAATAAAATAAACTTTTGACTACCTAAAAGTTAATGTTTAAGTCACTGGAACTAATACAGGTTTAGTCATGACTTGCATCACTTATTGGTAAATTGTTTCCCAAAAACAGGTTAGCACCTTTTTGCCTTCTGTAATTTTCCCTACAAATCACCTACAACTGGCCCATCAGCTGAATTTTTAGATGAATACAGAAAACAATTGCACTTGATTGCACAAGTAAAAATATGAATAATTTTAAAACATATGCATCATTTAAAAAAAAAAAATTCAGGAACAAAAAGAGAAACGCAGTTATTTTGATCTAAAATTTGAAACCTAATTCAGAACCCACAGCAAGTCACCCCTAGCATCGAAGAAGAATCTTCATGGTCTAAATTACTGTGTGTTTTGTTTATTCTCCTGAATTCACAATTTCACTGCAAAAAACACTAAACAACAATTTAATTCACAACAAATCAGCATTATACAGTATACCAGGGGTAGGCAACCATTTAGTAGTATTATGCGAAAGCAAGATTTTGAAGTTTCTTGGCGTGTTGATCATATTTTTTAAATGTTTGTATGTTGTAGAGTTGTATTTGTGCGTATATGGTCTGTTATATTTTATATATATGTTCATGAGTAGTATTGTGTATGATACCTTTGAATGTGGGCTGTGTATGGAGGCTGCTTGTGGAATTTTGTATACGAATGATATGTCACATTGCATGTTTGTTGGTGTGTGTATTTGTGGGGTGGCTTCCAGTATTGCATGTGAGAGGCTGCTTGTGGGGTTGTGTGTGTATGTGGATTGTCAATGTTGTTGTATTTATGGGGGCTATTTGTGTGTGGGTTGCTTGTATGTATGAGGGGAATTATTTGTATGAGGGGTGGTTTCTTCTCCAGCTCTGTGTATATCTAGCAGTGTGGGTTGCTTCAGTTTGGTCCAGTAGGAACCGGGCTGGCCAAGTACAGGTCAAGGGCAGGAGGTGCGATAGCTTTTGCAGGCTGCTCTACTCCACGGTGGATTCCTGTTTACAAGTATGGGGAGGAAGTTATCTGAGATCACTTCCTCTAAGTACTGGAATGCGTAAATTGACGATTATTCTCACCAACTGCAACCACCGCTCAGTTTGCAATAGAAGATATCGGAAGTTCCTGTTTGTCTCTGGGAGCCTTGAGTGCCGTGCATGGTACACATGCCATAGGTTGCTGACCCCTGCACTATAGCATGATTTGTCCAGAATTTCAATATGACTTTCTAATTTTAATACAAAGTTGTCAATCTGGAATAAAATCTACAAGTCAGTTATGTTTTCGCTGTGTGTATTATGGCCTATAATAAAATGTAATGGATTTTACATTGAATTCCTGACTATTCACACATAAAGAAATATTTTGGTGTAAAGTTTGCAAATAAGTTGTCAACTCGAATCAACTACCTGTTTATTGAATAGATAGATCACATATTTGCCCCATTCCATTTTAATCATGGATTCCTTTGAGTCTGTGTTTGCGGTGTACAACAGCTTTGAAACACAATTTAGGAAAAGATGCAAAGCCAGTGAACCACTCATGGACATCTGTTTCATTGTTAATGCAAATCATCAGCATGAGGTCAGTTACTGGCTTGCTATTGAGACTTGCAAAGAAAAAAACTAAGAAAGAGTAGAATCATTCCCGTCAGGGTTTTTGTAGTAAAACTGTCCTTTCAGAGAAAATGCAGTGTTTACGTTACAGCCTAGGTTTAACTCTACTGGCCACCCCTCAGATGGCTGCTAGAGGTGCTTCCCGGGGCAGTACTGCACAGTGAGCAGCATTGACATTCAGTGTCTCCACTCTCTGCATGCAGACACTGAACTTTCCTCATAGATATGCATTGATTCAATGCATTTCTATCAGTAGATGCTGACTGGCCAGGGCTGTGTTTGACTAGTGCTGGCTCTGCCCCTGACCTGCCTCCTTGACAGTCTCAGACAATCATATGTGAAAGCATTGTAATTGACTCAGAACAACTATCCTGAAACCAGCCTAGTCATTACCTAGCGAGGTAAATATCCAGACACCGGATTAGTCATTACCTAGCGAGGTAAATATCCAGACACTGACAGCTGGCCTAGTCATCACCTAGCTAGGTAAATATCCAGACACTGGCATAGTTATTGCCTAGCAAGGTGAATATCCAGACACCGGCCTAGTCATTACCTAGCAAGGTGAATATCCAGACACGGGCCTAGTCATTACCTAGCGAGGTAAATATCCAGACACGGCCTAGTCATTACCTACCAAGGTGAATATCCAGACACGGGCCTAGTCATTACCTAGCAAGGTGAATATCCAGACACCGGCCTAGTCATTACCTAGCAAGGTGAAGATCCAGACACGGGCCTACTCATTACCTAGTGGGATAAATATCCAGACACCGGCCTAGTCATTACCTAGCAAGGTGAATATCCAGACACCGGCCTAGTCATTACCTAGCGAGATAAATATCCAGACACCAGCCTAGTCATTACCTACTAAGGTGAATATCCAGACACCGGCCTAGTCATTACCTAGCGAGATAAATATCAAGACACCGGCCTAGTCATTACCTAGCGAGGTAAATATCCAGACACGGGCCTAGTCATTACCTAGCAAGGTGAATATCTAGACACCGGCCTAGTCATTACCTAGCGAGATAAATATCCAGACACAGGCCTAGTCATTACCTAGCAAGGTGAATATCCAGACACCGGCCTAGTCATGGTCTAGCTAAGTAAATATCCATGCACTGACCTAGTCATTACCTACCAAAGCAAATATTCATGCACCTGCGTAGACATGCCCTAGCAAAGCAAGTATCCAGTTAACAACCTCACAATTACCAAAAAAAGCAAGTATCAAGCACTACTTGGTTATTACCTTCCAAAGTTTATATGCATGCACCAGCCTATTCCCTACTCAGCAACAAAAAGACAAATATCCACGTACTGGACTATTCATAAGCTAGCAATGTAAAACTTCATGAATCAGCTTCGTAGATACCTGCCACCACGAATACACAAATACCCATGCACCAGCCTAGGCAGTGCCTAGCAACAGAAAACTCCATACATTGCCTAGTCATTACCAAGCAATTCAAAACATCCATGTACCAGCCTAATCCCAGTGGATGAAATAGTCCTGTTATAGAATAAACCAACATCAGGAACGCTTACTAATGCTCTCTTGTGAATATTATGTTTCAGATTATATGCACATCTGTATTATCATGAGCAATGATCATATGACTTATCTCATGCAGCTGGATGTAACTATATTACCTAGCCGCTGCCTGCATTGTGGGGTGTCCAAGTTGAACAATCACGTTGTCGCTGTATTTTTCTAATGAAGGAGACCTGAGAGATTTCTAATTTTATTTTGATGGTCCATTACCATATATCACTGCCTGAATATTCTACACGCTGCCCGTGGGTGTGCTATAAGTTCTTCCGCAGCATATAAAGAGAACAGTAAAGGGAAATTGCAGAATCAAAAGGAGACTGGGTTTGAGACTTAAATTATTTTATCTGTCTCTCAATAAAAACCTGCAGATAAAATTCACCTTGATTATCTGTGACAGTTCGTTACTGTTATATAATTTCCTGATCCGTCTTGGCAATCTTTAAAGGAACACTACTGTGTCAGGAAAACAAATATTTATATAGTCAGGAGGTGGCTCTTTAGGTGACTGTCCCCCTCCGATCTCTGTCAAAAGGTGTATTTACTTACCTTTTGTCCCACACTACACTGCTCTTGCTATGGCTGCCCACCCCGGCTCACTCCCCATGGCTAAGATACTGTCCGACTTAGCCATGGAGGCTGAGCTGGATGGGGGAAGCCAGGACATAACAGTGAATGAGATGCAGTTATGTAAATGCTATTCTCGTAAGCACATTTTAGGCCAATTTAAAAACGTTCTGCAACTTAGCTATTTTTTCAGTTTGGCTATTTAGGCATATAGGGGATCTCCTACAGGATCTGAGTATGTGATGTCTGGTGCAATTAATTTATTACAGTCACAAGTATCTTCTGGGGCTCATACAAATATAAATCCAATTAAGTGGAACTGTAATTTTTTTCTTGCCAATTGAAGTGCCACATCTCAATATCCTGGCTCTGCCATTTTGTTCTCCTCTGCCCTTTTGTGGGTTTCTTTTGACTGATGGGTTGTGGGTAAATTACCTTGAAACCAGAACCTTGCCAAAGATTTCTCTCTACATAAGAAAAGGTGCTGTGGGTGAAGGAAGCAGTGATTTAGCTATTGCATTATTACAATTTTGGTATGCACTTTTACTTTGAATAAAGCGATGGAGAATCTCATTTAGCTTTGCCTTGGAGTCCTCTGACTATGCTACTTTATATTTATTCTTTGTAAGAAAATAAAAATACCCCAAAAGAAATAAGTTATAAAAAAAAAAAAACATGCACATTGACATTTCAGCTTTAAAAAAAACAATCAGGAATGAGCTCTGTATGGCATCAGGGAATCAGTATCATAATCTCAGGCAAATACTATGCAGATCTTATGCAGATCGTTATTATTTAAAGCGATACATTCATAACTAATTATAAGGCAACAATAAAATAAATGTAAATGTCACAATAATAAGAGTTACTGTTGAAACAGCTGTTTGTTAATGACCATAAATGTATCCTGTCAAATCAGGGCACAAGGGTACCTTGTAAATTCTCCTTCAAACCAATTTAGCGAACAAACACCTGAGTTATCAAAAATGACTACACTTAAGGGGGTGGTGCACACTAAACAGGAAGGGAATTCCTGCAATAATTACAAATGTTTACACCTATGTATCCAAGCTAATTACTATTTGAGGAAATTAATAATTCAGAATGTTCTTTAATTAATGTAGGTGGTGTACTTGAGCTATGGTAGTATATGCCTTTAATTTCTGCTGATTTTAGACAAAAACCAAGCATTATAGAAGATAAAATCCACAGCTGAGGTGGTGTGGCCACTTCATCTGGCAATAAACTATATTGATTTCTGCTAATTCCAGATATGCTGTAGCTATTGTTTTAATGATAGAAGCAGTGAGCTATATAGATAGCTGATCCAGAGAAATGTGATAAAGGTCAGGGCAAGGCAAAACAGTATTTTATGTTTCCGAATTGAAATTTAATATAGAGAAACTATGCAGAATCATGTACTTTTTGTACACAGTGTTGTATTGTATCAAATTTTAAACTGCTACAACTGTCATGTGTTTTACAGCAGTGATAACAAAAAATGCAACATATTATCTGCTATTACAAAACAGAAACGTATTAAATTTCCAAACAGATCACTCTTGAACTTAAAAGTATTTAAACATAAAAAAGCACCATGCAGTCTAAAAGCAGGTTGTGTGAAAGGTGTAATAGGCCCTGATAGCAGATTTTTAGACATAACTGGGTCTAAACTGAAGAGCTGACAACGAGTTTGCAAATCTTAGCCAAAAATAGTAAATTGGCCAATAGGCGAGTTGGAAAAGTTTTCACCAAGTCGTGATTTGTAGGCTGCGTATTACCACATGCTGGGTCAGTTGCAGGCAACCTTTAGCACTCCACATGTCCTGGACTACATCTCCAGTATTATGGCTGAAAGAGCACTATTGGACATCTGCTGAAGGTTGTGCTAGGTATTTGTGAATGTGTATAACATATACCCTGCTGTCAATGGATTTCACAAACTGTCACTTGGTACCAGCTTCTCAAATCTGGGTACTTTAAATGAATAACTATAAGGCAGGGGGGATTACAACAGGGCATGGCCAGATGTTAGTTAAATCTGCACTTAAGAAAAGGCAAGAAGACTCCAGCAAACATACAGCTGACACTGTGTTGCTCACACACAAGCAACGCCACATATTAACCTCTTCTCTGCCAAGGCAAACTATGTCTGGGTTAAACAGGTCCTGATGCCAAGTGCAATGGCCTTTTTATTGCTGTGAGGAGCGGGGAAAGAGGAGGGGTGGCCTACACACCAGCCTTTTTTCTTCTGTTAGCAGAGTGAGGCAATTCAATCCTATGTGGTTTGAAACATGAGTAGGTCACTGTACACCATGATAAAATTCCCTAATCCCTGGGCCAAATTTCCCTGAGGGGGGCCTCCTCCTACCCCTTCACTTTCCAAGCTGACTTTTCCATTCCCACTCTCGTGTTTCCCTGTCCCTCATTGCTTTCATTTCCCCTACCTTAAAGCCTTGATACCCGATCTGTTGCCAGTGCTCCGATTACAGTTTTTACAGCTTAGACCATCTATTGCTGTATACATTCCTTTCTTTCTGTTCTGCAGTGATTACTTACCAAGGCTCATTTTACAGCAATCCAGATGAAAGCTGTTCAGATGAAGGGAAACATAGCCAGGCTGTTTGAACATTACAGATATGAAACTACACAAGAGCACATTGTGTGCCACTTGACATTTTGTAGCAAACTCACTCCTTTTACACTGTATCCAGTATGCTGTTACTGTATTCTGAAACCCATGGAAATATATATATATGGCATGTATAGATTGTGCAAGGCTGGGAAACTGATGGCCTCCAGCTGCTGCTCTTTGACTGCAACTCTTGTCATCCAGTGCTGCAGTACAGGTACCTGATGATGATGAGAATTGCAGTCAAACAGTAGCTGTAGATTAGTAGTTGAAAAAATCAGAAGTTTACACAGTTTTATGGGTCAATGCTTTGAGAGAAAGTATGGCCTGAAGTTCTAGAAGTGGAGCAATCACCATGGCAACCAAGGAAATTGTAACTGATTTATGCACACTTGAGATTTTGCTCACAATGACCATCATACAATAAGGTTGCCTGAGAGTGATGGAGGTTGTGATGCAAACTAAGCTGGAGGTAAGACAGGTTCACAGCAATAATAAAATGTCGAAATAAATTAAGTCCTTTAAATTAACTGATCTCAAGAAAGGTAAGTGTACTTCAGCAGAAGGCTTACAGGATTTTCATCATGACCTCCTCCTTTTCTAGTCAATTACTACTGTAGGTCACAGTACTGTTAGTGACCAGTAACAGTACACTACAAATAGCAGACTCTCAGATCCACTGTTAATTTACCCCTCAATGCCAAAGCACCAGTTTAAAAAAAATGGTTGTGATTTCCCCCTTCACAATGTTGTTTTTGTTTCTTCCCCACCAGTTCAGACAAACATCTGCTATGAAGAACAACTATCTCCCAAACCACTAAGACTGCCTGCAGCCAAAATAAATAAAACTAACTCTTAGGATCCAGCACAGTCAGCCTTTATACCCAGCCAGGATAACATTTCACATGTTTTGATTAAAATTAGCTAATTTGTAATTCTAGAACCTATGTTAAAAGCTGCAATCCATATAGATCACATTAAGCGATGGCTTGAAGCAGCCAATGACAATGTGATAGATTTGGGCAGCTCCCTGGAAACCTACAGAGCTATAATTAACCATTTCAATTAATACACACAGAATCCTAGCATGGGGAGAGATCCAGAGACCCCTTCTGTGGTTCTACGATAGACTGGTACCAGGAAATTATCAACACTATGCAATATTACTGACTTTACACAAATCATCATCACATTTAGGGGATGCTGAGATTTTTTTTTGTTAATTTTTGTGGGTTTCTTACTTTCTGGAAGCCATTCACAATGATTGGTCCACTGTCTTAAAACAGGAAATACATTGAAATCTAAAATGTTGAGCACCACATTTAAAATTAACAAGCAACCTGCATAGCAAGCCTGTCCTGATTTAATGAGCATACACAAACAACCCTATTTTGACATTACCCCAGGCTTGCATGTGTCATAAATTAGCATTTTTGCAGGACCGTAAACCCTTTGGTTGTCTAGGACATCCCCAATATATCAAATCACCAATGGTCTATAAAATGCACAAAGAGCAGAATGGGCGCATACATGTGTTGTAGCATCCTTTAAAACACAATAACCACCTTTATGATAATTAATTGGGAGTTAAAACATTTTATGATGCCCATATAATTGTTTAGAATTACACAGTTATCATAAGGTTTTAGAATCAGACCTGAATGATATACAAGACAAGACTTTATTTATTTTTAACTCTTCATTAACCCATTACCTGCACAGACAGGGACACCTTCCTAGGGCTATAGATCATCATCTGACAGTAATACAGTCCATAAAATAAAGGATGGTCGATTTCTTTAGAAATAGTTTTTATAATATTTTACAAATAAAAGTACAGGGAAAATTGCAATTGGAAGGGATATAAAAGATAAAAAGGGGAACTCTTTCTAAGGTATTTCATTCAAACAGAACATGCAACTGTATCAATATGCAGTAAGCCAGCGCTCAGGTAAGTAGTAACAATGATTATTTCCCACTCAGAGAGCTGCTTCCAATCCAGGGATGTCTGCTCTGCCTATAGGTGAGTCTGTAAGCTGACAGATGGATAGGTCCAGCATTGCTGTCAGTGGTAGAGTAGCATGGAGCACACTGTCTTTTCTATATATACATATAAAATCAGAGCAGGTCACTTCTCCAGACAGTGAATTGATCAGTGTTTGCAGCCCAGGAGGCGGGGCTGAATATTAAGGGCATTCTATACCAAATGACAAGCACTTCTAGATTTGGGGATCATTTCATTTCCAATGCCAAATGCAGAGGGCAATACAACCCCCCTCCTCCATCCTCCCCTCTTCACCCACCACCACCACTACCAATAGTACCACTTCCCAAACATGCAGTCCTTACCTTCATCTCCTCATTAATCTCCCTTTTCACAGGGTGAGCAGGTTTTCTGCTTCTTTTATTTTCAGGAGGTCTCCCTTCTTTCTCCATTTCTGCCATGTTTAGTCTAGTTTGGTCTGATGAAATGGCTGCTGGAATTAAAGTATGTTGAGGGGAGTGTGTGTACGTGTGTGTGTGGGGGGCGGAAGGGAAGGAAAGTGAAGTGACTGTTCCCCCCCTCTATTTAGAGGTGAAAGACGTCAGGGATTGTGTGAGAAGGGAGATCAGCACAGAGGGTTGGGGATGCCAGGCTGCTGGGTTGAGGTTGCTCTGCTGTCAGGTCAGCCATCTTCTGCCTCTGACTCTTCCTGCATGAGAGCCCAGCTTGCTGCTTGTTGCTTTGTGCTAGGTGTGTGACTGTGTGTAGTGTGTGTGGTGCTGCCAGGCTGTGTGTATGTTTGTGTGACTGTACGTGAGGGAGAGGGAGGAGAGAGAGAGAAAGCTCCTTGTGTGGAGCAGCAGAGGGGGGTTAGTCCCTCCCAGTCTTGGAGAGAAGAGGAGGAGCCGGCTGCCAAAATCTTTTCCTCTACCCCCTCCTACTCCGACTGATCCGGAGGATGTGTCTTCCCTGTGCTGGACACATCTGGGAGAGAGGAGACCCGTTATAGTCTGCCATAGATAATGGTGCCAACTCCCTGATCACTGAGATCCTCCTTGCACCTGCAAAAACCTCACCTCTCTCCTATCTCAGAGGGCTGGACTGAGGAGGTCCTGTTCTGAGATGAAGGAGAAGAAGACAAGGACTATATGGCTATATAGTAAGAGTATTCAGAGCTTGTATTGGAAATGTCCATACACACAGTGCATGCAGGGACAGTCACACAAAGAGATTGCTAGCTCCAGGTATTGTGACTTGCAGCCTATAAATGGAGCCAGCCCAGATATCATTCGCATATCCCAAACACCTCCAAAAGGATGCCTGGCATGTGGCTGGGGTCAGGGAGGGCTGTGTACAGTAAAGTCCATCCCCCAGGATAGCACTGACAGGTGTACAGTATGCAGCCCAGGTCAGTCCTGTATGCGTTATGCTAGGGGTCCCCACTCCCCAGCTCCCTCCAGCTGGTAATGCCCCTCTCACGGTGAGACTGGAGCTGGGCAGGTTACAGTGAGCCTCTCTGACGCCTCCTCCCTCCCCCCTCTCCCTCCCCGGCTCCGTGTGTGACAGCTGGATGGAGAGGTGGGAGTGATGAGAGACGTGCCCAGCATACCAATCGCCCCCGGTCACACTGCCACTCATCATTATAATCATAAAGCTGGGTCCGGTACAAAAAGGAGGAGAATGGGGGATGGGGCGAGCGAGAGCCTTATCTCTGTCACCGTAGCAGAGCATCTGCCGTAGACCATCACACCTATTGTGCAGTCACACCATTAACACTGCTTCAGGTTTCTGTCAACTATCCTCAAAACAGGAAGGGTCTAAAGGGAAGGTCTGCAGCTGTTGTGAAACTACAACTCCCAACATGCGTTGTCAGCCAGGCTGAGAGTGCATGGTAGGAGTTGCAGTTCGACAACAGCTGGGCAGGAGACCTAGGTTGTGCCCTCTGTGGTCTAAATAGTAAAATGAGCCACCAGCAGATATGATGGAATCTCTGGGAGGCAGATGTGCAATTGCTTGTGCACAATGTTCTTTATTATAGGTGGAAATAGAACATGGGTCTTAGATGCAATGTAACACCCCGAAGCCCTACTTCCTAGTTTACAAGTCTGACAAATAGACACGAAGCTGTATGGACATCATAATAAACATTTTCACACCAGGCTATGGTATTTTAGCTTACATGTACAGTATTTGTGCTTACGGAGGAACCTCATGATTTTTCTTTTGTAGGTTTGCTGTGTTCTCTAAAGGGGGTCATGTTTTTTTCAGAACTGGATGAGGCTAAAAATGTAATATATTATTATTATACTATTATTATTACTTATCATCATCGTCATCATCACCACAATACAAGTGTAAGATGAAAAAAAAAAAACAATTAAATATATATATTTTCATTTTGAATTTTATTATATGTACTAATGATTTTACTTCTTAAATTCTACAGATGTGAAAAATATATTTCAAACAAATGTTAAAAAAAGAAAGTAATTATAAAGCTACATTTTATTCTCATCAGTACCAACAATAGCAGGATAGTTACAATATCAAGGGGTTTGCTTAACCCTGGTACTGAAGGCGTTAATGTTATCTCTATTAACCTTGCTAGAGAGGATTAGCAGTATGTGGTACAGAAAATGAGGATGGTTATATGTATTACCCCAGGAAAAGTGTCAGGCTGCATTCACTAAATTAGAAACCTAAATTAACTGCATTACCTGTAAATGATGAAGGCCAATTGAATTGGAATAGCATTGAAATGTTATTTGCTTTCTTATTCGGATAATGAAATCATATTCTCAAACAAGGGATTTCTCACTAAAGATTTGGATACAATCAGATGACAATTTGGGAATTAAGAGCAGGTTTGTATTCAATAGCTCACAGTTCAAATCTAGAATCGGTTGCGATATAAGGAGGTTTAGACATTGGCACTAAACTGTAAAATGCCATGAATTGAAAATTTAGCCCCAAATAGCTGCACATGGAAAAATCTCAAATCCAGCTCTTTTTCCTACAGTTTGGCCTTAATTTTGCTATTTGGTTATCGATATATTACAATTCACTGTATTTAGTGGCTAAAAGCTAATATGCTATTTTACTACTCTAGATTTCAAAATCTCTTAAGATCTTTTTATTTTTTAAAGTATTTATGCAACTACAGTCCCTATTTGTGGAAGAACATTGAATTGTAGTCAACTGAAAACAGATTTTGCATAATTTCGCATAAAATATCCAATCTGTGACGATAGTTGAGTTGGTATTTCCAAATCAGCACCTTTTGCCTAAATTTTGCAATTCTGTTTTCAATTTACTACAATTCAGTGTTGAGTCCAAAAGTCCCAAATAAATGGTTATAAACCACCAGTACTTAACTCTGGGCTGCCCAAAAGGTAGATCCCAGATGTTCTAAAACTACAGCTTGCATGATGCTTTGTCATGCTAAAGGCACGCCCAAAGTTATTAAAAAGAACTTAGTGGTGTACTAGCACAACCATTAACAGATTTATTTAACCAATCATTGTTAACAGGAGTAGTCCCAGAAGATTGGAAGTTAGCGAATGTTGTGCCCATTTACAAGAAAGGTAATAGGGAGGAGTCTGGCAACTATAGGTCAGTAAGCCTTACTTCAGTAGTGGGAAAGTAATGGAAACCATGTTAAAGGATAGGATTGTTGAACATCTAAAATCACATGGATTTCAAGATTAGAGACCACATGGGTTTACTTCAGGAAGACCATGCCAAACTAATCTTATTGATTTGTTTGATTGGGTAACTAAAATAATAGATCAGGGTGGTGCAGTAGACATTGCTTACCTAGATTTCAGTAAGGATTTTGACACTGTTGCACATAGAAGGCTTATCAATAAACTGCAATCTTTAGGTTTGGATTCCAATATTGTTGAGTGGGCAAGGCAATGGCTGAGTGGCAGGCAACAGAGGGTTGTAGTCAATGAAGTATATTCGAAGCTTGGACTTGTCACCAGTGGGGTACCTCAGGGTTCTGTACTTGGACTCATTAACTTTAATATTTTTATTAGTGATATTGCAGAAGGTCTTGGTGGTAAGGAATGTCGTTTTGCTGATGATACTAAGATATGTAACAGGGTTGATGTTCCAGGAGGTATAAGCTAAAAATGGCAAATGATTTAGGTAAACTAGAAAAATGGTCAGAGTTGTGGCAACTGACATTTAATGTGGATAAGTGCAAGATAATACATCTTGGATGTCAAAAGCCAAGGGCAGAGTACAGAATATTTGATAGAGTCCTAACCGCAACATCTAAGGAAAGGGATTTAGGGGTGATTGTTTCTGATGACTTAAAGGTAGGCAGACAATGTAATAGAGCAGCAGGAAATGCTAGCAGAATGCTTGGTTGTATAGGGAGAGGTATTAGCAGTAGAAAGACAGAAGTGCTCATGTCATTGCACAGAACACTGGTGAGACCTCACTTGGATTATTGTACACAGTACTGGAGACCGTATCTTCAGAAGGATATTGATACTTTAGAGAGAGTTCAGAGAAGGGCTACTAAACTGGTTCATGGATTGCGGGATAAAACTTACCAGGAAAGGTTAAAGGATCTTAACATGTATAGCTTGGAGGAAAGACGAGATGGGGGTATATGATAGAAACATTCAAATACATAAAGGGAATCAACACAGTAAAGGAGGAGACTATATTTAAAATAAGAAAAACTATCACAACTTGATCAGCTTCTCTACACTTGTCCCTCCCCATTTTGTTCATGCAATTATACCTCTCTCCCCATATGTTTCTCTCTTCTATCACTAGTACAAATCTACCACTTGTGTCTCTCACCCCTGTCTCCAACCCTACTTGAACTTCTCTCCCACTTGTCTCTTTCCCCATTTTTTCCTGCAGTTATGTTTCTTCTTCTACGTGTGTCTGTCTCTCCTCACTGTGTTTGTCTCTGTTTAATTGTTAAACAAAAGCTCTATGTAGGCATGGAGCCTGCTAACGATGAATCCTAATACCTGTAACAAAAGTCAAAATACTAGCTCAGGTAGCAGTAAAAAGTACATTTAAACGTACATGAAAACTCAGTTAAAGACAATGGTACAGCAACACAATCACCTGGATCAATACAAAATGTGAAACATGGAAGAGATGATTGCACTGGCAACAAGCCTAACACATTTCATGCTGTGGAAAACTTAATCTCAATCACACCAACAAAGAAAGCCCATACATTTAAAAGAATAGAGCAACAATCAGGAATTTGGCTGTACAAACAGTAAACAACTCTATTAACCTTTGTAGACAAAGGACAAATCATCCGTCTGTTCAAAATAAATTCCTTAATTAGAATTTGAAAAACAAAAATTAAAAAAATTAACAGGTGAAAAAAAGTATAACATGAAGATTTTTTTTAAGTGACTATATACATCCAAAAATAATTTGTAACTCCAAATGTAGAGTTAAGGCTGGCAGGTTTACATTATACAGCTTAAAAATCTACTTATCAATTATCATCACAATAATCGAGTTTAGCTCATCAAATAGGATTTCTATAATGAATGTGTTTATCTTTAAATCAAGGCAAATCACCAGTATTACAAGAGGTGAATAGACAGACAAATTGTGACTACAGTTTTATGCAAAATATTCTTAATGTGTTCTGGAAATACAAGTTCGAAGGGATCTCAAATTCTGACCTCCATATTGTAAAGGACAAGTGTGACAAATAAGTAAGCAACATTAAAAATAAATAAATTAATGGATTAGGACTTATTAGTGTCACGGTACCTGTGTCTTTGATTCCTATCTCGCCTCATTTTTTGGTGCCTTTACATCCCCCTGCACAGTATCTATGTTAATTTCCATTCGGGCTCAGTCTCCACGCCATCCTTGATTTGTATTCAGCAATAATGACGCAGAACACTGCCTTCATGCTCCTATTTATGATGCCAATGATTCTCCCTTC